TCACCGGCGGGCTGCGAGAGTCGGAGACTTAGAGAGAGAGAGGGGATGCCAGAGAGAGAGAGAGAGAGAGAGAGAGAGAGAGAGAGAGAGGGCTAGAAGTTCAGCCAGTGACTTGAAAGGGAGAGAAAAGTGTCTAGATGGCGAACCCAAAAAGAAGAGGTACCTGAGAGGTACATATGTCCATACATGCCTTGCTCCGTGCTTATATGCCCTGCCTTCCAAGCACGCACACCCTGCAAGGTTGATGTGTTGGCCGTCACTCGCGTCCTGCATGCTGCGATGAACTGTTGGCTGGAGGACGGTTCGTCCTTTTGACCCAACCTGATTGATTCCTCACAGCCGCGGTTGGATGTGTGCGACTCGCATCGTCTCACACTCTAACAGGAAGAAGAAACAGAAACAGCATGTCCAGTTTCAACGCCTAGCTTAAAAAAAAAAAAAAAAAAAAAAAAAAATATCATCAAACATCTTCTTGAATCCCCGCTGAAACGAGGTTTTGATTAAAAAAAACAATAAAATAAAATAAAGAACAAGAGGGAGATCCCCTGCTCTGCCCTACCAAAACCCGGTGGTCTCCCCACCGTACCAAGTTCCACATCCCGATGTAGCCATCATGCCACTCTTCCCCCCCGAAACTATGTCTGGATGTGTGGATGAAAGTATGGACGTACGGAGTACATACGGGACGGAAAACACCACCGTTTAGTTTGCTCCGTCCGGGGGCCTAAATCCTAACTCACTGGGTAACAAACTCCGTAAGCTACTTTTGGTCGCCCAGCAAATCACCTGCATGGATGCGCTCTCTCTTCCCCCCTCCCCGCCATCCCATCCGTTCTCCCTTTTTTCAAACCCATGGATATCGGCCGTATTATTGTTCATCGCCGTCTTTCCGCCACTCTCCACTTCGTTTTCCTTTTGCTTCGACTGTTGCCCTCTGTTGCTATTTAGTATTGATCATATTCTTTGCCGGATGCGTTGGCGTCGTCTACGTAATTGAACTTCGATTTGCTCTTGGCGTGCCTTATCCGTTGCTCCCCTGCCAGAAAGTGAGGAGGAGAATCGATCGGTTCTACTCGCATCAGAGCGTGAGTTGCTGCTTTTGTTGATTTGTTCCATGCGGTTGCTGTAAACGCACCAGGACCTCATCGACCTTCTTAATTGACCCGCTTTCGCGGCCCTCAGATGTGCAGATACTGACGATGGCCGAGTGCTGATGCTCTCGCTCGTCTCTCGTCGACCCGGTGGGCTGATCTTCCCGTTTGGGAAATACTTGCTGTTCTCCCTGTTAACGCTGTGTCACCAGTTCATCCTCCCGTTCAACTTGTCGCTCGCTTGTCTTCCCACACCCTATATATCTCCAGCGCTGCTGCTTTTCATCCATCAACCTCCGCCAGCGATATACGTTTCCTACTTGCCCCTCACATGTGACCGTGATTCGTCCGAACCAAGCTACGTGACGTCCACCAAAACAGCTTCGGGGTCAGCTTTTTTCGAGTATTCTAAGCTCCCAGACAGCATAATATGGCGATGATTGTGGTCCAGCAACATCCAGTTCGACACTCTTCGACTCCCCCTCCCCTTCCCTCCGCCCTCAGCCTCAGTGGTTCCGCACCGAGAGCCCAAACGCCGATACCAAATAAGCACCTCCCAGTTTGCCCCACAGGTCCACCTCCTGCAAGCTCCAAGGTCCCAGCTCCATCCATATCGACAACAAAGCCTGTGAAGACATTTCTCTATCCTCCCACCAAGTTCCCAAAGGTCTATGATAATCCTCCGGTCTACACCATCGACGCAGACCAATTGGCTGCGGCGCTCGACGAGGCGTCCACGCGAGCCCTACCGGAACCCAACAAAGTTTTTCCATGGCTGCACGGTTTACATCCAGACAACCAGATCCAATTGGCGTTCTTCGTCCCAAGGCGGAGGACCCTGCGACGTATACCGAAATGTTTGAGGAGTATAGTCATTGTCAAGGTGGGCGGAGAACTGGCCAGTTCAAGGGTCAAAGGGGCAGTGGCACCCGGTGAGATCATCAATGGCTCTACATTCCCCGACCCGGACCCGCCGGTCGGATTCTCGGTGCGAAATTTCCAGATTCAGACCGCCAAAATCGCTCCCATTTCGGACATTATCGTCTATGGAGAAGATGGTGTCAGGCCCGCCCAGGTGCTATCTTTGGCTAAAGAGGTCTCGTCAGCTCAGGAAGCATGGAGGCACAGGTTCGACCCTGGAGAGGAGCTCCGCCTCGTGAACACCTTTGTTCTATCAAGTAGGTGTCGCCTTGCTTTTTCATAGTCACTCACTGGAACATGAACTGACTATCCCAGCGCCCTTCCACCACCTTGAACAGCAACATCCTGAATTGGTGGCCGTTCGCTCCGATGGGCAGGTCAACGATGGGCTGATGGATTTCTGTAAGTCCTTCATATAGTCCGTCGCTTGGATGGCAATTTTACTGAGCAACCTAGTCCGCTGGGAGAGAATAGAGATGTGTAACATGTCTCACCCATCAGAAATATCGGAAAACGTCTACCTTGGCTTCACGCCGGAGCTCTCCTCAAATAATTGGCTGGAGGCAGGTTTTGATCTCATGATCGAGGCCCACGATGTTGCCAATATACCGGACCCACGATATCTAACCAAAGTCACGGCTCTCCTTGAATCTGGGACCCAGAGCATAGAATTTCCCTCATCTGGAAGTCTCATAGCATCGGAACTGAGCCAGGTTGAAGTGTTTGACATCATTGACACCTGCAGATGGATCTACCATATCACACACTCGCAGGGATCGGAGCAAATGCAAGACCAAGCAAGAGTCGAATCTGACGGAGATATTCAGATGATCACTCTGGGTCCTCGCCCTAAGAAAGTTTTGATCCATTGTGCTGATGGGTACACTGAGAGTTCCCTTCTAGCTATAGCATATTTCATGTTTGCCGAGGGTGTGCCGGCTCACGAAGCATGGCTAAGGCTACATTGTGAGAAGAAGAGGAACTTTTTCGCGTATCCTTCGGATGTCACATTTTTGACAACTATACAGCACCAGTTATTGCGCGAAAGCCCTGCTGCGAAAGCGGCGAAGCTTATCAATCAGCCTGACCCTGGCTGGATGGCGCGGCTGGATGGCTCCCTTCCCAGTCGGATATTGCCGTATATGTATCTGGGTAACTTGACACATGCGAACAATCCTGAGTTGTTGAAAGCCTTGGGGATTAGACGGATACTGAGCATCGGAGAGCCGGTATCCTGGCCGGAAACGGAGCTTATGAGTTGGGGTTCAGAGAACCTAATGATGATAGACGACGTTCAAGACAACGGTATAGATCCCTTGACAAAGGAGTTTGATCGATGTTTGCAATTTATCGGTAGGTCCTCAATCTTTGTGCTGATTGGATCGTAACTTGGGGAATGGTCAGAGGGTCTAACAGCTTCATCCAGAGAAAGGAAAATTGGACGGCACTGCTGCCTTGGTCCATTGTCGTGTTGGCGTTTCGAGGTCGGCGACTATCTGCATTGCAGAGGTGATGGCGTCACTGGGGTTGTCCTTTCCCCGAGCATAGTACGTTCTCTCTCCATGTGTTTTGAGGCAATTACATGCTGACGGGACCGCAGCTGCTACGTTCGTGCTAGAAGATTAAACGTCATTATCCAACCACATCTGCGATTTGTGTGAGTATTTAGCTCTGTATACCCTTGCTTAGCTTATGTACTCATGAATGCCTGGTCAAACCCACCGCAATTAGGCCAGGACAAGTTATCGCTCCTTGAGCCGATGCTGATGAGCCATTAGCTACGAACTTCTTAAATGGGACGAGCATCTCCAGCTAAAACGTAACCAGCCCATCCGACGTGAGCTAGAATGGACGACGATTGCGCGTGAGATAGCTCTCATGAATAAGCCGTACTCGAGACAATAGAAGGCGTCCGAGCGTAATGTCATTTTTAATTGCTTTAACGACTATCGCGGACGCACTATGATGAGGAATATGATCTTTCTCCCCCCTTTTTTGTTTTCATGATGGCTGACTTCGGTATTTTATATATTTATATGGCGGGAATGTATGGGTCTTCTACCTCTTTTTCCTTTTTACCCCTTTTTCTGATCTGCCAGGCTTTCTTCTATCTTCTCCTCTTCTTTCTTCTCTTGTTATTTTCTACGAGGTCGGAGATCTATGATGTTTTAGCTGGACTGGACTGGACTGGACAGGCACTGGTTTGGAGTCGAGGGATGGTATCGATTAAATCAAACACAGACACACGAACTAACTACAGAGGAAATGGGAGAATACATTACACGGAAATATATGCTGGTACTAATGAGAGAGACAGTGAGAAATATGAACCTTTCCTTTTTTGGTTATCTTCCCTTTTCCTTTTCCCGTGTTTTGCTTTTTCTTTTTTTCCCCCCTCGCGTTTCTCTCTCAATTTGGACGTGTTGTCTAAAATTAGCAGGCTCAAGAATCAAATCTCATTTTTCATCATCTCTCCCGTGTCTCATCCTGCTGGTGCTATAAAACAGATTGTAGGGTGTGTTTTACAAGAATCAACTAACAAACTACCCTTTTGTTGTTTGCTGAGCTTTCATAGTAATTTTTGGGGGGAATGTGGTTCCGGAAATTGATATTGGGGGGTATATACGCATGCCGAAGAGAAAATGAAGTAGCTAATATCATAGTAGAGCGCTTCACGTTAAAAAAAAGAAAAAGAAAAGAAAAGAAAAGATAAATGAAAGAGGATCTTTTCAAACCAACAAGACAGAAATCAACCGAAGAAGAGCCCCGCCCGGGGGGCCGGGGGGGGGGGGGGGGGGGGGGGTGGGAAATGAGCAAAAGACATAAAGAAATATTAACATCATTAAGTTTTACGGCCAAGATTATCTCTTTCTTTTCCTTTTTTTTTCTTTTTTTTTTTTTTTTTTTTTTTTTTTTTTTTTTTTTTTTTTTTAAAGAGTAGTCAGTTTCATTATTTCTAACTTTTCAGCAAGTATGCTCTCTTGCGCTTCAGCATCTTTCGAAAACCCTGTATAAGCCCTTGAGATCAGCAACCTCCACAACCCCTCTTACCAGATCATCTGTCGCCACTAGCCGAGATCTGATCGCCGGAAAGAGGATATGCTCCAGCATCCATGCCAACTGGGTTCGTCGGCGGGTGATAGACGGGTCCTCTTTTTGCGGTGGTGTAGAACTAGGTTGAGTTTCCGACTGGTGCTGGGCGTTCAAGCTTTCCTGTGTTGGCCGCTCTCCCTGCGTGTTAGAACCGTCGGCGCCGAGGCTGGCGATGGGGGGTGTGGGGGTGGCTGGGATGGTGGGTAATTGTTCTGGAGTATAGAATGCGGCCAGCTCTCTTAGAAATGTCCGGAAACAGGCCTCTTCGTTTGTCCAATCAACGTATGGTCCGAGACGGAGAAGGAATCGTGGAAGCTTTGCTAGGGAAGGCATATAATTCTTTAGCAGTAAGGGAATGGATAGCAGGCTACCATCTTCCGAAATGGAGAGGGAGAAATACTCGTTGAGCATTTCTCTCTTCTCAATGAGATGGGCAGCGATTATCTCTGGAACTCGACTGAAGTCAATATTGCTAGGGTCCCCGTTGTTCACAGCGTTGGATGGATTGGACTCTCCTCCCTCGCCTGCTTTGATGCGGCGGTGGTGCTCATCACGTTCGACGGCGGCAGCAAGCGAGAGCAGGTCTACTAAACGTGGCGATGATTCGAGATTGATCACCCCAAAATTCCCGAAATCAGTTAATCCAATCTGATAGAAGAATTCATTGCAGACCATTCCATAGTCTACAAGATAGAGCTTGACCCCAGACTGGATCGCTGCGATCCGGCGTCTTTCATCCACCAACCCCACATAAGTCAGCGAAGAGAAGATGTCTGTCAAACTATTATGCATCGTCGATCGTACCGCAGCCCGCAGGTTCTTTACCGACGTGAGGCGAATGTTAACCGATTCACGGCCGCTGGCTTCGTAACTATGGGTATGTTGCGACTGAGAACCCCCTTCTTGGTTTGCACCTTGTTCCGGGGTTCCGACTGGGAACATGGACGTAATTTTTCTCATCTTTACGTCTGTTCTGACGAGATTGTTCTCGTAGGGCCTTTTAGACCCAGCTACTGTTCGGAGTGGTACCTTTCCCTCTATCGTAGCTCTCGGTGAAGAGGTATCGGCGGGTGGAGTGCCCGACCGATGTATGCCGGGAAGTAATGTTTGAGTCATGAAAGTGCGACTGGAGTCGACATTCGCCAATTTCGTCCTGACCGCATTGCAGATCAGCTCAATTATTTCGTCTTCGTTTAGGAAGTTAACTTCTCGCTTTGTGGGGTGAACGTTGACGTCCACTCTGTGCGGCTCGATTTCGATATTTAGGTACGCAAAGGGGTGCCCGCCTTTCGGCAGGAAAGCGGAATACGTTTGCTCCATGGCTTTCCGTATTCCAGATGATTCCACGGACCGATGATTGATAAACAACAAAATAACCGTGCGTTTAGCATGGTAATTTGCATTGCTTGCGAAGCCTGACGCACGGAAACCCAGTGCCGAGTCCTCTACATCAAAAGGAATAAGCTCGTTGGCCACGGCACTTCCATGAATTTGCCTTATGCGGTCAATCGTGCTTGAGTTCACTGGAGTTGATACGCTAACCCCTGAGTCTCCATGTTTTTTGCAGGAAAATGAAACTCCATTGCAGTGGACAGCGTAGCGTCCAACGATGTCAAGGATTTTCGCATATTCTTCACTTGCGGACCTGAAAGCACGGCGTCGGGTTGGAACATTGTAGAACAGGTCCTCGACCTAAACATCAGTAAGAAAAAGGTTTTAACAACATAACATGCGGTTCTCCGTACCGTTATCTGGGTGCCGCCGCGCCCGGCTGTGGGTTTAGGCTCTGCACTTTGCCCGGGTTTCGCAGGCACAAGTTTACCGTCTCGATAATGTGCTCTCCATGCGCAGCTAGAGCCAGCTGTCTTGGTGGTCACGGTGAGATGGGCTATATGACTGATACTTGCCAAGGCCTCACCCCGAAAACCGTAAGTGGCTATGCTGGACAAGTCCTCAAAGGCCTTGAGCTTGGACGTAGTAAATCTTTCGCACAGTATCGGTAGATCCTCACTCTGCGCAAGACGTTAGCCAAGACTTTCACAACACCGTTAAGCAATGGAGGCCTGACTAACATCGATTCCGTGGCCATTATCGGTGATTTGAAGGAGCTTAAGACCCCCATCCTTGACCAGGATTTCCACTGCTCTAGCACCAGCATCCACAGAATTCTCGATCAACTCTTTCAATGCATGCATGGGAGCAACGATGATCTCTCCCGCAGCAATTTTGTTAACAACATCCGGGTCCAAAGCCTGTTGGGCCGTCAATCAATAGCGCACGATACTTTGGGGACATTTCATACCTGGATCTTTCTCGGGCCTGGACCTGGGAATCCAGCGTCAGCGGCGGTGCGCTTGACTCCTCTATGGTCCTGGATGCCATCAATTTCCATCGTGTCTTGATCCATTGGTGATGGGGATGATCGCAGTATATGGGTTAGCCACGGGCTACAGACTAGTTCATCAGACGTAGTTATGATGTTTAGCTACAGGGTATGGTTGTTTTGGGAGTGTGCGGCAAGAGGGTGTCGATTGTTGTTGAAATGAACCGCCGGATGCGGCATGGGTTGTTTATTCTTTCTGACATAGGGGTGCAGATTCAAGAGAGCATATCCGCACCATCAGGCGAAATGGTTTTGTGTTGTTTATCGTGCGGCCGTCCGGGACAGACGATGGTGGTTCGCGTTGGCCTTCGAAATCCGCCGCAAAACGCCAAGACGGGGTGGGACGGGGCAGTGGGAGTTGGCAGCGGTCTAGAAGTGGACTGCCGGGACAAATAAATCCGCCATGTTACTCCGATTTTCTTGCACAGAGGACACTCGGCGCAGATCATAAATCTGCATGCGGGCAATGGTTTCGTCGACAAGCCACATATGATCAGCAATTTACGAGTTGGTTATGTAACCAGCAATTTCCCGGCTGGCCCCTTTCCACTCCACTGCTCCGCATACGTTTTCGATGATAAAGTCGCGTGGAAGAGCTCCCGAGGAGCGCAGCGCTAACGGCAGTGGCCATGCATCTCTCAAGGAGAATATTCCTTGCAGATGAAGAGCTCGGGAAAAAGGATGATGACCACTTTCGCAAACCTGCACAGCTCCGAAGTCCGTCTCTCGCATCATGCCGGCTTCCGCGCCGCCGACGATTCTTCGTGATCATCGGCATCATTCTTTGTTACTTCCTCCTCAGCCATTCACCTTTTCGAAGTCTTTCGGGCGAGAATGATGATTCTACTGGAGACACTGTTGATAATGGGTTCTATCCGACTCGCAATGGAATAATGCGTCCAAATGGCCCTCCAAACGCCTCGGATGGTAAACAGAGCAGTCACTATTTCAATGGCCCGATACGATTTTATTCGCTAGCTAGGTCGCTATACTCCGTCCATGGATTTATGAGATATCGTCGCCAGAATAAGCTCGTCCTCTTCGCCGCTGCAAATCTGAAGTGTATCTCGGACCTTCTGCCGCTTGCTTGTGAAATGTCCGGACATGGGCTGAATCAGGTACATATCGCACTGATGGGTCGGGATGAGCTGTCAATTGAAGGAATTCAAGAAGTAAATGGCTATAATGAGTCAGAATGCCCATTGATTTGGCATGGTATGCAAGATTGCACCTGATGTTTGCGTGTTGTCTACATGCATATTGACTCCGTCTAGATGCTCGTCCCGATTACGGCCCGTGGTCCACGGATGCGAGAATGGAAGCGAGTGTTAAATCCGGACTTGTTCATATGCTTAAAATCCTTCATCCCCGTGCCATAATCACGCATGAAAGTCGAGACGAACCTTTTCTTGTGAGGGGAGTGAAAACGCGGGCATCGCAAACAGGTATAGCACATATAGGCCTTAAAGGCCGTGCCTCGAGCTTCAAATGGATTACAAAGCTGGATTCACGGGCTCTGGCAGGTATGATGAACAAAATATTTTCAGACTGTCGGATCCCGCTCTCTTCAAATCAATTCTAACCGCCTCACAGCTTGGAATAGAGCCCAGATTGAGATCCTCGTTCATGCTCCACCCGCTTCGTCTGGATCTCTCTTACGACTCCTCAAATCCCTCCAAAAGGCGGATTACTTCGGCCCGGCACCTGGATTGACTATTGAATTACCTTTTGACGTTGATCCCGCATTGACAGACTTCCTTGGCAGGTTTACCTGGCCGCCACATACGGAAGGCCGCCAATTTACCCTTCGCCGTCGCATTACGAGAAATACAGCTGCTGAAGAGGCGGCTATAAGAAGCATCGATGCATTTTACCCACGAAAACCTTGGTATTCTCACGTTTTGGTACTTTCCCCGCACGCAGAGCTAGCGCCATCATTTTACCATTTTCTCAAATATTCGATTTTAAAATACAAATATTCAATCATGGAAGCACCGGCTGCCTATCAGTTGTTAGGGATTTCGCTAGAGCTCCCTTCGTTTAAACCGACTGATGGGGCCGAGTTTTCGCCCCCAACTATGGAGACAGTGTCACTTGCGGAACACAGCCATACTTTGCCTGTTTTCCTTTGGCAGGCCCCCAATAGCAATGCTGCGCTCTACTTTGGGGACAAATGGATTGAGTTCCATTCTTTCCTTTCGAATCGATTTGCTCCGTCATTGAAAACAAAACAAACGACCCGCCCTAAGTCTGTTTTAAACAGATACCCCTCTTGGATGGAGTATATGCTGGAATTTATTCGAGCACGTGGCTATTATCTTCTCTACCCGGCATTTGCCGCGGAAGATGATTTCTCTCTGGCTACTGTCCATAACGAGCTGTTCCAGATTCCGGAAGAGCACGCATCGACGGAAGAAGCAAAACCGCCTGAACTTAGCCAGAATGAAATCCACGACCCGCAAGCAACATTAATTGACGACTCAAACTATGATCCTCGATTTGAGTCAGCTGAGAAGGCTGTGTCAGAATCTTTGTCTATGTCTAATTTACTTAGTGCATTTCCAGGGCACCTGCCACGTCTCTCATCCCTAAGTATCCTGTCGCCGTCTGGGGCCAAGAACGGACCCGACGACCTCATTAACTCCACTGAAACATATCTCAAAAGCTTCAGATTGGAGGTTGGAGGCTGCGATTCTGAGCATGACCCTCCTGATTTGGTTCCTCTGAGCACGAACGATCTGTTTTGCTTGGAAGACGACGAAAAATGACTGTGGCATTATGTACTAATGGATGGCTACTCACGCGGAGGCCTGTGATAACAATTCTTCTACTGCATGATTTATGGCGCCCTTTTTTTTTTTTTTTTTTTTTTTGTCGCGACTTTTTTGGGATCCATATGGATTGGAATGGCGAAGATGGTTTTCCTTTTGCATTTTCCTTGGTTTTCAAACTGGGCCATTTGTTCAGGTCATGGCTACACATATGTGGATATATATTTCGTGGCAAGAGCCAGCCTTAGTTTTCCGTAGGATGCTCTATCTTGGGGCCATTTTCGGTAGTGGAAGTAAGGAGAAGGCCAACTGCATACAAAGCATTATATTTCGGAGTCACCCAAGAAGTTAGCGACAACTCGCTCGAATGCGTGCGTAGGCCTAGTTTTGCTGAGTTGTAAGCCAGGAGAATGGCATGGACAAAAGCAATTCGACCTCAAACAACCCCAGACGTTGAGTGAGGCTTGAGAAAGGATTTTGAAGTTGGCGGACTGCGCATTTTTCAGGCTTCGATTCTGACTAAGCAGCCTGTTGAAGCTGCATCACCAGCAACAAGGAGCTTCAACTTCAAGCACTTCCAAAGATCAATCAATTTAACCCATTTACCTCTTCTCGTCGTATTTCCCTACCTTTTCCCTCTGTCCAAGTTTGCGGTCTCGGGCAAATTTTGTGTTACTCCATCAATCCACATTTTCCCATTTTCTCTCCACGACCTCCAGGATGGCGAAGGAGGACCAAGCTGGCGCCTCGGACAAGGGCAAGGGAAAGGTAGATGATGTTCGCGAACTACAAGAGGATAAAAAGGACAGCAAAGATGGAAAGTTTATGATGAATGGGAAGAAAGATGAGGAGCCTAAAGAAGGTATGACGCCGTGACTCTTTGAGACTCTGAGCACTTTCCGCAATGTGGTGCTAAATGTGCTCTATAGAAGAACTCAGTGAAGAAGACCAGCAGCTGAAGGAGAAGCTTGAGATGCTGGTGGAAAGATTGCAGGTAAAATGACATGCGCAGTCTTTACACAATCTGAATAGTGGCTCACTTGTCGTATTTAGGAACCCAATACCTCACTATATAAACAAGCTCTAGAGACGATTAAAGAGCTTATCAAGACCTCCACCTCATCTATGACCGCGGTGCCAAAGCCCTTGAAGTTCCTGCGGCCACACTATGACGAGCTCACGACTTTGTACGAACAGTGGTTAGCTGGCGACGACAAAGTAAGATGGGATGAGTGCCTTGGGTAACAGTGGAAACTAACATCACGCAGGACTCCCTTGCAGATATGCTATCCGTACTAGGGATGACATACGGTGATGAAGAAAAGTTTGAAACGCTAAAATATCGCCTTCTTTCCCGATCAGATGACCTTGGGTCCTGGGGCCATGAGTACATCAGACACCTTGCTTTGGAGATTGGGCAGGAGTATCAGAATAGGATAACGGACGAAAAGGATGTACAAGACTTGGTTGACCTCGCATTGTCTCTGGTGCCCTATTTCCTCAGACATAATGCCGAAGCCGATGCCGTTGATCTCTTGAGCGAGCTAGAAATGATCGAAGAGATTTCCAAATTTGTCGACGAAAATACATACCCCAGAGTGTGCCTTTATATGGTCAGCATGGTCAATCTGCTCACATATCCGGAGGATCACCAATTTTTACGGACGGCCCACGATATTTATATGCGGTACAACAAATTTACGCAGGCCATCGTTATCGCCATTCGTTTGAACGATATTGATTTGATAATGAGCGACTTCAATGCTACAACCGACAAATCGATTAGAAGACAGATGGCTTTCCTCGTTGCCCGTCAACAAATCTGGCTTGATCTTGACGACGATAAAGATTCGGAATTGGTGGATTGTTTAAACAACACTCAGCTTTCCACACACTTCCGGACGCTTGCGAAGGAACTAAATATCATCGATCCAAGAATGCCCGAAGATATCTATAAGACTCACCTTGAGAGCAATCGGGGTGCGGGCCTCACTAATGTCGATTCTGCAAGACATAACCTTGCCAGTGCTTTCGTTAATGCCTTCACGAACGCTGGGTTCTGCAATGATAAGATGATGTTGGTTGAAGATGATAAGGGACCGTGGGTTTGGAAAACGAAGGATGATGGTATGATGTCGACCACCGCATCGATGGGAATGCTTCTTCAATGGAACGTTGAGGAAGGTTTGGATAAAATCGACAAGTTCACATATGCAGAAGAGCACCAAATCAGGGCGGGAGCATTACTCGCCATCGGTATTCTCAATTCTGGTGTCCGGCTTGATTCCGATCCCGCACTTGCTCTCCTCGGTGACGCGGAAAACCTGTCTAACAAAAACACCATGATGAGAGTAGCATCGATAATGGGCTTGGGTCTTTCGTACGCTGGATCGTGCAGAGAGGACCTGTTGGACCTATTGCTACCTATTGTTGAAGATGCATCATTGCCCATGCAAATTTCGGCTATGGCAGCTGTGTCCTTAGGCTTAGTATTTGTTGGCTCTTCGAATCATCAGGTTAGCGAGGCCATCGCTACGACTTTGATGGACGAAGAGAGACAACCTCAGCTAAAAGACAAGTGGACAAGATTTATGGCTCTTGGCCTTGCGCTCCTGTATTTTGGAAGACAGGAAGAAGTCGAGGTAATTCTTGATATCCTGAAAGCGATTGATCACCCGATGGCCAAGCCCACCTCTGTCTTGGCTTCCGTTTGTGCTTGGGCAGGCACCGGTACGGTCTTAAAACTTCAAGAGCTTCTCCATATTTGCAATGATCAAATTGAAGACAAGGAGGAGAAGAAGGGGGAGGAGCTCGTTCAATCATATGCCGTTCTGGGTCTGTCCCTTATCGCAATGGGAGAGGATATTGGCCAAGAGATGGTGCTCCGGCAATTCGGACATCTCATGCACTACGGGGCTGCAAATATCAGAAAAGCCGTTCCTCTTGCTATGGGTCTCATCAGCGCAAGCAACCCACAAATGGGCGTTTATGATACCTTGTCGCGATACAGTCACGATAATGACAATGACGTCGCCATCAATGCCATATTCGCGATGGGTCTCCTTGGTGCGGGTACCAACAATGCTAGGCTTGCACAACTCCTCCGACAACTTGCCAGCTACTATCACCGCGACCAAAACTCTTTGTTCATGGTCCGAATTGCTCAGGGCCTCCTTCACATGGGGAAAGGCAGTCTTACATTCAACCCATTCCACACTGATCGACAGGTTCTATCGCGAGTTGCTGCAGCCGGTCTACTCACCGTCTTGGTCGCCATGATAGATGCCAAAGATTTCGTTCTTGCCGACTCGCATTACCTTTTATATTATCTTGTTACCGCCATGTACCCTCGATTCCTTGTTACTCTCGACGAGGATTTGCAGCCACTTAAGGTGAACGTTCGGGTTGGCCAAGCTGTGGATGTTGTGGGCCAGGCTGGTAGACCAAAGACTATCACTGGCTGGCAAACACAAAGCACTCCTGTCCTCCTGTCCTATGGAGAAAGGGCCGAGCTGGAAGACGAGGAGTATATCAGTCTTAGCAGCAGCCTTGAAGGGCTTGTCATTTTGCGAAAGGTAAGCAAAAAATCAATTACTTTTGCGAATGTTGAACCAGATACTAACTGCAGCCCTTGTGTAGAACCCCGAATGGGAAAGCTCATCATGAGATTTTGGCATGTCGGATCTGGATTGTTCTATGGGATGAAATGTATTTTCTTTTGCATTACTGCTAGATAAACTGGGGTTCCTGCTTTGCGGCAAGTAGGTGTGTTCAATACAATTAATTTCAAAATTGAAAAGTCACATAGTGCTCTATGATTTATGTCTTTCAGGATCACCGGAATAAAAGGCTTCTTAGAGAGGGATCTTACCGAACATACACGCCTTGGGTTGCAGGCTAAACTGTCTGATTGTGGCATTCAATCCACTTTGAAGATCGGCTTTTGAGTATCACGTGATTGATAAGATCTGTGGCCGCCTTATCTAGCAGACAGCACAGAAAAAGTCGTGTCAAGCTTAGAGTATCAAAGGCACATACAGGGTTGCTGTCTTGCATTTGGACATTGGGATACATCAATACGAAATATCCAACCTCTAGTGAGGGGTTAGTCCGTTAATATGAAGCTCGACGCAAAGGCGATGCGATACCTCACGAATGAGGATTTTCGAGTTCTTTCAGGCGTGAGTACCCCCGCACCGTACAACGTTATGAGAGGCATTCTGAGCAAAAGTTAATCTCCGCAGATCGAAATTGGAAGTAGAAATCATGAAGTTGTCCCTACACCTCTGATCATTCAGCTCTCTGGCCTTCGCGGTGGCAGCGGCGTTCATAAGTGTATATCGAATCTCGCAAAGTTGAACTTGATAGCGAGAGTTAAAAATGCAAAATGTACAGTAAACTCGACCCAATGCTTAGGACAATAGTGGCTGTCAAGAAATCTAGGACTGATATGTCTGAGTTTGAATAGATGACGGATATAGACTTACGTATGGCGGTCTCGATTACCTCGCGCTCCACACCCACCAGAAACAGAAGACCATATATTCAATCGGGAATCAGATTGGCGTCGGGAAGGAATCGGATATTATAGTTGTTGCAGACAACTCGAAAACGCAGAGAATATTGAAAATTCACCGCTTAGGTCGAATCTCGTTTCGATCGATTAAGAATAATCGGGATTATCTCCGGCATCGCACGTCCGCATCATGGATGTACATGTCTCGATTAGCCGCGGTTAAGGAATTTGCATTCATGAAGGCACTTAGGGAACATGGTTTTCCAGTGCCAGAGCCAATCGCCCAGAATCGCCATACTATTGTCATGAGCTTGATCGATGCTTTTCCCCTACGACAGATCGCTTCGGTCCCCGATCCTGCGTCATTATATTCTGAGTTGATCGATATGATCCTTCGTCTCGCAAGATACGGGCTAATACATGGTGATTTCAACGAATTCAATATATTAATCAAAGAAGAGTCAAAGAAGGCCGCGAAAGGAAAGCAGCCAGAAGGATCAGAAATCGATTTGGATGACCTTCAACTAGTGCCTGTGATCATTGACTTTCCGCAAATGGTTTCCACAGATCACATGAATGCCGAGATGTATTTTGATAGAGATGTTAACTGCATCAAAAGGTATTTCCAGAGAAGGTTTGGCTTTGTGAGTGATGAGCCGGGGCCTTTTTTCCGTGATGCCAAAAAGCTCGTTGGCAGAGACGGTGCTGTGAGATTGGACGTCGAAGTGGAAGCTTCTGGCTTTTCTAGAAAAATGGCTAGAGATTTAGAAGCGTATATGAAAGAAGTTGGCGTTGATGGGGATGCTGGAGGGGAGAGAGGCGATGAGGGCAGTGAATCGGAATTGGATTCTGACGAAGACTACGAAGATGAGGACGGAGGCACTACGCTCAATACGAGGGAAGAAGATGATGGCACTCAACAGGTACCATCAATATCAAAAGATACCCCAGGAATTGATAGGCTTCGAATTTCAGAGCCGTCATGAGTAGGAGCTAGTCTATGGGGTGCTCCATACGGACTGAGTTCGCATAAGCAGCCGTAATGAGTAATTTAAATAATGAAATTATCCCGTACATGTCATTTATGCTACTCGATGCTGAAAAAACGTATCAAAGGTAGTTAGGACACACTCTTCAAATTCCCACTACGATAAAACTCTGTCAAGGCAAACAAACGCGATTTTTACCTCAGAGTGTAGAAACTCTGCCCAACTAGGGGCTGCCAGACAATGTTCGCGAGAAAGCCCAAGTGAATACTCCGTACTCCGTAGTTAACTAGTAAACTAATTGACTACGGAGTGCTACAACACCAAACTACGCAGTCTTATCTCAAGCCGCAAAAAAGATCACCACCGAGCCAGCGACAGCAAGGTCGCTCTGACAATCTACCTCCCAGCTCAAGCAGCCCGAATTATCTTCCCTTGTCGCCTCAAATTCCGTTTTTAGGTATTACACCGTGTATATAATAATAAAATGCCCAGAGCACCGAGCATCAAGAACCTCCCGTTCAATTGGTTCAAACCTCCAGCTCCCGTTGAGCAGCGGAAACAAGTCTACCTGTATGCGCTTTCTTCCATTCCCGGATAATTCTCAGAGAACTCGAAGATTCTTTGCTAATGTAACCATCATACAGACCAGAATTCACAATAACCTTAATCCGCACACCTTTTCTCCCACCGCGCTATGCCTCATTCTGGGTTCCGCTGTCCTTCAACAAACTGGACATGAAGGATTACTTGAAAAGAGTATATGACGTCGACGTGATCAAGGTGCGAAGCTACGTTGAGCAGCAGAAAGTCACAAGGGAGAGGCCAATGGGCAAAGAGGGCTATGGTCCACTTAGAAGGCCGATGGCCAGGAAGAAGATGACAGTGGAAATGACAGAGCCGTTTGTGTGGCCGGAGGAACCAAAAGACTTTTCACCGTATGTTATGACTGTGTTTCCTCTTCTCACAGGGTTGACGCATCAAAGCAATTTGCGTGAAGACATGATAAAAAACTAACTACTTGTTCTGATTTGCAGGTGGGAGCGAGACACCTATTTCGAAGCGAAAAAGATGCAGGAGGATTATCAGGAGGCGCACGGCCCAGAAGCCGGCATGAAAGCCCCGGAACGCCAGAGAGAATTGCTTGCCGAGCAGGCGAAGCGCCTAAAGCAAGGGAGGGAGACGTGGCAGCCAACGTGGCAAACTCTTGGGTTGAACTTTGAGAGGCCATTGCTTAGACCACAAACGACACCGTCCTCACAAACGTCATCGTCCTCGTAAAAGTAATATATATCCAAGCAGCGAATGGCAGCAGAGAGCTGTGAGAAGATATTTGGGATCTTTTAACGCGCAGTTGGATACAAACTGACGGCGTTTGAAGTTTAAGATTGATGTCTGGCTATATTCAACCTCAAATATGTATTATCTAACACTATCTTTCCTTGGCCTCTAGATGCCAGGACTGTATCAATAGACATGTGGATTTACACGCATCTGGTACTAAGTGGACACTACCATGATCATATTGATGTTGTCAAAGATAGGAAAATCTCGAAATAAAGAACTAGAAATAGAGTGCAATGATTATAGTAGTATACATATGACTGAGCTGAAAAATCCAACGCTCAAAGCAAGACAAAATCGCCACTTCTCTCCAACACCGTCGCTATATCACGATATGTAATGTGCGTGACACAAAAGGACTAATGAAATCTGGTGTGAAGAACACTCCGAGATGTATTAAAATGGGACTACAGCCTGCTTTCAAATAGTGGGTGACGATGTTCACCTGGCCAATGGCCGTGGGGCCAAATGTGTCGAATAGCTTCCCAAATATGCCTTTAAAACAAAACATTAGCATTTGCGGGGAGCTAGCCTGATGAGAGAGAAATCAAAGACGGGTGATTGTTGACGACTTACTTGACATAGACAATTTCGAGGCCGCTTTGCACTTCCATGGGAACATCCCGCACATCTTTTCGATTATGATCGGGAAGAAGGACTGTCTTTACACCGGCCCTGTGGGCACCGATGAGTTTCTCTTTAATACCGCCAACTGGCATCACCCGTCCACGAAGAGAGATTTCGCCTGTCATGGCAATCTCTGGAGGAACTGTTTTACCCGCGAAAAGCGAAACCAAGGCAATAGTATGAGCGAGGCCTGCAGAAGGGCCATCCTTTGGAATGGCTCCAGATGGGCAGTGCACGTGGAGGCTGCGATGCTTCATGATGTCCTCATTTGGGTCCTGTGTGACACCTAGTTCATACGAGTGGGCTTTGACCCAGGTCAAAGCGACCTCGACGGATTCCTTTAAGACGTCTCCAAGTTTGCCAGTCAGTTGAACACTTCCATTTCCGGGCATGTCAGCAACTTCAATGAAAAGGATACTGCCTTGGCCACCACTCGAGTACGCTACAAGGCCAGTGACAATCCCAGGTCTCGCATGTTTCTCCGCAATTTCTTCGTCGAATTTCTCAATGCCAAGGATCTCGTCCAGGTCTTCAATGGTGACATTGGGATTGTATGTAGCAACTTTGTTGGCATCCTTTGCATCTGCGTACTGAACAGCTTTGAATCGACAAACGGAGCCTATCTCCCTTTCCAAGTTGCGAACTCCGGACTCACGAGTATATGATGTAATTATTTTGTCGAGGATGTCGTCTGACAATTCGACTTGTCCTTCGGAGAGACCGTTCGTTCTGACTTGTTTCGGGACGAGGTGTCTCCTCGCGATATGTCGCTTTTCGATGGTGGTATAGCCTGACAGCTGTATTGTTTCCATACGGTCAAGCAATGGAGCAGGAATCGTGTCCAGCGAGTTGGCAGTTGCAATGAATAATACTTTGCTCAAGTCGATTGGAATATTGATGTAATGATCCGAAAAGCTGTGATTCTGCTCAGGATCCAAAACTTCGAGCATCGCTGCTGATGGATCACCGTGGAAGTTGGCACCGCCCACTTTGTCAATTTCATCGAGCAGGAATACCGGATTTGCAACGCCAACCTTTTTGAGACCATTCACGATGAGACCAGGCATGGCTGCAACATATGTTCTACGATGGCCTCGAATTTCTGCCTCATCTCTCACTCCTCCCAGTGAAATCCGGTGAAATTTGCGTCCTAAAGACGTCGCAATTGACTTTGCAAGACTGGTCTTACCAGTGCCAGGAGGGCCGACCAGAAGTAGAATTGGTGATTTATCAGTCTTTCGCTTAGACTTAAGCACATGCAGCTTGGCTTCAATATTGTCGCGCTCGGCGTCAGGTACTGGTTCTCCCTCATCCAATTTCCCCTCAGTGGCATTTAGATCAGAGGACAGCTTGGAGATCTCGGCATCAACTTCGCTGTTTAGTGACTGTTTAAGTTTGAGAACTGCCAGATACTCCAGCAGCCGCTTCTTGATTTTCTCCAGGCCGTAGTGGTCATCATCGAGTTGTTTCCGTGCTCGTTGCAATGTTTCAACGCCAAGCTGGTCCTCTGTCACCTTTGTCCATGGAATTTCCGCTAGATTCTCCAAGTAGGTACGGCAAACGCCATATTCCGCATTAATCGGGTTCATTTGCCGTAATCGCTTGAGTTCTCGATCGGCAACCTTTTGGGCTTCAGGGCTCAACTGGGCATCCTGGAGTCTCTGCTGGAGCTCATCGATTTCGCTATTTTCCTTCTCCCCTTCGCCATCACCCTTTCCCAACGGCATAACCGCACCAGCTGGGCGTCTTGCAAACATTTCTCTCTGGCGAGGGTCCAGCGTATTTATGTCGATTCCGATGTTTGTGGGCAGACCGGTCGTGGAGATAGTGGTAACTTTGATGACATTTTTGATGGACTGCACCTGCTTGACAAGCAATTCAACTACGCGTTCCAGCCGAGTCTTCAGGTCCAATGACGCCAATACTCGTAACTTCTCTTCAAAGCTCCCATCGGCTATTTCTGCCATGAAGTCGGCGAGACTACCCGCCTGGGAAAGGTCCTTTTTGGAGATGAGAAGCTCGAACCTTCTCGCAACAAGTGGCGACATGCCTGACTTCGACGAGAACATTGACGCCAATCTTAGCAACGCGAGAAACTCGCGAGACAAGTGTTTGAGTTGATCAAACAGATCTGGGATCTCGGCATCAATGGAATGAGGCACTGGAAGACCGGAGCAATCAGCACAGGCGCAGATCGTAATCATATTCCAGATGAACAGAAGCAAAGCATACCTGGCTCATCATAAACGATAACCTCGGCTTCAAAATGTGGCTTGTCCTTTGTAAATTTGCGAATTGTAAACCTCTTTGCCCCTTCTACAAGCATGTACGGTTCGGCATTCGGCCGGCCTTGGACACCAATTATTTTGGCAACGGTACCATATCCAAACAAATCCCCTCTGGATGCACGTGCCGGGTCAACCTTCGTAGTATCTTGGGATCGTTCGTTCTCATTCTCTCCATCTTCTAGCAAGCGTTGACCGTCCTTCGAAAGGAGCGGTGAACCAAGAGGGACGCAGCCGACAATAACTGGGGCATTACCGTATCTTTGAGAAGATCGACTAAACACGGACGTCAATAGGATTGGTATATCGGAACGGTCCGCAAGGGGAATTCGCAAGGTCGTGCCGGGAAGGAGGAGAGTTCCCTTCGCTAGAGGGATAAGAGGGAGCTTCATCGTTCGGCTACTCGTGGAACTCATGGTGTTGATGAGTAAAGGACCTAGAGTGCAGGCTTCTATGTGGGATGACTATGAGGCCATCTCAGGAGATCAGAACAACAGCTACTGCGTGAATCAAGGCGTAAAGAGCAAGGACAGTGGGTTGGTTATAAAGACAATGTGAAGAAAATCCCCAAGAACCGGATAATGTCCCCTCAGATGAATGGGATAAACGGTGCCACCGTGCAGCAATATACCGAGGTTACCGTATTACAAGTATTTCCCTGACCGCAGCAGCCTTCTTGTTTGCCAGAGGCCAAAACTCCGGCGGCAAAGTGTATTCACGTGACACTTGCCTGGCCTGTCGGCGTTCGCCGCGTGGTGCAAGACCTATCACGGCCGAATCCGTCTCGCAAAACTCGAATGTTTTGGGGCATTGGTGGCGTAAATACATCCGTCCCTGAGATGAATTAATAGCATGCAAGGAATTGAAAGCGAGGGGCAACAATGAATAAGTGCCGTAACCGGAGTTGTGTATGGTCAACCTCCTCATCAGTTAAGTAAGGTTCGGGTCCCAACGCGCGAAACGTGGGAGGTGAAGAGCATGGATGGAGTAGCATTCAGATTCTGATCAACTCGACAACCATCAGCTGCGAATTTTGAAGAACCTTAGAAACAGTATTCTCTAATCACAGTTGCAAAGACTTTTCTGAACCTGCAGTCTCCTTTACTAAAAAGTCCAGCTAGATCCTATTCCACCTTCTAGCTACCTTCTCCTTTTTTTTTTTCTTCCGATTTACCCCTCCAACCCCCTCCATCACAATGGCCTCAACTGAAAGGAAAACGTTTACCATCGGGACAAGAAAATCTCAGCTTGCTCTCGTACAAACTGACCTTGTTCGAAATGCTCTTCAAGCTGCTTTCCCTGACTGTGAATTCAAAGTCCATAGTCGCGATGCTGCTGGAGACTTGAATAAAGTTACTCCTCTACGAGCATTCACGACGAAAAACCTCTGGACTGAAGAACTTGAGGAATTGCTCATAGCGAAGCAAGTAGATCTCGTGGTGAATTCATTAAAAGGTTGATCGTGCTTCTGTCTCAACACAACCTCAAGATCCGCGGCTGACATCTTTCTTTGCGCTAGACATCCCAACGCAAATTCCAACTGCCTGCGTACTGGCAGCTGTTATGAAACGCGAGAATCCAAGAGATGTGCTAGTTTTAAAAAAGGGCCTACCTTCGATGACTCTGGCTGAACTGCCACCAGGGTCAGTTGTAGGAACATCGTCAGTCCGACGCATTGCTCAACTTGCACGACACTACCCACACCTGAAGGTTCAGGATGTCAGAGGCAATATAGACACCCGGTTAGCAAAGCTCGACGCTCAAGATGGGCCATTCAGCTGCTTGATACTGGCTGCTGCTGGACTGCTAAGGACCGGTCGGGAGGATCGCATCTCTCAATACTTGGATTCTACAAACGGAAAGATGCTTCATGCCGTTGGCCAAGGAGGCCTGGGAATTGAGATCCGCACCGACGATGAGGTTATGAGAGATATGCTCAACAAGATTGGAGATGTAAAGACTACATATGCATGCCTCGCAGAGAGGAGTTTACTGAGAATCCTTGAAGGTGGTTGTAGCGCACCCCTTGGTGTTGAAACGGAATGGATTCAAGATGATAATGGGAAGGATCTCCTCAGATTGAGGTCAATCGTGACGAGTGTTGACGGAAAGGAAGCCGTGGAAATCGAGGAAGACGGTGATGTCCAGTCGGACGAGGCGGCGGAGACGTTTGGAAAAGAGGTAGCGTTGAAGCTTGTTGCCAGGGGGGCCGGGAAGATACTTAAAGATATTCAAAACGACAAAAAAGAGCAATAAACGAGGAGATATTTATTTCTTCTTGATTATTGCAGGTAAAGTGTATACAACTCAAGATGAGACCTGATCCCCAATGCCAAAGCAGGAAGTTTGTATCAACTAAACTGCCCATACTTGTCGAAATCCGATATTCCAATTCCACTGTACTCCGTAACTACCGTCAATTTCTCAAGCTGACATGCTCGGGGTCGTCGTGTTGCTCGTCAGCCCAGGTAGCATGGAAGCTGCGGGTGTGTGTATTATTGGCTAGATCGCTCCACGGCTGCCTTATCGACCTAAAACTGCTTTGCCTTGGGAAAACCCAGAACCACAACACCCAAGGATATAGTGGCCGTTGATACTTTCAAATCTTCCGGATACATTGTTCACATCCCAAGTCCCTTTCGCGGCTCCGTCTCACATCCCCAAAATACCCCTCAAGCTTAAGACCAGGCTTGACAGCTAAATTGAAACTCTCTTGATTGTCGATAATGTCCAGATCTATCGATCATTTCCGCGACAGCCAAGCTCCAGATGATTATCCGCGAGTCTACCTCTTTGGCGATTCTCTAACGGAATGGGGGTGTTCGGAATTGGATTCGGGGTTTGGGTGGAGATTAGAACAGTATTACAAAGACCGGGTTGAGGTTGTCAATGAAGGTAATTACCATTGCTGGGTTCATGAAGGCCCCTGGTGGAGTTCACCCGCTGATATAGTTTGAAATAGGATATGCCGGGTACGCTCTATGCACCTATTACCCTTACAAATAGAGAAATAGAGGAAAAATGAATTTGCTGATCGTGGTTGGAGAAGACAAACGACAAGGTCGCTTCGCAGAATCTTCAAGGAACGAATCCTTGACAAGGCAAAGGAGCGTGGCTCACCCGCGCCGCTCTTTATAACGATATTTCTTGGAGCTAATGACGCCTGTTTAGATGGTGCCGGCACATACGTTCCCATAGAAGAATACGAAGAACATATCCGACACTATGTCAATAGCATCCTTAATCATCCTGCTACAAAGTGCACTAAAGTCATTTTGATTTCACCACCACCGGTCAACGTACCTCCTCCTCCAAAAGAGGGCTCGGAAAGCGACTTGGATATCCCTTCGGTTGCCGACGCTTTGTGGCATGTGGCTGCCAAGGGTCGAGGCCACAGGACTTGGGAATCGAAAAGAAAATTTGCGAAGAAAATTGTCGAAATTGGGCATGAGTTTCAGGAAAGGGCGGAACGAGTGGCACTTTTAGACTTCTGGACTATTATCACCAAGGCTGCGTGTCTAGAGGACGGCGAGGGCGACCCAGTTGATATCTTCCGCAAACTTGATCTCGAAGATATATTACCAGGCTGTGGCATGCCGGGGTCGAAACGATTTGGACGCGGTTATTTCACTGACGGCCTCCATCTGGGCGAAAAGGCAGGTTTTTGCAAGTGACGTTGTGCGGATGCCTTTTATCTGCTAACGTTATAGTTGACAGGGGTATGAAATTCTCGGCCAAGGTCTCTTAGATCTCGTTTTAAAAAGATGGCCAGAGTTGAAAAGCGAGAATTTCCCGATCCGGCCGTGCGAGATAACTTCGGCATAATCTCGTCCCTCGGAACACTTGTCAGACAGTGAAGGATTGACACAAAAGGTCAACAGCATTGTAGAGGAAATAATGATGCATTCCTATTTAGCCTCTGTTTAAGGTGTTGCCGGAACCTCTTGGGTTTTCCTCTTTGAATTCATCCCACGCTCGTGCCTTCATCGTTTCTTCGTCGGCCTTCTTCATGTCATCTTCGTCAATTTCTTTCGGCGCGCCAGATTGTTCACCCCCACCTTCGATAATTCCTCCTCTCTTTCGCTCTTCTTCCAAGTATTCCTCTATTGTCATTGTCGGCAAATTGTGACCAGGCCGAAAAACTCCTCTCTGAAGTTCTGCCCTTCGACTCGTTAGGACGAAAGGTTGAAGGGGAACACCACCCTTGCTAAGAAGAGGGCCTCTTCCTCCACGACTACCCGAAGAAAGGCCAACATCGAGTCGCTCCGAATAGCCTGGAGCGCTGCTTGTACCACGTGTCCTTGAGTCCTCCGGGGTTTGGGATGGATGCTCTGAGGCAGCTTTTGCCGCAAGTTTCAGCATAGATAGTTCGTGCGACAGCATGTCCAAAGATTGAAAGGTGTGGTGTGTGTAGAGGTTTATTTCTGCTAGATATAGCTGTCTCACAATCTCATCATCGTGGTCTATCGACTTCTGATTTTGGGAGAGATACTAAAAACATGAAAGTGTAGAAGTTAGTAGATCGTTTAATTGTACCCTATCGTTGGCCATTTCGAGGTGTATACCTCAATTTTCTGTTTTAACTCCTTTTCTTCGCGAAATCGATCAATTTTAACTTGTCGTCGGGCAGCAAAATCGTTCGACGGAGCAAGACTGAATGAGTCCGGAGATTCGAGGTATTGTTCGTAGAGCTTCTTATATGATTGAGATAGGATTCCATACTGATCCAGCAACTCCAGAAAACTTTCATACTCTTCACGAGTGCGTTGAACATTCTTCAGGCGATCTGCATGTTGTGATCGTTGGAGCAGTTCAGCGAAAAGGTAGCCAACGGAGAGGTACCTAAGATTGCGCTGCGGGTTAGATTGGAATATGCGATCCAAGATTAAAAGGAATCGTACTGCAAATCGGCGGTGGCGATGTCTTCCAGAGGCTCATTTGGGCTAAATATGGAGAGCTTATGGATTAGTTTCTGGCAGGATTCAAACGCCTGAATTGTGGAATTGAGCTGGTCTCCATTAGAGGGGTCGTTGATGTCGGTAGCAGTTTCCAATGCCTTTTTTTGAGACTTGGCGGAAGTAAAGAGAGCCTGCAGACTCCTAGGTTCCTCGTCCATCGTGGGCTGGTTGTGCAATAGCTGAAGAGTGCCCCGAGCCAGTTGCCAAACTTGATGTTGATAAGTGTACAGAGTACAGAGTAGTGAGTACAGAGTACGGAGTAGTGTGGTAGGTATGTATGTACACTCGTCGGAGCTGTGATGGAACTAGTTCCTAAGCAAGCCAAACTAAAATGTGGGCAATAAATGTTTCATTCATGGCCAGGACCCACCGCCATTCCGAGCATCTTGAGCTTGCATGTTTTAAGATTCACTGATACATGCTAACCAGGTGCAGACATGTTCATAGAAAGGATATATCAGTGAGGTCTTGCTCAACACATCAGGAAGGTCTCTCAATGTGTATTCCTGCTGCCTCCGATTGGCTCTGGGTGTCTGCCAGCTCAGCAGAATACATGGTGTAAGTACGAACCTGCATGCCCTCTTTGACATTCATCTCTGGCCCAAGGACCACTTTTTGATTGAAATAAGCAACCAACAAACAGAAAAGAGCTAGGCACTTGCCGTCAACCCTTTGTATGCCATGTATCTAAGGGTCATTGCTAGGTGAATTGAAATCTTCATCCTCACTTGCCATACACCCTCTTCTCTTGTTCCCTCTGTTTACATGAATGGAACAGCGGGGTAGCTGTTTTGGCCAACCCCTTGGTCAAAAGAAACTGCCTTATCTTTCTTTCAGCCTAAGGCTGCTTTGATTACCCTTCACTTCAGTCATTCCGAAGAAATTATCAACTGGCCTTTCCATCCAGTACAGTGGTCACAGATTTGCGATGCAAGTTTAGATTGCAAGGTGATATCAAAGAACCAGCTTTTTTCTACCAAGCTGAACTCCCCTAAAAACTCTACTTCCATTTGTTGCTGTCTTGCCAATTCTTCAAACCATAGGGCTTGTTAAACGGGAACCTCAGATTGCAAAATGGAGGAGCCGCACAGGATAAACGATGAACCCAACGACTCCGTTGTGCCCGATCCAGCTGGACCGTCCGAGCTTGCAGAATCAGACAGCGAAGATGAACATACCCATCCAAACAACGCCGACGAACCCAGTATTCGCCGGAAGCAAAACTTGCGATTCAAGGAGCTGTTGGTTGACCTCCCAAAAGTACACTCACCTCCTCTTTCTCTAACAGGGTTATGGTATAGATTATCAGCGCGGGCAGAAGAAATCACGGCCGAAGATATCAAGGAAGTAATCAAAGCGACGAAGGACGATGAATTGTCTATGTCGAATCTCCTTGCAAAGCAAGACTTTGCCTCCGTGATACATGATCCACGAGAGTATCAGCTAGAATTGTTCGAAAAGGCAAAGAAGGACAATATCATTGCTGTCCTAGATACCGGTATTATTGGCGTCTCCATTCTTTACATCTTGTCTCCTATCCTCATTGAATTTAACGGACGGGCTGGCGATGGAAGTCTGATTCTGCGTAGGCTCTGGGAAGACGTTGATAGCAGTGTTGCTTCTTAAGCACATAATTGAGCAAGAGCTGATCGACCGAAGTGCTGAGAAACCTCATCGAGTGTCTTTTTTTTTGGTTTGATATAATCTTTTCGGAACACTCTTTCCCCAGCTAATCTCTCTTGTAGGTCGATAGCGTAACGCTTGTTTTCCAACAAGCTGCAGTGCTTCAGAATAACATCAATCAAAGGGTCGATAAGTTTTGCGGTGCCATGGAAACGGACTTGTGGAATGGAGAGACATGGGAAAGACATCTTGCTAAAAATATGGTCATTGTTTGCACTGCTGAAGTGCTATATCAGTGTCTACTTCATGCTTTTGTTAAAATGGAAAACATCAACTTGCTGATCTTCGACGAAGCTCATAATGCAAAGAAAGATCACCCCTATGCAAGGTAAAGCTCAATGTATGTGTGGTAATACAGAGCTGATAGCCCTCATAGGATTGTCAAGGACTTCTACTTGAAGGATGGAAACGCTAAAAGGCCGAAAATATTTGGCATGACAGCATCACCCGTCGATGCCAAAGTGGATGTGGTAAAAGCTGCAAGGTTATCCGCGACATTCTCCAGACGCGTGATTCGAAAATGCTAACACAAAATAGAAACCTTGAGACACTGTTGAATAGCCAAATAGCGACGGCGTCCAATCTTTCTCTCCTACGGCAGAGTGTTGCGCGGCCTAACGAGGAGGTCTGGAGCTATGATCGACTTGATCAACCGTTTGAAACGCGACTTTACAAAGAACTACGTTCCCGTTTTGGGGATCTACGTGCACTCGAAAAGCTTTTCACATTTTCTCTCAAGGCCTCGTCAAATCTGGGGGCCTGGTGCGCGGATTGGGTTTGGTCATATGCATTGACCGAGGAATCATTGCCAAAGCTGGAAGGGCGTGCAGCCCGAACTGCCATGGGCAATCTACCAATAGCTAAAATTGTGAGACCCGAAGCCGAAATCCAACGTATTCGCGAAGCAAGTGAAATAATACGTTCCCATAAATTTGGAGATCCTGCGATTCGACCTGAACTTCTCAGCCCCAAAGTCCGGAGATTGCATCATGAGCTCTTGAAATATTTTGAGAGACACACGGATACCAAGTGCATCGTTTTCACAGAGCAGCGACACACTGCCAGGATTCTATGCGATCTTTTTTCTAAGATTGGAACCAAGCATCTTCGGCCAGGAGTATTAATAGGGGTGCGGTCAGATGCCTCTGGCGGCATGAATATATCGTTTCGTCAGCAGGTTTTGGCAGTGGTTTCATTTAGAAAAGGAGAGGTGAATTGCTTGGTAAGACTGCCGATGTATTTACTGCGTATTCCCATTAACAATGCCGAAGTTTGCAACTTCTGTTGCGGAGGAAGGCCTTGATATTCCGGACTGCAACCTTATAGTCAGGTATGCATGTCCCGCCGCTACTTAATGGATTTCTCTTCAACTCAAGTTGGCAGATTTGACCTTGCGTCAACCCTTACTCAATACATCCAGAGTCGGGGGCGCGCAAGACACATGAATTCAACGGTAGGGCTGTTGCATCACAGGATTTTGACCTTTGCTGATCCTCCTGTTAGTTTGCTCACTTGGTGGAGCGAGATAATTTTGTTCACAGAGAAAGTGTGAATCATCTTCAATCTTCAGAAGTAAGAACTCCCCTAAAATTCTTGCCTAGACATGCCTAATCATCACATGCAAATCACAGGAAATTATGAAGCGGTTCTGTATCTCTCTCCCAAAGGATCGCATTCTAAATTCCAATGATGTAGACGCACTCTACGAGGGTGATCGAAATCGGAAATGCTACACTGTCCAAACTACTGGAGCAAAGTTAACTTACAATTCTTCCCTGGTTGTTCTAGCCCATTTTGCTAACTCCCTGGTAAGGCCTCCTTATCTGCTCGGTTGCTTAAGCTCTGACATTATTTTCAGCAATACGAAAAGGAGACCTCAACAGTAGTGAGCTATTACCACCGGTTCACAAAAAACGCGTTTGTCTGTGAGGTTGTCCTTCCAGAGAAATCACCAATACGTGGTATAGTTGGGAAACCCGCCTCGAAGAAACTAATTGCCAAACAGTCTGCCGCTTTTGAAACATGCTTGTTGCTCCGAAAACACGGGCTCCTTGACGATCATTTTGTGTCCACATACCATAAACGCTTACCGGCCATGAGAAATGCCCGCCTGGCAATCTCCTCTAAGAAAAGCAATCAATACGATATGAAGGTTAAACCAAAATTGTGGGAAACTTCTCGTGGAATCATACCTACCTCCCTCAATATCGTGGTTCTTGGTTTTCGCTCGCGAAGACTCTTGCACAGGGAGTATCATCCACTAGTTCTCTTAACTCGAGAGAAATTGCCACATTTTCCAGAATTTCCATTATATCTGGAGGATGATATTGAGTGCGACGTTATTTGCAGCTCAATAATCTCTGGTTTCCAAGTATCGGGCCATGACCTGGAGGTCCTTACTACCTTTACGCTTCGGATATTTCAGGATATATTTCATAAGGTCTATGATCGAGATGTAGGAATGATGACGTATTGGCTTGCGCCTTTGAATCTAAGCTGCGATATCTCCTCTTCGGCATCACGCGATCTTCTGGACTGGGGGATTCTTCAGTTTGTTTTTGATAACCCGGAGATTCCCTGGTCCTCAAGTAACTCGGCGGCGTTCTTTGCCAATCGATTTGTTTATGACAGATGGAATGGCAGGTACCGCTACTTCACACACGGAATTGATCCAAGTCTTCGACCCTCGGACCCTCCGCCCTCTTCAATGGCACGGCGACGACATATGGGCAATATAATGGACTACTGTCTTAGTCTGTTTAAAAATGCCAGAAAGAAGTTCCTGGAAAATTGCGACTGGACCCAACCCGTTATTAAGGCGGAGATAATTCAGTTACGCAGAAATCTTTTGGATAAGCGGACTAACAAGGAAAAAATAAAAGAAGGAGACTATTATATTTGTCTTGAGCCTTTAACGATTTCGGCGGTAAGTTTAAATTGGGATGCGGGAGCTACTATAAATGGTTGACACACTTGAAAGATACCAGCTTCAGTTGCCGCCTTTGCTTTCGCATTTCCGGCGATAATCAGTCGTATTGAATCGTATCTTATTGCTTTAGAAGCTTGCCAGGAATTGGATTTACCCATTTCTCCGGAGCTCGCACTTGAGGCTTTGACTAAGGACTCAGATAACACCGATGAACATCGAGCCCAACAGATTCATTTTCAGAGGGGAATGGGCAAAAACTACGAACGATTGGAATTTCTTGGTGATTGCTTTTTGAAAATGGCAACTTCGATCTCGTTATTTGCAATGAATCCAGATAACGACGAGTATGATTTTCACGTCAAGCGAATGTGTTTGGTCTGTAACCAGAACCTTTTCAAAACTGCAGTACGGTTCAAGCTTTATGAATTTATACGAAGTCAAAGTTTCTCCAGGTATATACCCATTTGCCCGAGCCATGTAGCTTACATACTGACTTGGGAATAGGAGAGGTTGGTATCCAGAAGGCCTGACCTTGCTGCAGGGTAAAGGGCAGAGTAAAGGTGCTACCGAGAATAAGCATGCCCTTGCAGATAAAACTATTGCCGACGTTTGTGAAGCTCTGATTGGGGCATGCTGCCTGTTAGCCAGCAAGAATCACCGCTTTGACATCGCAGTTAAAGCGGTGACTGCTCTCGTCAGTAGCGATGATCATAACGTTTTGAATTGGGAGCAATACTCTCGGCTCTACTCACTTCCTAAGTATCAAACAGCTGTCGTGGATGCCGCAGAGCTTGACTTAGCAGCTCAGGTTAAAAAGAAATTGGGTTACGTTTTTAAATATCCAAAGCTCCTACGGTCTGCCTTTACGCACCCTTCATACCCTAGTGCTTGGGCGAGAGTTCCCTGTTATCAAAGGTTGGAATTCCTCGGTGACGCCTTGCTTGATATGGCCTGTGTCGAGCACATTTATCATAAACATCCAGATAAAGATCCTCAATGGCTCACAGAGCATAAAGTAAGGCCCTCTACCCTGCCACCGTTTCAGCCATGTCCTAACAATGTATCCAGATGGCGATGGTGTCAAACAAGTTTCTTGGCTCTGTTGCAGTGAGACTTGGACTCCATTCTCATCTCAACCACTTTTCCACCTCGCTTCAGTCGCAAATTACCAATTATGTGGAGGAAATTGAAGCAGCAGAGCTAGAAAGTGGTGACTCCCCTGATGCGTGGACATTGACGAGCGACCCGCCGAAGGTACGCCGCTTCCATAATTCGTGAGCTCCTTGGGTGCAAATCAGAGTCTAACCGGTTCCATAGTGCCTTCCAGACATGGTAGAAGCGTATATTGGCGCAATATTTATTGACTCAAACTTCAGCTTTGAGGTAGTCGAGGAATTCTTCCAGAAATTCCTCAAGAAGCATTTCGAAGACATGACCATTTACGACACCTACGCAAACAAACACCCAACGGTTAAGTTTCTGGGCTCAAAGAGACGTGGAATCCAGGCTAACAATATTGCAGACGTATCTACATAACAGGCTGGCCATCGACTTTGGCTGTTCAAATTACTGCTTGAAAGCTGGCGAAGTGCCATATGTTGATGGGCCAGGCACGCGGGTGCTTGCAGCTGTTATCGTGCATGATGAAGTAGTGACTGAGGGCGTAGCCTCTTCGTCTCGTTATGCTAAGCTGAAGGCGAGCGAGGCAGCTCTTTCGAAACTCGAAGGCTTGCCGCCATTCAGATTCCGGGAGATATATGGATGTAATTGCCAGGCAGGTCAAAGCGAAGCTGGAAACGAATAAAGGCTATCCTACGGAGTAGTTATTGAACGGAAATGAGCTTTTCCCTTTTCTTTTTTTTCTTTTCTTTTTCTTTAACAAAAAGGTACGGATGTCGGTTCCGTCAGTTCAGCTCTGTACACCGTATCCGTACGGAGTACTCCGCGTTCTCCGTACAGCAAATCGTTTTTGAAGAGCAAGGGAATGGAGCCACGTCATTAGTCATCAACTCACGGAACCACGAACCACGTTTCAGGATCCACTAAGCTGTAATTGGACTAGCGCAGCCGGGCCTCTAATTTAACCACACCCCCTGACCGCCCGAGTCCCGTGACCTGCATGGTGTAAACACGCCGCGTCCACCAAAAAGTTGAAGCAGGGGATCCAGCATTGTCAAACAGGAGAGCTTGACTCTTTTACTTCTCTTTTACATGATTCTAACGACCACCACATTATCGGTCGATGTACATATGACCCTGGATCCTTTCTCTTAAGTTCACCTTTTCGATGAACCCGTGGGACTAGTTAGGGTTCGTGGGTACCAGAGGATGGAGGTCGCTTCGCAAGGGGTGTCAAATGGCCTCGCTCCGCCAACAACGTTCCCGACTACGGATCCAACTATCGTTGTCCAACACCTGGCGGAAGTCCTCCAGGGGACTCTAGGCGCGCTAAGGAAAGATTTAGAGTGCACCGGAAGCTTGCTGTCAACGTCAAAATATTCGGAAACACTGCAAAGATGCAGTCGATTCGCTTCCGAGTCGCAGACCGCGATCTACGCTCACAAGGAAGTCGCTGAAGTGGAGGACACTAATGGAACAGAAGAGGAACCTTGTATGTAATGATGCAACCTCCAACGCTGATGCTAGGATTGAGAAGCTGACGAATTTCTCATCTTTGTTGCAGCTTCATCCACCCAATACATCTACACTCTTAACTCGGAGATATCAATAGCATCAAATACGGTTGCCGCAGTCGCGTTTCTTAAATCACCATCGCCACTTGATCCCGCGATCCCTGTCTCATCACAGGTCCAAGTTCTCACATTACCGGGGTTTTCTGCTTCGAGTAACACGGCCATATCTCAGGGCCCTGCAACTTCACCGTATGAAGTCCTCCATTCCTTTGTCCATCTCGCCCTAGCGCCATATTTTGAAGCGTACACAAGGGGTCAAGATGCTTCCAAAACGAAAGGAGACGCGGACGCCAAAACTGGTGTACCAGGTGCGAAGAAAAAGATCGCCGAGCTCGAACTTAGCCTGCTGCACCTTCAGCAAAATATAGAAATCCCGGCTTTGAACCTCCCCATGCATGAAATAGTGCAGTCGGCGTTAGATGAGGCCCAACTCCGAGGCGTGAAACCGTCGGTAGAGCTTGTCCCAGGTGCTGTGCTCGAGAACCACCTTGTCATCAACAGTATTCAGAGTACTGTTAATGGGTGGATCAAGTCTATTCAAAGTATCACAAAGATGTCTCGCGACCCTGAAAGCGGCTCTGCGGCTCAAGAGATCAACTTTTGGCTCGACATGGAAACTGCTCTTGAGGGGATCGAGGCCCAACTTCAAGCGGATGGGGTTCAGCTGACTATGGATATCCTCCGACATGCTAAACGTTACCAAGCTACCCTGAGTTTTGTCGCAGATACCGGTCTAAAGGAAGCTGCAGAAACGGTGCAGAAATACAACCAACTGCTTCGCGACTTTCCTCTTCCAGAATTGCAGTCAGCAACATCTCTGCAGAAGGTCCAGGAGGCGTTGAACTTGATATTCGCACATTTGAACAAAAAGCTCCGCCTTTGCCCGTACCCGATCAAGCGCGCGTTGTCTCTTGTAGAAGCCATTTCCGGAGATCTTGATTCAAGAATACACACTTTAATCAATGGCAAGGCGATCATGCATCTTGACTTTAAGGAATTCCGCTCTTTAATGCGCGCCGCCCAAGTAGTATGGCGTGCATGGGACGAGAACATCAAGGAATTCACCAACGTCGCTCGTGATGCCATGAGGCGTCGAAATGAGAAATTCATCCCCATTAAAGTCAGGTCGAAACATGCGGAGACCCAGGATCGTCTAAAATATATCAACACGTTCCGGACGAACCATGAACAACTTCAACGCACGATTATGAATGTCCTTGGCCCCAGATCAACCCAGCCTGGCGGTCCTTTAGGCACTGAAACTGATACCATTGCTCTTGATGATATCGGAGATGTCGATGCTGTTGAAGAGGTGAGGCAAGCGTATGCACCATTGAAAGACGTCGATGTTCTTGACGTTTCGCCAAAAGGCACGGAGCGATGGATTCGGGAAGAGACTGCGTATAATGAAAGAACATCCCGAGTTGAAAACCTGATAATTGCACGACTTCGGGATCGCCTTGCCACCGCGCAGAATGCGAATGAGAAATTCCGTGTATTTTCGAAATTCAATGCCTTGCTGGTCCGCCCTAAGATCAGGAGTGCTATTGGGAAATATCAGACCGAATTGATCGATGATGTGAAAAAGGATATCGCTGCCTTACATGAACGATTCAAACAGCAGTATGGCCATTCAGAAGCTCATGCAATGGCGCAGCTACGAGATCTTCCACCGGTATCAGGTGCCATTATCTGGGCACGACAGATCGAGCGACAATTAGATGGGTATATGCGAAAGGTAGAAGATGTCCTTGGAGAAGACTGGGATCTTCATTCCGAAGGACAGAAGCTACAAGCCGAAAGTAACATGTTCCGTAAGAAGCTCGACACTCGACCCGTTTACCAAGCTTGGCTACAAGATGTTCAAAGACGAAATATCACGATATCTGGACGATTATTTAACATTACTCGCAATAGGGCTGCTGGTAACGCCTTCGAACTTGTCGTTAATTTCGACGCACAAATAATCGCCCTTTTCAAGGAAGTTAGAAACCTTGTTTGGCTAAATTTCCAGATTCCTCACGCAATCAACAGCATATCCAAGGAGGCCAAGCGTGTATATCCTTTTGCGATCAGCTTAATGGAAAGTGTCCGAACGCTGCACCAAACTATTCGGGCGATCGCATCGATGTCACAAGCAACCATACTCCTGAATGGGTATCAGAATGATGTTCAAGCTCTCATCATGAAGGGCCTGCCACTGCGATGGGAATCATTCATCCACTCGTACGAGCTTCATGTCAAGCAGGGCATTGCCAACGGCTCTGTAGACCCTTCTGTTACACCCGCTCGAGGCGAAAGCAAGCATGTTCAGTTTGTGCGAGAATTTGCTCTCTCAGCATCTGTGTTGCAAGCTAAATCTGCCACATTGACTTCTATCGACGAATCCGTTCAGAAAACTATCCTTGAACTCAAGTCTTGCCCTTACGAGGCCGATGCCTTTCGTCAGCGTCTTGACCAAATTCAAATCGCCGTTGACAAACTGAACTTGGAAAATTATGCTAATCTGGGGTTCTGGGTCGCTAACTTGAACAACATGGTCGAGTCAATTCTACAGGATCGACTACGTAGAGCGATTCGGCACTGGATCCGATCATTCCAGGAAGCGAAACATGAACAAGCTCACAAAATTAGCCATGGAGAACCTTCCGATTCAGCAGAAGAAACTCAAATCCAGCACATCCAGTTTCCCAACCTCCTTCACGAGATATCGATGAGGAATCAAGTTATGCACCTGGATCCCCCATTAGAATTTGCGAGAGCCAATTGGTTCTCTCATTTCGATCAGTGGGTTGGGGTTCTGTGTAACTTGGAAAGAATAAAATCGTCGAGATATAAGATGTCAATCCATGCAGAAAAAGCTCGTCTTTCTGAAACGCATTTCTCTGCTCTTCCCCAATATTGTGCCGATGAATTGACAGAAGTTTACTCTGTGGTGGAAGCTAGACTGCAAGAGATTTCCGAATACATTGAAAAATGGCTGCAGTTCCAATCTCTATGGGATCTGCAATCCTCATATGTTTATGATGTCCTTGGCGATGACCTGTCACAATGGTTACAATTACTTCAAGAGATTCGCAGAAGCCGCGCAACTTTTGATACGTCTGAAGTTAGAAGATCTTTTGGTACTATTAGGATCGATTATGAACAAGTTCAAACTAAGGTCAATGCGAAGTACGATCAATGGCAACGGGAAATATTACTGAATTTTGGTGGAAAGCTTGGGACCCGAATGCGAGAAGTTTATGCCGAACTCCAGGCTGCCCGAAGAGACCTCGAGGGACAGTCGTTAGAGGCATCATCAACCGCGCATGCAGTGTCATTCATTACCATTGTCCAGCAATGCAAACGCAAAGCCCGGGTGTGGGAACCGGAGGTCGATCTTTTCCGACAGGGTCAGGCCACCCTTGCTCGTCAGCGCTATCAGTTCCCCAACGACTGGTTGCACGTTGAGCAGGTTGACGGTGAATGGCTAGCTCTCAATGATATACTAGAGCGTAGGAGCAAGACGGTCCAAGACCAGACCGACGCTTTGAGGGCCAAGATTACCGCTGAGGATAAAGTGATCAACGACAAGATTGCCGAGATTATCTCACAGTGGAACGAAGAAAAGCCTGTATCTGGCTCCACTCCTCCCGAAGAGGCATCCAGAACACTTAGTTATTTCCAATCCCGCCTGGAAAGCTTGCAATCCGAATTTGAGATGGTCTCAAAAGCAAAAGAAGCGCTTGATCTCCCTAGTAGCCCCGAAACCGCTCTTGCTGCCATTCTTGAGGAGGTTCAGGATTTTATGGCTGTTTGGGCTGCCCTATCAACTATCTGGAAAAGCCTGAATGAGCTAAGGGACGTTCTTTGGAACAGTGTCCAACCTCGTAAGCTTCGACAATCTCTCGATGGCCTTATTAGAATGACGAAGGAAATGCCTAGTCGAATGAGGCAATACGCTGCGTTTGAGCATATCCAGAACATACTCCGCCAGCTACTGAAGGTCAATCCGTTACTTTCCGACATGAAATCCGAAGCGGTGCGCGAGCGACACTGGCAAAAGATTTTCAAGGCCCTCAAGCCGGGAAAACGGTTCTCCCAAGTTTCGTTGGCTCTTGGTGATGTTTGGGATCTGAATCTTGCGGCCAGCGAGGCGGTGATTCGTGATATCATCACTCAAGCGCAAGGAGAGATGGCCCTCGAAGAGTTCTTGAAAATGGTTCGCGAAACGTGGCAGAGTTATTCGTTGGACCTTGTGAACTACCAGAACAAATGTCGTCTGATCAAAGGCTTCGATGATTTGTTTGCGAAATGTAGTGAAAACTTGAACTCTCTTCAGGCGATGAGACATTCACCGTACTACAAAGAATTCGAGGAAGAGGCTACTTCCTGGGAAGATAAGCTAAACCGTGTACACGTGCTTTTCGATGTCTGGATTGACGTTCAGCGACAATGGGTCTACCTTGAAGGTGTCTTCACTGGAAATGCGGATATCAAGCATCTACTGCCCCTGGAATCCGGCCGTTTTCAAAACATAAATTCGGAATTTTTTGCTGTGATGAAGAAAGTCTATAAATCGCCGTTTGTCCTTGATGTTCTGGCGATTAATGGAGTACAGAAGTCCCTTGAAAGGTTGGCTGAGCTCCTCAATAAGATACAGAAAGCTCTCGGTGAATATCTCGAGCGGGAGCGTGTGTCCTTCCCTCGCTTTTATTTTGTCGGTGACGAGGATCTATTGGAAATCATCGGCAATAGCAATGATACCCTTCGTGTTGCGAAACATTTCAAGAAAATGTTTGCTGGATTGTCCGGACTAGTGATGGATGATGACGGAAATATCGTCGGACTTACTTCGAAAGAGGGTGAAGAAGTGAGGCTGAAAAAAGAGGTCTCTCTGCTTAAGACTCCCAGAATCAATGATTGGCTCGCGGCCCTTGAAAATAGCATGAAGTCGACCCTGGCGGAGCTCCTTGCGGAAGCCATTGAGCAATTCGAGTCTATTTATTCAGCCACGGAGATTGACCAAACCGCTTTTAGTGATTACCTCGCAAATTATCCAGCGCAAATCGTTGTCCTCGGAAGTCAGGTTGTATGGACCAATGCAGTCCAAAAAGCCCTCGAGGACGGTGGTAGCGGGCTGCAAGCTTTGTACGATTCTGAAGTGAGAGTCCTCGACCTTCTAGCAGTTACTGTCCTTGGTGAACTGGATCCGATTACACGAAAGAAGTGCGAACATATGATCACCGAGTTTGTTCACCAGCGCGATGCTATTGCGAAGTTGATTGATAATAACGCTTCGTCCCCGACGCACTACTTGTGGCTACTACAAATGCGCTACGTTTATCGTGCTGAGGGTGACTTTTTGCAGCGCCTTCACGTCCAGATGGCCAATGCGAAGTTGGACTATGGTTTTGAGTATCTCGGTGTTCCCGAACGGCTTGTTCGCACCCCACTTACTGATCGGTGTTTCCTCACCCTTACTCAAGCGCTGTGTCAGAGGTTGGGTGGCTCTCCATATGGCCCTGCAGGTACCGGTAAGACTGAATCAGTTAAGGCACTCGGGTTGCAACTTGGCCGATTCACTCTTGTGTTCTGCTGTGATGATACATTTGATTTCCAGGCTATGGGTAGGATTTTCTTGGGTATCTGCCAGGTTGGTGCTTGGGGATGTTTCGATGAATTTAACCGCCTCGAGGAAAGAATCCTTTCCGCAGTATCTCAGCAGATTCAGAACATCCAAATTGGTCTGAAGAATACTGATGATGAAACGAAGGCTCAAATTGAGTTGGTTGGGCGTCGTCTTCGTGTCAATCCTAATACCGGAATTTTCATCACGATGAACCCTGGTTATGCTGGTCGTTCAAACCTGCCGGACAATTTGAAGAAACTTTTCCGAAGTGTCGCTATGTCTAAACCGGACAAGGAACTCATTGCTGAAGTCATGTTGTTTTCCCAAGGTTTCAAGCAGGCTAAACCACTGTCCCGGCAGACTGTTCCTTTCTTTGATCACTGCTCAACTCGCCTCACAAAACAAGCGCATTATGATTTTGGCCTTCGAGCCTTGAAGAGTGTGCTTGTGAGCTCCGGTGGTTTGAAACGTCTTCGCCTTGCCAACTCCGATGGTGATATTGGACCCAATGAAATAGTCGAACCACAAATTATCGTCCAGAGCGTTCGCGAAACAATTGCGCCTAAACTCATTCGTCAGGATGTTGAAATGATGCTGGAAATTCAGGCTGAAGATTTCCCTGGCGTTGAGTATGTGCCTGCCAACTTTGAAAAGCTGACACAAGCTATTCGTGAGATCGCTGTTGAGAACCATTTCGTTGCAACAGACACATGGATCACGAAGACTCTACAGTTATACCAAATTCAAGGTATTCATCATGGCGTCATGATGGTTGGCAGGTCTGGATCCGGTAAAAGTTCAGCTTGGAAAATTCTCCTACAAGCCCTACAAAAAGTCGAAGGCATCGAAGGTGTTTGCCACGTTATTGACTCCAAGGTCATGTCCAAAGAGGCTCTGTACGGGAATCTCGACAGCACGACCCGTGAATGGACAGATGGTCTCTTTACTGGCATCCTAAGAAAGATTGTGGACAATCTACGTGGTGAAGATTCCAAACGACATTGGATCGTATTTGATGGCGACGTCGACCCAGAATGGGTCGAAAATTTGAACAGCGTGTTGGACGACAATAAATTATTGACATTACCCAACGGTGAACGTTTGAACCTCCCACCGAATGTTCGCATTATGTTTGAAGTTGAGAACCTCAAGTATGCTACTTTGGCCACTGTCAGCCGATGTGGTATGGTGTGGTTTAGTGATGATACAGTGACTCCGAATATGATGGTGACAAATTATATTGAATCCCTGAAAACAAGAACGTTCGAAGACCTCGACGACGACACTGTTCCTACTGGCCAAGCGTCTGCTAAAACCCTAGACACCCAGAAAACGCTTGCATTGTTTCTTGACCAGCTACTGCAAAGGGACGATCTTATTCTAAAAACCCTCCAGGAAGCCAAAAAATATACCCACATCATGGAATACAGCGATATACGGGCCCTTAATACGCTTTTCAGCTTGCTCAACAAGGCATGTCGGAACATTCTGGAGTATAATATCCAACATATGGACTTCCCCTTAGAAGCAGAACAGATGGATGCGTATTTGTCCAAAAAGTTACTCCTCGCGCTCGTCTGGTCACTGACTGGTGACTGTCCGTTAGAAGAACGAAAATCGTTTGGCGAATTTGTCACGGCACTCTCAACCATTGATACCCCCTTGCTTGGCAATTCATCATCCCTCATCGATTATGATGTTACTTTACCCAAGGGCGAATGGACAACTTGGCAGTCTCAAGTGCCGTCTGTGGAAATCAACACTCATTCGGTCACGCAAACGGATGTCATTATCCCAACTTTGGATACCGTTCGACATGAGGACGTTTTATACTCTTGGCTCGCCGAGCACAAACCCCTTCTGCTTTGCGGCCCACCGGGATCCGGTAAAACCATGACGCTGTTCTCTGCCCTTCGCAAGTTGCCAAATATGGAAGTTGTTGGCCTTAACTTTTCCAGTGCGACTACACCAGACCTGTTGATTAAAACTTTTGAGCAGTACTGCGAATATAAGAAGACCCTTAATGGCGTGATAATGTCACCAAGCCAAATTGGCCGTTGGCTCGTTATTTTCTGCGACGAAATCAACCTTCCAGCCCCCGATCAATACGGAACACAGCGTGCCATCTCTTTCTTGCGACAACTAGTCGAGCAAAACGGATTCTGGAGAACTTCGGACAAGACTTGGATTACTTTGGATCGCATTCAGTTCGTTGGTGCCTGCAACCCCCCTACTGATGCTGGTAGAACTCCTCTTGGTGAGAGATTCCTCCGTCATGCTCCTTTGATTATGGTCGATTACCCGGGAGAAGTTTCCTTATTACAAATCTACGGTACTTTCAACACTGCGATTCTCAAGATCATTCCTATGCTTCGTGGTTATTCTGAAGCTCTCACGAAGGCTATGGTCCAGTTCTATTTGGAATCTCAAGCCAGGTTCACTCCAAAAATCCAACCCCACTATGTCTACTCCCCAAGAGAGCTTACCAGATGGGTTCGTGGCGTATACGAGGCTATCAAGCCACTTGAGAATCTATCCGTTGAAGGCCTTGTTAGGATATGGGCTCATGAAGCCTTGCGACTATTCCAGGACCGACTCGTAGAGGAGGATGAAAGACAGTGGACCGCTGACAGCGTCAGGCGCATTGCCTTCGAGCACTTCCCAACTATCGATGAGCAGCAAGCGTTGAAAGCCCCAATTCTTTTCTCGAACTGGCTTTCAAAACATTATGTTCCGGTAGAGCAGGAACAACTCCGCGAGTTCGTGAAAGCAAGACTGAAAACTTTCTGCGAGGAAGAGGTGGATGTGCCTCTAGTATTATTCAACGATGTATTGGAGCATGCGCTACGTATTGATCGTGTGTTCCGACAACCTCAAGGCCATCTTATCCTCATTGGTGTGAGTGGAAGTGGTAAGACGACATTGTCTCGCTTTGTTGCCTGGATGAACGGCCTCAAAGTATTCCAAATCAAGGTACACGGCAAGTACTCAGCGGAAGACTTTGATGAGGACCTTAGAAGTGTGCTTCGCAGAGCTGGCTGTAAAGGAGAGAAAATTTGCTTTATCATGGACGAGTCAAACGTCCTAGATTCAGGCTTTTTGGAACGCATGAATACACTTCTCGCTAACGCCGAAGTTCCTGGTCTCTTTGAGGGAGACGAATTTGCATCATTAATGACTGCTTGCAAAGAAGGAGCTCAACGACAAGGCCTTCTTCTGGACTCGCAAGAAGAGCTTTACAAGTGGTTCACCCAGCAAATCGTCAAAAATCTCCATGTTGTGTTCACCATGAACCCTCCAGAAGAAGGGTTATCCTCCAAAGCTGCCACTAGTCCAGCACTTTTCAATCGCTGCGTACTGAACTGGCTTGGTGATTGGTCTGATCAGGCTCTATACCAGGTTGGCTATGAACTTACACAATCCGTCGATCTCGATAAACCAAATTTCATTGCCCCGGATAGTATTCCTGTAGCTTATCGAGCTCTCTCCCTCCCGGCGTCTCATCGTGATACCGTCGTTAACTCGATGGTTTATATTCACTATTCCTTGCATCGGTTTAACCAACGCCTGCACAAGCAACAGGGCAAAACTACATATCTCACGCCTCGACATTATCTAGATTTCGTTGCGCAGTACGTCCGGCTCTTTAATGAGAAACGCGAAGACCTAGAGGAACAGCAACGCCATCTCAATGTTGGCTTGGAGAAACTCAGGGAGACCGTCGACAAAGTCAGGGACTTGAGAGCAAGTCTAGCCCAAAAGAAGAGTCAACTTGAGAAGAAAGATGCAGAAGCCAACGAAAAACTACAACGAATGGTGGCCGATCAACGGGAGGCGGAACAGCGTAAATCCGCTTCGCTCGAAATTCAAGCAGCACTCGAAAAGCAAGAGCAAGAAGTTGCCAAACGAAAAGAGATTGTACTCCACGATCTTGCAAGAGCCGAGCCCGCCGTCATTGAAGCCCAGAAAAGTGTTAGCAATATCAAGAAGCAACATCTTACAGAAGTTCGTTCTATGGCGAACCCCCCTGCGGGCGTTCGTCTTGCTTTGGAATCCGTGTGCACGCTTCTCGGTCACAGAGTGGACAGCTGGAAAACCATACAAGGTATTATTCGCAGAGATGACTTTATTGCCAGCATTGTCAATTATGATAATGAAAGGCAGATGACCCGCGGCCTTAGAACCAGGATGAACAACGACTACTTGTCGAAGGAAGATTTCACTTTCGAAAGAGTTAACCGTGCTAGTAAAGCCTGCGGCCCGCTCGTTCAGTGGGTGGAAGCGCAGGTTAATTATTCCGAGATCCTAGATCGAGTAGGCCCGCTTCGCGAAGAGGTCATTCAGTTAGAAGATCAGGCACTCCAGACAAAAGCCGAAGCACAGGCTATTGAGAACACTATCAACAACCTTGAGGACAGCATTGCAACATACAAAGCCGAATACGCAGCTCTTATCAGTGAAACTCAGGCAATCAAAGCAGAAATGTCAAGAGTGGAGTTTAAAGTTGATAGAAGCGTTCGTTTGCTTGACAGCTTATCCTCCGAACGTTCTCGATGGGAGGAGGGAAGCAAATCTTTCGAAACCCAAATTTCTACTTTAGTGGGAGACGTTCTTATTGCGGCCGCTTTCCTTGCCTACGGCGGGCTGTACGATCAGCAGTTCCGCAAGGCCATGATTGATGACTGGGTAAATCAACTAGCACAATCCGGTATCAACTTCAAGCCACACAATCCAATCACGGAATATCTCTCCAACGCAGATGAAAGGCTATCTTGGCAGGAGAACTCTCTTCCCGTCGACGACTTGTGTACGGAGAACGCAATCATTCTCAAGCGGTTCAACAGATATCCTCTCATTATTGACCCGTCCGGTCGAGTTACCGAATTTTTACAGAAGGAGAGCAAAGAACGAAAACTAACTGTTACAAGTTTCCTGGATGACTCGTTCATCAAACAACTTGAGAGTGCACTACGATTTGGCAATCCCATCCTCATCCAGGACGCTGAACACTTGGACCCGATCCTCAATCATGTTCTCAATAAAGAGTACCAGAAGACCGGTGGTCGTGTCCTCATCCAACTTGGAAAGCAAGAAATTGACTTCTCGCCGGCATTCAAACTCTTTTTGTCGACACGAGACCCATCTGCCTGCTTCCCTCCTGATGTTTGCAGCAGAACCACATTTGTCAACTTCACGGTCACCCAAAGCAGCTTGCAAACTCAGTCTCTCAATGAAGTGCTCAAAGTAGAGCGTCCTGACGTCGATGAGCGGAGAACGAACCTTATCAAGCTCCAAGGCGAATTTAAGATCCATCTTCGTCAGCTGGAAAAACGGCTTCTTCAAGCACTTAATGAGTCCCGCGGTAACATTCTAGACGATGATAACGTTATCGAAACACTTGAAACGCTAAAGAAGGAGGCAGCCGAGATTTCGAACAAGATGGTGGAGACAGAGGGTGTGATGACAGAAGTCGAGAATATTACGCAGCAATACAATGTCATTGCCAGATCATGCAGTGCTGTCTTCGCTGTTCTCGAACAGCTTCACCACCTCAACCATTTTTACCAGTTCTCTCTCCAATACTTTATCGATATCTTTAACAATGTCCTGCACAGTAATCATCGTTTATCCCAGGAGAAGGATCATGCCGCCAGAGTCAATATTATTCTACGTGATCTTTTCATCACTGCATTCCAGCGAACATCTCTTGGCCTGCTTCAGAAGGATAGAATAACTCTAGCTATGCTCCTAGCACAGGCATCTCCATATCAGATGGACAGGAGCATTATTGACGACATTCTCGACCCGACTTTGGAAGGATGGGATGTCTCAACGGCTCCTAAAGCAAAGGATATCGTCATGTCCAAGGCTTCCCAAATGGTTGTTTTCAAGAACATCATTCCAACTATTGAGGAAGAAATCTGGGAACAGTTCTTCACTGAAGAAATTGCAGAAAATTTCGTCCCCACTGTCTGGGAGGATAGCACGGAGGCTTTTGATCGGCAACTTCGCTCCCTCCTGCTTGTGAAGCTCTTCCGAATGGACAGGTTTGTCCCTGCTGCGGAAAATTTTGTCGTAACAGTATTTGGACGATCGCTATTTGAAGACAGTGGAGATCTCAAGGAAGTTGTTGACCAAGTAACAGCCACCACTCCGATTGCGCTCAGTTCCAGCCCCGGATTTGACGCTAGTTACAAAGTCGATGGACTTGTCGAGCGAATGCATGCCACTTGCGCCAATATCGCCATGGGATCTAACGAAGGCCTCGAGAGCGCAGACAAGGCAATCAACAATGCGGCCGCAACCGGAACTTGGGTCTTGGTCAAGAACGTTCACCTCGCACCATCTTGGCTGCAAAGTTTAGAGAAACGACTCGATTCACTCAAGCCGCATGCTAACTTTAGACTCTTCCTTTCGATGGAATCGAGTCCGAAGATCCCCGTAAATCTGATCCGAGCTTCAAGAGTCCTGATGTACGAACAACCCGCTGGAATCCGTGCCAACATGAAGGATTCCCTCTCTTCTTTGAGCTTGAGGGCGAGCAAACCACCCGTTGAGAAGGCTCGTATCTACCTTTTGCTATCGTTCTTACATGCTGTTGTCCAGGAGAGACTACGATATGCGCCAAGTTTGGGATGGAAAGGCTTCTGGGAGTTCAATGACAGCGACGTAGGTAGTGTTTCGTTTGCATTGCTTGAGATTTTATGCTGACGTATTATGCCTTTGTAGTACGAGTGCTGCGCCTTCATCATCGACACCTGGGTGGCGTCAGTGGCTCAGGGCAGATCCAACGTTGCACCACAAAAGTTCCCTTGGGACTTGCTTCGCACGCTAATCACTGAAACGTATGGTGGGAAGATAGACGATGCTGAAGACTTGAAGCTGCTAAATGATCTTGTGCGAACGTTTATGACACCAGCAGCGTTCGAGGACGATCATAAATTGATTCCGGGCATCGAAGACGAAATTTTACTGCTGCCCTCGACAACCGGTATCCGCGATTTCACCGAGTGGGTGAACCGGCTGCCGGAGCGAGAACCACCTACGTATCTGGGACTCCCTGGCAATGCCGAGAAGTTACTTTTGGTTGGTCATGGCAAACGCATGATTGCCAACCTAGCCAAGATTACGACGTTGTTGGATGAAGGAGAACAACTGATGATCGAAGCGGCTGCGATCTAGCAGGGTGAAAGCGCAGCGTGATCGCAATTGAAACGGACACACTCGGCGACTATTGTCTCTCGTACCATTTTCACTTTCTTCCTTTTTTTCGGTCTGGGTTCATGGGTAATGGCACTAAGGGATTTGGAAGCTTTAATCCGCTCGTTTTCTTTTCGTTTTCGCCAACACTTTGGAGGCGTTCCGGTTGCATTTTTGATTGCCCATCGTCTCGTCCTGGTTTGGTGGATACCCGCGAGTTACTTGCTGTTGACATTTATCAGCTCCATCGAGAGTATTTTCCTTGGTGCACTGGTCTTCTAGTCTCCATTTTCCCCTTAATTTGTGTCCATTGCCCTTTTGTCTACTTCTCGTCTGTTGTTACATCCTGAACTACATTTCCATCTCCTTCGTCGACTTGTGTTTTTAGCTAAATGGTTAGATTTGACTTTACTTCAAGACTTGTATTAGTTGGGAACGGCTGTGTAGAGTTAATATAAACATTTTTTGCCGGAAGTTTTTGACTCCTGCTGCGGAAATATCCAGTCGATAAGAGTGCTGCTCTCAAAGTTCTTGCGGGGGAGCCCCTTGTTTTAAAACTCTGCGGGAAGCCTGGGATTGGGGTCAGACATCAATCCAAAACAGCGGAGGCCCGCCGAACGTCTTCGCCCTTCCCTTGTCACAGGATGGTTGAAGATCAGAGATCGCTCGAGGCTAATCCCCATCGCCGGATCCAGTGAGCCCGACAGCGATGAACGGGTGCCGCAGAGGTGGCCGCCGGACTCTACCAATGGAGCCAAAGAGGAGACAAGGAGCTGCTGATCCCTTGGCGGCGTGACGCAAGCTCCAGCGGTTGCGGATTGTGTTTTCTTGCATTCTCGCCCTCTTGGCCCCGTTTGGGGCTTTGTTTCAGCTCGCTGTCGAGGCGTCTCTTTGGTGAACTTTCTCGTTTGGCCCCGGACTTTCTTTTTTGCCGTACGTCAACGAAGCAATGAGCGATGATGATTGGAACCCGTCCCGCAGCTGGAGGGCGGGGAAGAGTGGAAAAAGGCAGACTCGACTCGGTATATCCTCAGGGCTGATTTTCCCCCTCCCCTCCACGGAGGTTCTTCTTTTTATGTAAAAAGAGGGCCAGGTTTTGACTGGGTTGGGGTGATTTTTTCCGTTTTTCATTTTTATTTTTATTTTGTTACGGCTTTTCTTTGTGGGCTATCATTTTGGTTACTTATCTAGCTATCGACTCCCGGCCAACTTGTTTGGGGGTTTTTCCTTTATTTCTTCACACAGAGATTTTTTTCTTTCTTTTTGGTGAATGAAAGCGAGGCCCTGAGGAGCTTTTTCCTATTTTAATTCTTTTCAACATATTAACTACTCTATTCCCGGCATATCGCCTTCTCGCTGGAACGATTTTAGTTTTCTAATTGTGCCCTTGACCCGGTGTCTCGAGGTCTACGCCTTCTTACCCGACTTTGTGTTATTGATGTCTTTGAATTATATACACTCCAGCCTGGATTGCTGTTCGAGCTTTTCCACAAAATGAAGCGGCCAGCGAAGTTAAGAGAATTACGCCTGTCTCCCCATTCGGTACCGTCACAGTCAAGTTCGGTTCTTTCCCGTGTGCCTTTGCTTCATGGCAGTGGTGATGGAAATGGAGCGAGGTTGCAGCATTGGACCGGGGGAGATCAGGTCCCAGGGCTACTTATTCCTCTAGGTGAGTTCTCCAAACGGCTGCAGGTGTGATTGTGCATACTTTGAAGGCATTGCGCAAATATACGCAGCTCTTTCAAGCCTATGGAACTCTAGTAGCATTCCATTGTTGGCCTTGGGTAGCTCGACGAACTTGTCTAACTCGAATTGAAATACTAGCCTTTCTTTCTTCCCTACGTGCAAACCTTCAGATCTGTGCCGCCGACCAAGAAGATATTTACAGTCCGTCCACTCCTATATCAATTTTGAACACACCCAAAACACTCAACCCGTCTTCACGTTTCTCTCGACATCCACTTTCAACGGAGCTTTCCTCCGATGACGCAACTATCCACATATCATCAGACCCGGCGTGCTTAGATGAGAAAACAAGCTATGCTTCCGAGATAGATCCTCTACTTGCGGATCTTCCCATACAAATATCGCAGGCGACCACAGAAGAAGATACTGCTGCAGCCCTCGAGCTGATTGCAGAAAGCATCTCCCAACAACGTCAAATGGCGGCAAAGGCCATTATCTTCCACCCACTGATCTTAGCAGTTTCGATTCTTTTCTTCCTAACTAGTGTGAAATTACTATATACCGGATCGCTGAGCGATGTGATACTTATGATGAGTACATGGGTCGGCTATAGTGTCATGCTCCTGCTCATAATCAAATCCATGCTACGGGGATATTCAGATGTGATTGAAAGAGTTGGAAGTTGGCCATGGCTGTCGGGGAACTCGATAACCGGTGCCTCGCACAAACGAGATGAGATCCTGGTGGCCAAGGAAAACGGCGAAGTGGTCGGGGTACTTGTCCTGAGAATCGCAAAGGCGATGACTTCTCCCGACATGCTGGGCGTTCGACCAAGGTCATCAAGGCGGAAAAGCTCCGCGAGGTGGACGGGTATTATTCGCGCGTGGACGGTTAAGAGGACGTATCGCTTTCGAGGTATTGGGACACGCCTTTTAACGGATGTTGTGGCTAACTGTCGACTACGAACATTGGACGGGCCGATTTTCGCTGATGATCATGCAAATTCGGTAAAGCCACTACCTATGATGTTTAATACTGTGTTTGAGAAGCAGGAGAAGTGGGCTCGGGCGTTTTTGGAGCAGATTATATTGGCCAAGAGAAGTCGTTGAGCTTACGGAATACACGATGGAGACATTTTTAACGCTCCTGGTTATTATCCCTTCGCGCAAGGTACTCATTTGAAGAGTGACATGGATGAGTGAGGAGATTGGAGTTTCTTGTGACTTTTTCCTCCATTTTGAAAATTGGGTGGTTTCGACTTGAGGATGATATTTAAGTCTATGCAATATACCCTGATCTAGCGACCCACATGCAAAATATTTCTAAGATACCAAGTCTGGAGTGTATATACGGCGTAGAGCATGGAGTTTTCTTAATCTGCTATTTTCAACCTAGAATAAATAAAGCAAAGATCCCCAAAGGAAGCCATTGTCACGCGGTGCTGTCACTTTGTCACTCGAACTCATGCTCCAACCAAGGATGCCCATGTTGGTTCAACCCGTATGTACCCTTGATCTACCATTCTCTTCCCGGGTCTTAGCTTTCACGCTTCTGTTGAAGCAGTGGAGGTGTGTTTCAGAGTAGCAAGGGTTTGGTTTGGCACCATGCTTCTTTCCTTTAGAGTTGGGATTTGCCCCCTGTTTATCCTGCTCCATGGGTGTCATCGGGCGACACAGGGAGTTGGTTACACAAAGAAAAACAGTGTTTAATATTGACACCTTTTGCTTGGAAAATGCTTGTTGACTTACATACCCAAGTCCAACAGCTTCGGTAAATGAGGTGAAATACTCCGTAGTCGTAGTTGAAGAATTTTAAAGAGGTCTGCGCATCGTTTCTCGGCTGGGTCTTAAATTCAACGGCCCAAGCATGGCAGCCTGCAGGAATACAACGTTGGCGTCACTAGATATCCAACTGTCGTAAGCTCTGGTGGGCCCATTATTAACTGACTTCTCCGTACGGAGTAACTAGATAAAATAAGCAACGTGAAAAGAGTCGAATGCCTGCCAAATGCTTGGCTTGTGGATGTACGGAACACTCGCACACAGAGATTCCTCCGGTCCTCTCAGTGCCAGCTATAAAGCATTTTCGCGACTTTGTCGATAGCATGCGACCTCTCTGCGAATGCATATCTTGGCTACATGGGAGTGTCTTTGTTGCTCAGCACTCGAGGAGAAGTTCACGCTTGACGCCGGACGGTCGGAGAAAAAAGCTGAACCGACGGCGGGGGCGGGCACCTCGTATTCTTATCAAGGCTGCGCTCCGACATTGACGATGCTATGTCGGTCAACATGATGAAATATTGTGTCAGGTCAGGATATACCCGCGCATATCCTATACATGCCTGTAATAAGGAATCACATCACCGGATCTGTGGATTGATGGGTAGAAACAATGGCCGACGGTTCAAGGGGTGAGAATCATCCATGGATCCTTGGAGCAAACAAGCAAACGGCGAAACCAATCCATTGAAGCACGAGACTTTGGTGATATAACTAGTCGTCCTCATCTTGACCTCGTGATAGTGGGATGGCCCTTGAAGCCTTGGCCGGCATCCTCCAAGCCCCATTCTGAACATATTGTGCTTTTGCTTACGGAGTACTCCGTACACCAACTCACAAATTTGACTTGTGAGAAATGCTTCTGAGATATCACAGAGTAGCCGGTTATGGAATACCCTGAAGATACGACCAAAGGACGCTTCAAGCCACCAGCACACCGAGAGATGCAGCGAGCGCGATCTCGACCACACGGTTAGCCCACTGACGTCATTGTCGGGGTCACGCTGGCAGCTGGTCTCACGAGCAGGTGATGGCTTGAGATCGCCGGCTGCAGAGAATGTGCGGGTTTATTCAAACCCTACTGCTCGACTCCCTGTCAGTATTATATTCCATAGCCATGTTTGCCCCGCAGCCATGGCGTATTCATATCTTCCATATCCTTCTCATCCCCCATGTTGGCCTTCAGAGAGTCTCAGATCCGACGTGGAAGAGATCCAAAGAGACTTTCCGCCTGGCTCTCGGTATCAAGAGTGGGTCTCTACCGGTGGAGAGACAATCTACTGCGAGCGGAGCCGAGTATCAGGACGTTCCCCATCTCGATACCAAGACGCGTTCCTCCGATACTGTCATGGACCTGAAGCTTCTCCACGTAAGTTGGACTTTGTTTACGCGTTAGATCGGTCCAACCGGTCGATTCTAGATGCTGGTGGTGCGATAGACTACTTGCTCGAGAGATGAGACTGATCGTGTTTCAAGGTCGTTCGCTGCTTTCTCGTCGGTGTTCCCCTAGGTCTAGATCATTTGGGCCGAGGTCTCGTGGAAGAAGCCATGGGCGCCACGGTTTTGAACCCCCTAGGTTGAGTCGACGGCGGGACCATGATGATTCGGAGTCTGAATCCTGTCATGGTGGATCTCCAAAAGCCGAGAGAAAGAATAGGTTTAAAGATTTGACTCCATCCGGCATACTGGCTGCGGCAGGCAAAAAGGCCTGTGACTTGTATAGATCTTTGTCGCGCGGCCGGTGTGACGATGAAAGAAGCAAATCCCGCTCTTCTCACAGACGCAGAACCAAAAGCGTCTCTGGTTACTGCCCTGGAGAGTTCTATAGCTCTTCGGAAGAGTATGAGTACTGCTCTGATGGATACCGTCCACGAAGATCATGCTCCGTGCCTTGTCATGACTACAACAGTGATGGATCAGATCAGTCTTCCAGCTCTTCTTCAGACACAAGCTCACCTTCCGGCTCCAGTACCGACGAGGCGCACACTCGTCGCAAGATACTCGGGAAAGGGTTATTCGCTGCCGGCCTCGCCACCGTGGCCACGATTCATGCCGGTCACGAGCTCTACGAGAGCCGAGAAAAGCGTAAAGAGCGGCTGTTAAAATTGAGCCAAGGCAAGATCAGTCCCGCGGAGGCACGCAAGCAGCGGCTGGTGGGAAATCTGAAAGATGTGGCCACACTCTCAGTTGCGGCGTATGGGATCAAGAAGTCCATTGACGGGTGGAAAGAAGCTGTGAAACATCATTCAGAATACACGGCATACAACAAAAAATGCAGGGAAAGGGCAAGAAAACGAGCCCAGAAACGAGCTTCATCCATTGATTCGATGTGATGAGCACATTTTTGTGTTATAGCTTATTGACCCTTTGCCTTTTCATCAAATGTGGACAAGCCTCCCTGCTAAGTTGGGCTGCGATGATGATGACATGAATTTTTGATGCCTTATGTGTAATGTGACTATGATATGATACCAGTTTTGCTTTATATCTTTGTTGAAGGCCTGATCTCCCAATACAGTGTGTAAATAACATCATATCTGTTAACAATCAAATATGTCGCATGGTCTACCTATTGACTTGCCAAGTACGTAACCCTGCTCGATAGACATAAAAAAGTAAAGAAATGATATGCCTTATATCGAACACAGATCCCAGTAAACATGCTCCACCGACATCAGAAATTTCGTAAGCCCAGTTGGCCCAAGATCACAAACAAGCCACACAAAACCCGGTGACCGAAAACAGCGTCGATAGGTTTAGAACAAGCTAAACAATCACTTAAGTTTAAGCGTTGTGCCAAAACCATAAATAGGACTCCCGATCTGCAGGAGGATTGGGTCTCATTAGCCAATTGCAATACATATGATATGTATGTAATTAATGGGTAGAAGGGATGCGGAATGAAGTTATGTACTCACCCTCTGCAAAACATAAACAACCTTCCCATCAAGCGGTTAGTAATTATCAGCCTAGCATTGCTTGAGCCGAACAAGGGAAGCTTACGTCTTCAGTTGTAACGGTCTAATATAAGTTAGTCACGGCATGATAGGTCGAACTCTGCGTCATATATCATCCTAAAGCACAGCGTGACTCACTTTTCTCGTTTTCGAGCTTGAACCCCCCGATTCGAGAACTTCGACAATTTGTCTGATGATCTGCGTATAGGGTTATAGGAAGGCCAAAGTAGGTAATATCCTTTGAGAGTCCAGTAAGCCTACCATTCTCAATCGATCCAGGAGAACCTCACGGGCGGTATCGTAGATGCTTTTCTGGATACGTTTGACGCCTCCACGCCTGGCCAGACGGCTAAATAGACAGTGCAAAGGAGTGAGCAAAGTAAATACTTGCAGGCTCACATAAAAGGTGAAAAAGGACTATTGGTCCTGGAGAGAGATGCAGCAAGCATTCTGACATACCGGATAGCCGGGCGAGCTGTGGCAGCCTTTAGCATCAACGTCTCTCACAAGAAAGCAAAATGACAAAGTCATTGCACTTACTGATTCCGATAATGTTGTCTCTGGATTGCTTCCTGCTGTATATTGGAAAAAAAAGGGGCATTAGCAACGCTCTCTCGGCTTTGTCATTCGACCCGGGGCCCAAAGATTCCACGCTACCCAGTTCAGATGGCGCCAGCAATTGGCAAGGGAGGGATTCGAACTTACTAGCGTGGATGAGTCAAGTGTTCCATTCCCTTGGAAGAAAGTGGGCGGGTAGAGTATGGACTGGTCATGGTGTATAATATCCTTGAGGAGTTGTTCTTGGAAAGGGAGGAATATGTTGACTTTTTGAGCGATGAAGGGAAAGGGGTAACGAGGTTCGGGGACGAGAATGAAAATGAAGAGAAAGAGGAGGATGAAGGGAGGGGAAAAGGATCAAAAGGAGGGAAAGAAAGCCTTTTTGGCCATGACAGCTGCTGTGTTATTCGCAGCAGATGTGCTGCTTGTCGCCGAGTACGACTGGGAAAAGGAGGCTGGGCCTTCCAACGTATGAACACAACTAGGTGTTGGTAAACACTTTGTGTAGACCAATGGGCAAGGAGAAACTCCAGAAATCCTCACTCGACAAAATTATATATCATTTGAAGGACAATTAGATCTCCCAAGGAGATCTATATTTTCACTAGGATTAAAATTGTTCTAATAATGATAAAAAGCGAACGGATTGTCTCGTTCAGACATGCCAAAAGACAACTCTAACGCCAATCCAACCAGCCAAAAGGATAGAGCCAAGCCGGTCTCTAAGTCTTCTAAGATATAAAGGTTGCTTCGGAATAAAGAGTCCCTTCTTCGGTGATCTCCGCATCTCCAACACGGAGTTTCAGACTCAGCTTCTCCTGAGGAGAATACTATAACTTGCATCAGCATGCAACCACTCTCAAGCTTGGGGGCACAATAAAGCCATGGGATAATGCCAACCTGGTAGATATAGGGTCTTGTCCCTGCAACACTGCCAACAATTGACTTAATGAAACCAGGGACTTCTGCCATGACATCGACTCTATCAAGCCTCTGTCCAAGGGGGCCTTCAAGGACGGCACTAACTTCCTTGTCGTCCTTGTTTTGGCCAGACCATGTAAATTTGATAGTCTTTGGCTCTGGCCAGTCATTTTCCGAGTCCTTGACGATCTCCCCATGCGATGCCGTATTCGAAGTCCCTGCATATATGATTTCCCCGTCTTTCGCGATGCCGCCAACATTGACGACGGTCGATCCATAGGATGGGGGAGTGGTATACTCCATGATGATGGCAGAATATGTGGGGCTTTGGAAGTTGGCAAAGTTCCATCTCGCAGCTAAGTTACGTATGAGCAAAATGTAAAATAGAAGCCGGGTGGGAGAGTAAATGAAAATACCGAGATGATGGGGTTTCATTCCCTGCAATGCATGCACGAAAAATCCCCTTCCACTACAGTTTATTTCCCGCTCCGGGGTTATAATGGTCCCTTCGACTTTGCATCGAGGCCAGAAAGAGTGACGCATGCTACCCCAGGGTCGTTCGGGGTCGGTACCAAAATTCGATGTACCATTGGTCCCGGCGACAAAGCCTGGGGCCACACGGGTCATGGTGAGATTGACAAGGCTATTCTCATTGAGGGCGGACTTGATGGTGTAAGAAGTACCGTCCTCACTGAGGGTTATTGCAACATTGTCGCCGCCGAATGACAGCATATCCTCGTCAAAGATGTGATTGTGGATGGTATCGGAGTACCACTTGTGCGGGATCTGGGGGTCTGTGGAGTAAATCTTGGTGTTGAGATGGCATGTCGTATGAAGACCGCTGCAGGAAAGACACATTGTTCAGCATACGACTTGATTAAGGGCGCCAGGCACTCCTTGAAGGATTCTCACGCGACATTGCTGTAGATCACTTGGACCATTGCCTGATCACCTTGGTCGGACGTAATATAGAACGTTTGAGTCTCCACACAAGTGGACTGCATAGCTTTCCATTTCATGTCATCCTTTTTCAGCTCCGAATAGGGAGCTGTCTTTGTTTGTTCTGCGACAGACTGGATCGCAGCGGGGCCATAGATGGGCTCTTGGGTACCAGCGACAGTGGCTAAGCTAAATACAACACAACGGAGTTAGTTGCCGAGAAGAACCTTTGATAGTGCTTGCCACAAAGAATATTCTCACGTAGATTTTAGCCAGTTCATGGTGATGGAGTGGTCAGGATTGTTTGATCACGCTACGGAGGAACCTGAGGTTGGGCAGCGAGAGATCAAGATTTCGGGAAACGGAGGTTGCAGGGAAGCTGACGATGTCAGGGATCTGGGTAACGGAATAAACTTATTCCGAATCATAGCAGCCCATGATTGGATGCGGTAAGCGCGATCCTCAGGCGGTTTACATAAACGCCCGCTTAACGACAAAAAAAACTTCGGACAGAAAAGCGACTTCGGCTCGGATAGACCAGCGCAACATAGAGCAAGCAGAAGCCGTTGCAGGATCGCAAAGGAGGTCCCGGTTGGCAGCGAAGTACATCGCAGCTTTCAAGAAACCGGCAGAGTCCCCGGAACATTCGTCGCAATGGCTACGCGGAAGATCGTCCCAAAAGATCAGATCGTCAAGCTGATCGTTGGTGCTGGCCAGGCCAGCCCAAGTCCTCCCGTCGGTCCGGCTCTTGGTAGCAAGGGTGTGAAAAGCATGGATTTCTGCAAGGTGAGTATATAAGCTGCTTCCTTCCTGCGCTGTACCTTACCTTTCCTCGGCTAAACCGCTCCCGTATGACAGGAATTTAATGCCCGCACCGCACACATCAATCCTGGCGTGCCGGTTCCAGCCCGAGTAACCGTGCGTCCTGACCGATCTTTCACATTCGAACTTCGAACCCCAGCGACATCTTGGCTTCTACTCCAGGCCGCAAGAGTGGACGAGCGTGCTGGCCGTCTGCGCGGTGGTGGAAATCCGGGTCATGAGAGCATCGGCTCGGTGTCGCTAAAGCATGTTTACGAAATCGCCAAGATTAAGCAGTCAGAGATCAGATTGTCTGGGTTAAGCTTAGAGGGGCTGTGTAAGAGTGTGATCGCGCAGGCGAAGTCAATTGGCCTTGAGGTTGTACCATGACACCCTGCGAAGCGGAAGGGCGTCGGAAGCAGTTTTTCAACGTTTCATTTTCAATTGCATGGCGTTATGGGAAGAAGAGCGAGGATATCCTCTTTCTTTGTTTTGGGTATTTGTGATGGACTGTACTATATTGGAAGCTCCTTGCAGTAAAATGATGGACGTACGTCTACGACGTTATCGGGCTATATTTGGCCAAATGATGCCACGTCGCCCAGTCAACTATCATCCGGCGTGGGTGCTCGGATGCTTCACAGGAAAGGGGCCGGCACTGCCTACCGCGGACCAAGCTGGGTGGCGCCCTGCCGTAAACCGTGTCTGGAGTATGAATATACCTAATTTAGCTGCAAAAAAAAGGTGAATGACGGATCCGGAAGTGCCGGTGTTCGCCGCCTTTGCCTGGCAGAAAGAAAGGCTGAGCCACGCTTTTCTTGTTTCGGAAATGTTCTAGAACACTGCTTAGTAATCACACATGCACCGGTTAATCACGTGAAAGCCACATGAGCCGCCAAAGGACCCTTGGCGGTAACGCCACTGTAATATTACCGCATATCAGGCCACAACGGTGTACCCCTTTGAGGTTGCTCCCGCAGTCTGCCCGTGGTTATCGTGGCCACGGTACCTGCACGGCGCCGGGCGTGTCGTAACTAATCCGTCACCCGGTCAGGCCATTATGTCATAGAGGCGCACGCTAACATACGGGACTTTTCGACGAATTTTGCGCCGACATCTTCAACTACAAGCCGCGAGGAACTGACATATTTTTCCCTTTCTGCGTCAAAAAAGCCAACTCCTGTCGAGACCGAGAACATCGTCTTCTGGACGTTTGTGGTGCTCGTAGTGAATGCAAATCAACTGCAAGCCCACCATTCACAGCTCGCTGGCTGGCTCCTTCACTGTACTAAAAATCTTTGTCGGGTGCAAATTTGACCGAAGATCCCTTCCCGCATCCAAATCTCCAGCGACTCCCTCCCCACTCCGCTCGGTCCCGCCCAGATATTGTCGGATTGATCGCAATTTCACCGCCAACGGCCAACGAACGACCCTTTCCCGCCTTTAGAACTTTATGCGTACAGCTCCAGCTGCAGAGGTTCTTTCGTTCCCGTCTCCAAACAATCATAACGACTACCCTCGTTTTGTTTCGATATTTAAGTCCTGGGTAGCCACCACCTAGAATCAGGATTGCATACTCCTAGAAACAAGACGCGATCGACGACTTGATAACTAGCTGCCTCTCCTCCACGACCGACGATAATTGAATTGGGGATGCGTCAACAAGGAAAAAATCCCGGGTCGCTTATCTTCTTACCCAATACAGTGATTTCACTCGACCGTATCGGATTCAGATAAGAAAACCACGTCAGTCAGCCTTTTTTTTTTTTTTTTTTTTTTTTTTTTTCTTTTGTTTGGTATTTCTTATTTTTCTTTCCGACCTTCGTCCATCTTTTCTTTTTCTTTTGCCATTATCCCTTTTCTGTAGCTCCCTGTGCATTTCCTGCTGTTAAATATTAGCTCGAAGCATTTCCATACTCACCGTTATAACTCTTAGGCCCAACCATGTCCACGACTGCAACTGATTCTCAACAGTCGGACTCTACCATGGCAACTGCGGACGATTCTTCATGCCTCAATGGAGGCCATGCAGCCGTGCGCTTTGCTTCCAAGAACCAGGAAATCGAACCCTCGAAAAGTCGGCCTACAATAACTCTCTCCAATGACCCGCCACAAGCTCCGGAAGGGGATCATGCAAATCCTTTGCGTCCCGAAAGCCGAACCGAACTGCGCGATATTACCATAAAATTACAAAAATCAAGGCTGCAAGAGACTCGGATGCAGAATTTTGCTTTTGAGCCCGTTTCCCTCCCACCTACAAGAGTATGTTGATTTCCTGCGATTCAGCCAGGTCGTTTAACCGTGTCCAATTCCTGCAGATGCTTTCGGATTTTACTATTTCGAGGCCAAGCTCTTTACTAATCCCTCACTCTAGGCACCTTCTAGGGACTCAACTACGCGTAGTCATCGAGATGGCCCTTCCCCGCCTCCTTCCGGACCGCATTCTCCTGTTCTCGGCCCCCACGATGCGGAACAGATGAGAGATAGAATCAACCGGACAGTTGTGAACTATTCGGCCATGACACCACAATCATCCCTCTCAAATGATAATTCGGGCAAGAGCTATGGTTCCCGGTCGCCGGCCGGGTACGGCTCAAGGCCTTCTTCATCCTCAGGGCTGACATCAGCAAGGCCATATTCCATGTCTGATATCCCCGCACCTCCAAGGGAATCCCAACGCAAGCCGAAATTCTTCCTTGGACCCTCTGACGAGAGCCCACCTTCAACTCCGAGACACGATATCGGCTCTTCCGCCTCTTCTATCATGGGCCCCGGTGCTCCCTTTCCTCTGGGGGACCAGAATGACCCCTATTCTAGGAGTAGAATGCCTCCCCCACAAACCAATCTTTCCCAATTGGATGAAAGATTCATTTTCGGCAGCCTTGATTCAAAACGTCGTTCCAACAAGTCTCTTTCGTCTGCTCCTTTAGCACCTGCCTTTGAAAAACAACATGATAAGAAGTTGTTTGGTAAAAAGGAAAATCGCCATCTCGACGGCCATCTGGAGAAGCATAAGCCCCACGGCTCAATGTCCGAATTGAGGCGTTTCTTCCGAATGGGTGGGAAACAAAAACGCGGCGAATCGCCTGCTTCTATTCACGGTAAACGGTCTTCAAGATCCTCAAGCAAAGCGGATCCATTCCGGGCTAGTGGCCCTAGCGTTCCATTTGCTGATGATCATGGCCTCCAATCCAAGTACGGAAAGCTAGGAAGAGTTCTTGGATCAGGAGCAGGAGGCTCCGTCCGCCTACTGAAGCGAAATACTGATGGAGTCACATTTGCTGTTAAGCAATTCCGAGATCGTCATAAGTGGGAGACGGAAAAGGAATACGCGAAGAAAGTTACAGCAGAATTCTGTATTGGCTCCACTCTGCACCATGGGAATATTATAGAGACTTTGGATATTCTCCATGAGAACAATAGCTGGTATCAAGTCATGGAGTACGCACCATACGACCTATTTGCATGTGTGATGACAGGCAAGATGACACGAGAAGAGATCACATGCTCTTTCCTGCAGATTATCAATGGTGTTACCTACCTCCATAGCATGGGACTTGCGCATCGGGATCTCAAATTAGACAACGTGGTTGTCAACGATCGCGGAATCATGAAGTTGATTGATTTCGGAAGTGCAGTCGTGTTTAGGTACCCCTTTGAGACCAACATTGTTCTATCTTCCGGTATGTTTATCTTAGATGGAACTGGACACTGCAATTGAGATTGAACTGACCATTTCTTTTTTTGCAGGTATTGTCGGGTCTGACCCTTATTTGGCCCCGGAAGTGTACGAAGAAAAGAAGAAATACGATCCCCGGGCGACGGACATCTGGTCACTAGCTATAATATTTTGCTGCATGTCTTTACGTCGATTCCCATGGAAGCAACCTAGAATAACCGATAACTCGTATAAGCTTTTTGTTTCACCACCTTCACCAGGAACTCCAGTCCCTGACGGTCCACCGAGAGAAGTTGGTCGACCACGGCCAAGATCTACGGCAGACTTGGCTTCTGTGGATAAAGAATGGCGAAGTGACCGTGGACGTTCACCGGTCTCTCGACACCATCACCGGCATGGGAGCGGAGGTATATACCCTCAATCCGACCCCGCGGCGCGAGATTTGAAGAAGAACGAAAATCATCCTCCCAATAACACGAGCTCACTATCCGAACAGCCGACAACCGCCCCGAAAGCTACCAATCCACCACCATCGCAACAGTCACAGTCGCATGGCGGCTCCGGTCAACGACAGGAAGTTATCAAAGGCCCCTGGAGACTCCTCCGGCTTCTGCCCCGAGAATCCAGACAAATCATCGGCCGCATGTTGAAAATTAACCCACGTGAACGAGCGACGCTGGAAGAAGTGCTCTCAGACGAATGGGTGCGAAGTAGCGAGGTCTGTAGACAAGAAGAGTCGGGCCAAGTTATGAACGCGCCCAACCATACGCACGTCCTGGAGCCACCATCCGGGGCCCCGCCACCAACAAATAATCAAAACCAGAAATGATGATTACGAGACTTGATATATCCGATACTCAAAAGAAAAGAAAGAAAGTTTCCCCTTTTCCCTCATTTTCTCTTTCCTCTTTCCTTTTCTTAACTTTAGTAATCATAGCATTTTAAATATGGGATTGACCAGGCTGGGCTTTCACTGGCGTTTACTGCGAATAGGGAAGCGGGAAGCTTTTTGGTCGTCTTTTGTTATGTGGTGTCGGTTTTATTCATTTACGGAGGCTTCTTTTTTTCTTTTTTTTTTAAAAAATTTCTGGATTGTTCTTAAAAAGAAGCTTGTTGTACATACATCCATATCCATAAATAGGAACTTTTCGACGAGCGATGAGTTCCCGATTCCGTAAATTATGTATATGAATGACACGAAGATATAGACACGAAATCAATGAACACGTTGTACAACTCAATTGCCGGGGCAATCATACAATCCAATTAGTTTAAATGCGCGCCTTGGTAGAAAATCCCCGGATGGGGGTTAGGGAGAATATAATGATGAATTAAATGATTAGCAGATATGCATCAGCGATTGCTCTGATATCCTCATGCTAGAAGTTCAGTTGAAGACCCAGTTCGTGAATGAGACGCAGGCGTCGAACCTCCAGTGCTTATCCCAGCCGTCCCATCTTTCTTGGCTCCGGAATTGCTGTTTGCTGCTGGTAACATGCCTGTAGATTCTGTAGATTTGCCGTTTTCTTGCTGCGGTTGTTTTTGGCCATCGTTATCCTCTCCTGCAGCGGCGACAGCGGTGCTACCATTGGTAGCACAGGTCTGCGAGTCGTCCTTCTGATGGAATGGGATTATGCGTTTGCCATTTGCTTTGTAGTAAAGGACCATATCATTGCCTGTACGCCAGACATGGGTGCGCATTGTCAACAGAGTCATGTCGGGAGGTATTAACTATCATAGTATGTGAGTATGTACTCATAACACAAGATAGGGTCAAGGAATAAAGAGCAGGCAACATACTGTGTTTTGGCAGTACAATTCCAAATAATCTTCCGGCTTCATGTAGTTTTCATCTGAGTTATCCGCGGAGTACTGTGGATCAATACGTTCTGCGACATATGCAAGGATCTTTTTGGCACGAAGCATTCGATTGGCGCTTAATCGAGAGTTGGTTGAACTCCTTTTTTTGGCAAAATTAGCTCTTGCCCTGTTGTTCCAACAACATGGTCTGTAATGGTGATGAATCTGGGAAGAAAGGGAGCGAAACACAATTGGGGCAGAAATATAATAGACTTCAGACGGGAGAAAGAAAACAAAAGAAATAGGAAAGGCTTACGGATCGATGGCCTCAGGCAAGAGGTTTTTGTATGGTTTGACGGAGAATGTAATTTTTACAGTATCTCCCTCCATTCGATTCTGGCCAGCGTCAGCATTGTCTATGAAGTAAGGGAGCAGATCTTTTGATCTTGTTGGACTACGTTTACTAACCTCCAAGAGAAGACGCCCAAGCCACGCCGGTGCGACTTTCTCTAGCTCGTCAGTATCTCGGCTGATAGTCGTTACAGTTCCTCTATAGATATCAGGGGCAACTGGAATGCCCGGGCCATCCTCTTGAATGATAATTGGTGTATTTGGTGGAATGGATATTACTGGCGTTTCATTTTCAGGGATCGGTGTGATCTTTGACTGGAGCTTTTGTTCGGGCTCTGCTGCCAAAGCCGTCTCGTACGAAGCTCTCATCTCGTCGATAACACCGCGAAACGTTAGATCAGGCACCTTTTCCTTTTCCTTTTCTGAAGAGCCGTCAGATTCCTCCGTTTTCTCTTCCACGACGGGCTTTGCTTCCGTAGACGTCCGGCCTAGCTTTTTAGGAAAAGACATCTGGAATTTCTTGCCAAACAGAGAGCCACTGCGCTTAGCCTTCTCTTCTTTTTCTGGTCCAACTGGAGAGGTTGGGGAGGGGCCAGGCAACGTAGTTTCTCCAGCCGCTGGGGTTTTCGCGTTCGACGCTGAGGAATCCACGGATGAGGTACTGAGTTTGGAAACGAAATAGCCATCCGCTCCAGGACGATCAATTCTTTTTCCATTATGGTCATCGCCCGATGAATCCGCAAGGCTCGAGAAGGGGTTTTCTGGTGTGGATGTGGAAAGCGGTGCCGGTGTTGCAACACCAATTGACATCCCTGGAGATATACTTGTCGAGTGTAGCTCACCCAGAGACTGAGCTGCCATTGCGGGCGACCGAGGCGAATTTTCTGATTCCGCATTTTGAATCGTAATAGGCGGGATGTCTATAAAGTTGGGAGCTTCCGGTCCGGAAGTACTCTTTGAGTCCTGCATTTTTGCTTCGAGAGACGTCCGATACTCAGCGTCCCTCCGTATCTCTTCATCAACGAGACCGGCAAACAGATAACAAAGGACCCACTTCCCCAGATTAACTATAAATTTAAGGGAAAGACGTCAGAAGATGAATAAATTAGACGGAGGACACATCATACTTCTTTGATCTTCCCTGAACTGGCTTAAGTCTGGCAGATCAGACTCATCAGCATACATCTCGCCGTCGAAGCACCTATGGGGTTCTAAAATAACGGAGAGTGTTCCTGTTCGGATATGCAACGTGCACCAATTAGCGATAGTCCTAGTGGTGTTTAATTTCGCAGCAATATCATCTAAATGACCCTTGCCAAACGACTGTATCGCAACGCACTTTGAAATGTTAGCAGAATGCTGGGCGATACTGTGGACTATATGACCATCTTACTCTTATGAGATCCCATAAGACAACTTCACCAGCCGTATCTTTAGTAAGAGCACGGGTTCTATCGTTTAGCATCATATGCTTCACCAGCCCATTCTTGCCTTCAAGGGTCTCTTTTGGCTGAGTTTGAGCGGGAATGCATGCTTCTTCCGACTGCGGAGTTTGAGAGGTATCAGACAGGGCTAAAATCGAGGATCGTGAAATTTTTATTTTGGCGGTCTTGGTAGATTCGCGTTGCGTAGCCACATTAGATGTATGATGATATAACTGTTGTGATGGGATGAAATCGATATCTGTGGTGTCAACATCGCTCCAGCGATTAATACTGCATTTGGGTGTAGCTGTCCAGATATGATCGTTGGCAGCAACGACTTTAAACACTCCTTCATTTTCTTGCAAAGCAGCGACACAGACTCCTTGATCCATATCGGCGGCGTTTCTTGTGTCTGTCTTCGCCACTACACCGGCTCTGTCACTCGAGTAGAATACGGATAGTTGAGGGTGGTCCGAATATAACGACCAGACGCTCTCGTTGTGCATAGTAAGAGTATGCATACATCGGCCGGCGGTTATCGACCACACTTTGACAGTTTGATCCGAGGACGCTGTAATGATAGTGTTTGCGTCATCGTTGACTAGGATACCACGAACGTTGTCTGTGTGGCCCATAAAGTTGTTTGCAAGTTTCCCAGAATTGGAATCCCATACGCGGACGACACCATCGGGCCCTCCACTAACTAGAATAGACCCTTTGGCACCCAGAGCGTATACCGAACCCTTTTGCGCCTTACCATCCTCCGAGACATCGATCTTGAGTTTTTCCCCCCCGCCGTTCAAATCCCAAACGCAGATTTTATGATCCAACCCACCGGATGCGACCCAGTCGGCGTGATGTCGAGGAGATGCCAAACACTTGACATAGTCTCTGTGTCTGCCAATGGATGACGGTATGTTTGAATCCTCGGAATCCTGTCGCCAGACCCTAACGGTGGTATCTGATGAGCCGGATACAAGCACGGTATTGCTTTGAGCAAGGGTAATATCGTTTATCCAGTGGGTGTGGGCCTGGACTTGTCGGCGAAAGGCGGTTTGTTGCGCGGAACTAGTGCTGGACCTTGACTCCGGCCTTTGCGAACCTTCGCCCAGCGAAGACGACAAAGAACGGCTCGGTGAAGGATCTCGAGAGCGGGGATCGAGATGTAAATCCCAACTACATATAACGCCATCGCGACCAGCTGAGTATCTGTAAGTGTAATATATTAGCCAAGAAAGCCACCTTGTCGGGGGGTTTGCGACAACGACGCGCGATCGCGAACGGGGACATAGACTCACAAGATGGAACGACCAGCGTCAATGGCCAGACCATTCACACCTAAGCGATGTCCACCCGGGCCATCGGGCATAGGCAGCTCTAAATCGGAGCGATATTGGTAAGCTCAGGACAGGATTAGAAGGGATTTATCCGCGCGGTATGCTCACGGACCATAGCTGACTCGTTGGAGATGTTTCCTCGCCATCCAAGAGATCCGGAGGGATTGCTCACTCGAGATTGAACGGAGACAAGTTGAGCAATGACCAGTGGACGGCTTCGGGTTGTCGACCAAGCATATATAGGGTGTTTAGTAGACTGAAGGCCGCCATGGGGTTTCTGAATCCCGTTGGATCGTGGGAGAGAACGTTGGGATGGAGCCGAAGCCAGCAGATGAGATGTGGGGAGCAACCTTATTTAAGCATAGATAAAGTTCGCGGGTATTGATGTATGATACGCCGCTCTTACCAAAAATTACGTGAAATCTCGGCCAGTGACGTCACGGATAAATGTAATTACTAGTGCATAACTCGACAACAGCGTAACAAGCGAATAGGGGCTGTGGTTTAGTGGTATAATGTTCCCTTAGCATGGGAGAGGTCCTGGGTTCGATTCCCAGCAGCTCCAATTTTTTTTGCTCCTTTCTAGGTGCCAGACGTGAGTCGCCGGTTGTAACCCATTTGGAGGTCTCCTTTTCTTTTTTTTTGGGTGATTTTTCTTTGGACGCGGTTGAAAATAGGGTTCCCGTTGGGTGTTTTGCAGGCAGCCATATACCCGGTTTCGCTGTGATCTGAGTTCGGTATCAGCAACTACATCCATACCTTCCCCAATTCCTAGGATTATCTATGTAGGTTGAGTCCTTCTGGACATGAATTCCTCTTTCTTTGCAAAGTGATACCGCAATTATGATAACCTTACGCTCCAACCATTCCATGTAAAGAGTTGACGCCTTGCCTCTCTCAAGTCGCGCAGGCGATCGCCCGATGCGTCTAATTTTTAAGCTAGCGCTTCCCTTGCGGTTTGATGTCAATTGTCTTTGCGTTGTACACAGACGATAGCGACACCAAATGCCGGAGACGCAAACGATACCCCTATTGGATCCTCCACTGCACCCAAACGGCAGCAGGGACTGGCAGCCGTTAAAAAAGTTTAAAATGGCACTTTTATAACCTCCATACCATACAACTGAAACAGGGAATAGAAAAAACATGCGTCTCTATACCACGCACTAACTGTCAAAGTGCTTCTGTCCATCCTGTTGCACACTGATCCAGAGTCTATGGCACTATAAGTTTAGTTCTCACCAATGAATCCCATATGGGAGCTTCTTCTGTGACATGTTCTGGTGTAAAACCATCCATTCTTCTTGGAGTTAGCACACACTGAGATCCATCCCTAGTCCATTTCACCGCCCCGCCCCCCGCGCGGCGGAACTAAAGAAGGCTCAAATCTAAATATTGGTAATATCATGATGTAACCAACAGACGGTTAGCACACAGCTCTCGAGCAGCGAATCTGTATTGGTCAACTTGGAATTTCGGTTCATTCTAGGGCCCGCGGGCCGCCGGTAAATTCCAAGGAGATTTTGTAGATCCATATGATGTGTCTCGAAAAGTATCGTTTTCGGCGAGTGGTGCGGTGCGGGGGATTAGACGGGAAACCCACCTTTCGGACATGGCCAATATTAATGCTCACACTATAGTTGGCCACTCGGATGGATTGTCCTCAGCTGTGTGACCTAGCTGTCCCCCTCTGATCCCATCGCATAAGTGCTTCCTTTCTGGAAAAAAGTGATGGCTTGAAAGACCTTTTCTACGGTGTGGATTGGATGGGATAACAGATGGCGCTGTCAGCATCTCACCTCACCCAAACTTGAGGCTCCAAAATTTCTAGAGTTTCTCTTCTTAGGAGACTTTCGGAAATATGCGAATCCTCATCATCGTTAAATTTCATTATTTCGATTATCGAGGAATCATTTTCATCTTCGTAAAACGTACGAAATTGTGCGAGTACACAACTTTCTACAGCGTATACCTGAAGTCAGGATCTTCACCAATAATCTTCTCGCCCCGATCAGCCTTCTTGTTTGTAGCCCTGAAGTACAGGGTGAGAAGTGTAGCACAGATCATAATGGCCACCGCGCAGCTAGGCAGTTATCAAAAGTGTTAGCAGTGTACTCTCACAAAAGTAAAACTGGCCCAAGTGTAAATGGCAGTACGTACACAATACATGCCACCATACCGGGCATGTAGTCCGGCCGATCCTGGCTTCGGAACACAAGACTCCCAGAGATTCCACCAATGCCTCCAAAACCAGTCAGGGTCGCTGAGCAGAAAGCACGCTTCCACTGGCCACGAATGTTGTTTGCCTGCAGGTGAACATATGTCAATGATGAATGCATTTTGTTTTAAGACCGGAAGTGGGACAGTACCTGATATGCCATTATAGCAGGAACATTGGCATTGGCACCAGCAACAGCAATGAACACCCCAAAATATCGCACTGCATTGTTTGAATGGAATCCCATGATAGGGAGTCCAACAATTAAGATGATGCAGTTCAGGAGTATAATGGGCGCGCGCATCCGGTAGCGATCACTAATCCATGATGTTACGAACATCAGAATTGCCGAGAAGACGTACGGGGGCGCAATGAGACATTGGGACGCAGCAAGGCTGAAACCCAGATTATCTCGTAGAATGATGGGTAGGAAGACTATTCCTGTCAGTATGTGTAGATAAGGTTGAAATGAGATGGTCAAGATGTCGGTATCCTACATGCAAACGCATAAGTGACAGTGGTGAGACAGCTAATGATGATGTTAGACGTAAGTCAATTCCAAAAGCAGCCTTCAAACATGATTCCTTACAAGAACATGAATGCAAACACCCATATCTCGAAATCTCCAGCCGGCTTCAAAAATCGTTTAAGGGTAAATTTTTCAGCTACCACATCTCGTCTATCTTCCTCCAGACGATCAATGATGTACTGGCATTCGTGAGGCTGTAGAAACCGGAAGGAGGGTTTGTCTCGTTCCTGGTCGGGGAACCGGACGATGAAGGCATATGCGAAAATTGCAATTGCGCAGGTTATCTTGTATATCATGAGTCACACGCAGAGGGTCGGTTTCGAGTTAATAGTAAAACTTACAACACCTTCCATAATGAAAATCCTGAACAACTATTTAGCCAAATGCCAAGTAGAAATCAAGCCGAGAATGCTTACCATCTCCATCCGCGAATACCTTGAACACCCTCCATTTGCATTAAGCCATATGCAAGGATTCCCGACAAGGCGGACGCAAGACTACCGATCAAGTAAAATACCGAGTATCGCCGTGCAACCTCGACTGGTTGGCGATTAGCACGAATGAAGAATGCATAAATGTGACATAGGAGGAAATCTTACACCGGGTGTACCACGTCGACAAGAGGTAAACACAGCCGGGGAAATAGCCAGCTTCCAGAATTCCAAGCACAAGTCTCAGGCCCACCACTGTGGTCCAATTTTTCGCAAATCCAAGCCCGATAACGAGAGCGCCCCATAGAAAACAGATGCCTGGTAAGAATATGCGAGGCCCGACCTTGCGGCATATCACTGTCATCGGAGATTGGAAAACGACGTATGTGATAAAGAAACATAGAGTTATGAGACTGTACCGATATCCCTCTAGCAAGGAAAGGTCTGTCCTCATGCCGGCGATGGCCGCATTCGAGACGTTCTTTCGATCCATAAGTGATATTCCATACATGAAACCCAACGCCGGAATAAGTCGCAGATCAATTCGACGCCGCAAGGAGGCAGCTTCTTTTGGGGTAAATGCCTCGTTGCTCTCACTATCGAGCTTGGATCCATCCTCGATATGGATAGGAGACTGCTTTCCCTCCGCCGGGGTTGTTTGGGACGCCATATTCTTCAGTGGCTCTCTGGCAGATGAAAAACAAGGAAAAAAACGTTTGAAGAAGAGATGAGAGCTGTCGAGCACAGCACGACAGGTGGTAGTTTATGTACGGAACCATCGTCCTACACAGCAGGACCCAGAATCTTGCTGGTGGAGGCCATGAATAATTGAATTAAGGCCATTCTTGCAATACGAGAAAATGGCCGCACGGCAATGGGGCTCTAAACTAGTCATTTGAGTATGAGGACCGGAGCTTTGGCAGCTCTCGACCTAATCGCTGCGGTTAAACAAGTAATGGGACACAAACTCTCCGCGTTTTTTTAACACGAGGGTGGAATAGGGGCCCTTTCCTTTGCCTCTTGAGGTTCTTGGCATCAGCTTGGCGCAGATCGCCGTTAGCGTGAGAAGGACAGAAGACGCGGGGTAAATGCGGAGAGCGTACGGAGTTCATACATGACCGGACCGAGGCCTCTTCCCGGGACGATCGTGAATTGACTCCCTACCGGTGGCGACAATGGGACTGTTGGGAAGCCAGAAAGAGCTTCAAAGGTCCCCTGTAGATCTCTCTATTCGGGGACGATGTCGCCTCAGCGTTTTGTGAATTTTTCTATCCCGCCACGAATTCGTGTGCTGCAGGCGCCAAAGTTCGTGGCTACTAAGGGCTGGACGTTCTCGTACCTACATAGCATATAGGAAAACAAGGAGGCGAATTGCCGGTGCTCCCGTTTCCAGATCCCACGGCAAAATGCATTCTAGGATATTCCGCGGATAGAGATCGATTTCGTAGCGGTGTTTTGACACATTCAACAATCTCACCGCCAAGACCCGGCTAGCATTTCATCCAGCTTTTTGAGACCAAAGTTCAAAAGTAGGTTTAAACTTCGGAACCAAATCGCAGGGACGGTGCCAAGGACACGTTTACTTGGCCTTTGAAGTCCTGTGAGTGCTGGCAAATAATGGTTATGCCCATAGACGCCGCAATGGATTCAGCATAGAAGTGGAGAGGCTGGATAGTCTTGTAGGCGACGAACGAAAGCTTTGGATCTCGAATTGATGCCCGCGCGAGTGCGGTCATGATTCATGAGAGCGGGCCTCCGGGCGATTCAAGATACCGCCCTGTGGTTCTCGACGGCCTCGATTTCAGCTTTCAATTTAGAGTTGCTCTTTTCTCTCTTATTTTTCGTGGGAATGAAGTTGCCATTTGAATGTTCCGCACGGAGCACTCCGTAGCTTTAAGTCCAAATTCTCCACAGTTTCCAGCCAGGTTGAACTGTGTGTTGCGGGTCGCAGATACCCAACAATTATAGCCTGTCGATGGGTCACTATTGCACTAGTATCTGTATATCAGGGTTGTTTATGTAATAAGAGCTGAGCGTCCGAAAATTAGCTGTGATACACGGGTTGGAGTTAAACCCCATGTGTGAAAGGCGAAAAGGATCGAGGAAAGCAGAGAATCAGCATTTGCCGAGTTTGACGGACCATTTCAGCAAAGGTTACGGGGTGCGATCCTTAGAGCCATCCTCATGGGGTCCTCAGGCTTGTTTAGTCGGCGAAAAACCGAGCAGAACTGGACAGCGAAGTCTCAGGAGCCAAGCCAGGACGTCGAGTGTTGATGAGACTAGGTGCCGGGGGATTAGTTGACCCGTCCCGGTGTGAGGAGGTGGATGTTTTAGCGTCTTGGCGCCACCTGCCACCTGACCAATAGGCGGCTGCCGGCTCTTCTCGAGAAGTTTAGCTTTCCGAGGCCAGACGCGAGATCAATGCCGTTCACTCCCCCCTTCTCTCGAGTTGCTCTCGTCTGCTGTTGTTCCAACAAACCGGCAAGCCACTCCTCTAGTTTGCTCGAGACTCCGTACTCTGTACTCCGTATTCGACTTCGAAATAGGTTTGGTCGCTTTGCGTGCCATTTTCTCCCCACCGTAACCCGTTGTTTCACTCCCGTTTTCTGCTTCACTTTGCCGTATCAAAAGTGACCACCAAATCCGCACCATCGCCACGCTTGGCCAAGGTCTTCATATACTGCTCGCTTGGTAAATAACCCCCACCAACTTGGCAACCCACAGCCAATCCACCTCCCTTCAAAGTTCAGACCAGAGCCATATTTGACCTTATGGGAGGAGAAATCGGCATATCAGGCGTACAGCTGCCAACGACCACTTGCATGAACGATGCCACTACTGTCAATATACCCCAAGTTTTTGCTAGAAGCTTAAGAGTGGCAACTGGACCGTGGAGGACCTTGTGTCACGAGGTTCCACTATGGAGTCGAGTCCGATTCCGGCCGGGCGACAATAGACTAGTCTCGAGGTCCTCAAACATATATCTCATGGCGCTGGCGGTCTGGGTTCGGAGATGAATGGAAGCCTAGCCGGCCATCTTCCGACCAGACATCCCACTCCACGAAGTTTGCTCCATTTTCATGCCTTCTTTTGGATATTTCCGATGCGGTTTGCATAATATTGCGGTAGTACATTGCTAACGATGTGCCCGAGCCCATACTCTATCTGGACCACCAGCAAGAGATAAAATCGATTTCCGGAGCGAGTTCATTATTCATCTTGTCTAACTTCTTTCGGACGGCTAGGAGTCAATTCCTTTATCATCCTTGCTATTGTATGCTAAAGTTTCAAACCACATTTGGAAGGGCATGGTTGAAAGCCCTCCTTTAACTATAGAAACGATTCTTCAGGGATGATACCAAATCACCCTGGAAGCTGCCATACATTGGGGCATGTCAAGCCCATCTTCCGACAAGGTGGTTATAGGAGGCATGTTCTATGTTAGTAACATGTGAGGCATCAGATATCAAACATGTGTATTTCAAGTCTATTATAAATCCATTGTTCATATTGTACAAATTTGAATACTATGGCATTGGACATACCAAATCCAACCCGCAGTACGCACTGCGCTTCTTACAAATCCAACTCAGCACGTTCCCTTTTAAGCTTCCTGCCTTCAAGTAAGTTCCACGCCCGTTGATAGCTTCCAAGAAACACTGCACCCCCAATCCCAATCCAAGCGACACGTGGGCCAATGCCCCTCCAAAACGCACCAAACCCTTCGTCCCTCCAAATCCCCTGTACAACATCCCTCACCCTGATCTTTCCTGCACCGTCACCGCTCCCAGTTCTTCGAGCCAGCATGACTCTCGTTTTAACCACATCGAGCGGAGTCGTCAAACCCGCAGAAATCGCGCCAGCAATACTGCCAAAGAAGGCACTCGAAGTCGCCGATACAGGGGCCGTAGGGTCTGATTTGTGCTTCCACGAGGCATATGCATCTTTCATCCGTTCCCACATTGTAAACTGTAAGATGGTGAACGGGATTTCGCGCGAGATAGTAATTGCCGTCCCTCGATACAGTTCGCGGAGAACCAGTCTCCAACTTCCCTTGCCTCCACCTGGTAAATCACCATGACGCAGAGAAAGGATGTCTTTGAGAGCTAACAATGTGGAGCCGCCAAATAGTCCGGCCTGAGCCCGCTGCTTGATCACTTCGGTGGGGACTCTGATTGCACAAGCAGACACTTCTCCCATGGACGAGGCGAGAGAGTGCGTGAGCACCGAATGCTGCCATGATACCGGTATATTTTCAGTTGAATGTCGAGGGGGAAGGAGGAGGCGTTTCACACCATCGTAAACGACGAAGAAGCTCGCAGCGGATGGCGCGGACCCTAGGAGCACCGACGGCAAGCCGGCATAAATGCCTCGGAAGGTCTGGCGGAGTAATGGTAGCCCAGTTTTGGCCGACGGGCTCGAACTGGAGTTAACTTGGCGCTTTCGAGCTTGTTGGAGTCTGGTTTTGATGGTATCAAGAGGAAAGAGAGAGACGTCAACCGTGAGACCGGCGACCGCTCCGGCCTACCAAAAGTAGACTAGTTAGCAAAGATAGATTTGGAGCTGGAGTCTCCAAATTGGTGATTGATAATAGTGCATTAATATGTATCAAGCACATACCAAGAGGGATCTCGTCCAGAGAGAGGGAACTAAGGCCTGTGACGCATCCTCTCGGGGATGGTCAACCGCTTCCATTGGCGACAGCGAGTGAGTGTTACGTCGCGATTTTATCCAAACACATGCTGTCCAACCGAAAGGAACGATCAAACAACTCACTCCACGGCAACCGCAGCTCCCACGGTGCGATCCTCCAGCCTTTTTTTTTTTTTTTGGATGTTTGAGGGTGGAAATTTGAGCAGAAATTTAGGTTTCCAAGGCTTCAAACGTCATCGGAAAACCGAATATCACGCACTTCTCCGCTCGGGAAACACCCGCCAGGGCCGCTCTCAAAGGCGTCCATACTCGTATCATCCCCCGTGGATATTCAATCTCCATCTTCCTGGCAGCATAATTCTCTCCTAGAATATTAATCACTTCTCTCTTGGCCACTCCGACGAGCAAACCTGTAGCAGACTTCAACTACTCCGTACAGCTGGCCAGCTGACTAACGTTTCTTTCACGTGATGTAATTCCGCAGGTGGACCGTAACCCTATTGGCCGGGACAGTTAGATCGATATTCCTTGAAGCTTCAAAGGGGCCGAAAAGTGAGCGAAGAACAAATAAATTGCATTATATCCTCCGAATAATAGAGAGTTTGTGCCTAGGAAGGCAGAATGTACATTTTACTCTCAGGCAGGAGATTATTCGGTCATGACATTGAAACCCCAAAATAGTCTCATCCGCCCGGTCTTCACACAAGAATTCTATCACGAAGTTAAGAGAGCCTGGAGGTTGCGGGTAGGGCAAAATGGAAAGGAAAATGCTCTTCCACGCAATATTGGTATGTGGACTGGTTGTATCCGACTGCTATGTCATCTGGCTTCTAACATACCACCTCAGCCCTTGCAGTTAGCGGTGGGCCGGATTCTATGGCCTTGGCCCATCTCTGTAGAAGGTTAATAGTAGAAGGGCATATTCCAGACCTAAACGTGAAGGCATTTATAGTGGATCATAAAGCTCGAGAAAAAAGCACCGATGAAGCTCTTAAGGTTGCGGGATGGATCAAGTCGATGGGTGAGACCCTTTATTTCGATGACATCTCTATTTTAAGCTGCAGCTAACCAAAACACTTTAGGATTAAAATCCCAGGTTCTCACACTGCAATGGCCTGAGGGAACAAAAGATCCAGCAAGATTGCCAAATTTTGAAACGCTCGCAAGGAGACTTCGCTATCAAGCTCTTGGGACTGCATGTGTAACGGAAAACATACGAGCATTATTTCTAGGCCATCACAGAGATGATAACGTTGAAACTGCCTTGCTTCGGTTAGCCCAAGGTCATGGACGCTTTGGTCTTGCTGGATTTGACAGCGTTTCTCCCATTCCTGAGTGCCACAGTCTATGGGGCGTATCACAGAGTGGTGATATTACGAGCATAGAGGCCATCTCCGCCGATCGAACTCCTAGAATGGCGCCGATAAAACCAAATCTAATGAATAATGGGGGTGATAGAGCACCTTTGCCACAACCGGATTCAAGCCTCTATACTGCAACTGGTGGTGTTTATATATTCCGCCCGTTTCGCTCATTCCCAAAGGCACGACTGGAAGCTACTTGCCGCGTTGCAAGGGTCCCATTTGTGATTGATCCCACCAATGAAGACCATACACTGACCATCCGAAACACTGTGCGCAAGTTGTTGTCATCAGGGGACTTGCCTCGCGCGTTACAAAGTCCTTCAATACTAGCATTTATCAGCAAGAATCAAAGAGCCAAGGAACGTTTACAGGATCTGACCGACAGTTTTTTAAAACTTGTCCGCGTCAACAACTTTGATTTTAGCTCTGGAACATTGCTCGTTCGGCTACCCTTCGCTGAAGAAGTTGACTTTTTTAAAGAGACCTTTAACGATCCCCATCAAGATCATCCTCATATAAATCCTTTTGACGTGCAATTAAAAGTCGTACGCACGTTAATTGAGTTAGTAACCCCAGAATCGGATCTTCAGGTGTCGCAAGAGGGTCTAGTCAGAGCCGCCAAACTGCTCTGGCCTCGATCATCCGAAGACACATCATCTCCCGATGTATTCACGCTCGGCGGCGTTCAATTTCAACCCCAAAAAAGAAAGGGGAAATATGGAGTCTTTCCGCATAGTTTCAAGCGCCGGAGTCAGGACGCTCTCATCGCGTCCCAGAATCTCAGAGACGTTGCAGACAATCCTACAGACCCAAATATTTGGCTACTCTCGCGAGAGCCCTTACGCCGACATTTACCGCCACCCATCACTAAGTTTGGAATATGTCTTCCCGACCCGGTTCCTGAACAAATTAACAAGGCAGGATGGCAAAGTGTAAACAAAAGCAGGTGGACTCAGTGGAAACTCTGGGATGGTAGATACTGGGTCCGTCTTCGAGCGACTAGACAAAACAAAACGTTGGCTCTCAAAGGGGGTGCGACTCCCAAGGCACACATCTACAGCTTTGGTGACACCATTCAAGTAACAATGAAGCCCATGTCTCAAGAGGACGTCGTTGGGATTCGCCGATCTGAACTTGGTAATCCCTTTTATCAATGTCGGAGTTCATGGAAGCTGACGGATCGAGATTTACGGCCTGAATCGTACACGGGGGGCCGAAGGCTCGACGCATCCCGATGGAAGAAGAAGGCCTTCGATGTTCTCCTTTCTTGTTTTGCACCGGGCAATCTTCGAAAGACAATTCCAGTGCTCTGGCATTCTACCCCGGAAACCATTCAGCCGGAGGAAGGAATAAAAGAAGCCCTGTCCATCCATGCGGGCTGTAATACGCCTCCAGCCTCAGACCCCGAGAAGATAGAGGTTGACAGCCCAGAAGATTCCCCATCTGCTTCTCTACCTCCAACTTCAAAATGCAGCAGAAACGATGTAGCCAAAGCGACTGCCGGCTTTCCCGAAGGAGACGACATAAACGACGAAGGAAGATACGGTAACGGAGAATATGAAGAAGAAAGGCACTATAACATAAATGACACCCAAAAACTTGTTGCCGTACCATCATTCCATCGCCGCACGGGAAAGAAGATATGGGTACGAATGCCTCGAAAATCTATCCAAGCGCCATCGAATGACCTAACATCGCCCAAAACAGTCGACCAGGAGCAAGACCCAGATGAAGAATACATTTGTCCCTGGATCATTGAATGGGATATTATATTCAAACATGTCGATCCTGTCACGATCCGGTGCATGAACTGGGAACGTAAATTATCGAGCTCCTCTCCGTCCAAGGAGGAAAGCTATTGATACGGCGCAAGTCGACACTGATAGATAAGACTGCAAAGGTTGTTAAGCAGACACGCGCGTTCCAGCGAAATTTCATACGGATAATGTGTAAAGTATTGAGGTGTGTGTTTTGTATCTATGTACGATACCCCCCGGTTCATGAGTACCGAAGATCGATTTTCAAACCTAGCCCTTGCTCCGCGTGTATTTTAGTGAGCGGCACGGTATGAATAGATACTGTGTAATCTTTCCGATTAGGGCATTGATAACCTCAACTACGGTCTGCACTTGTGTAAGATATTCTCATGTCAAGAGTTAACAGCACTGACGGATGCGCACGCTGCGCGATGCTCCTACCAAAGGCCAGCAGGAGGATTACCATATAGAGTAAAAGGTCCTAATCCGAGACGAAGAAAGTTGTATATTTTCGTTAGAATTTGTACATTCACAGGCTAAAAACAAGCACAATGCCTCCCAACCGTATATCCGCTCAAGCCAATGCTGTATCAACACTGTACTTCATAAGCAATGCAAACCACCTTAAAACGTCAAAATTTTCAAATCGCTGACCACCAAGGCTGGCTTAAAAAGAAAAAGAAAAAAGAATGAAAACGGCTCCAAGCGATCATCAATGGGCTTATGGTATCATCCACAACAATCCACCCTTCCTATAACGCCAAATTCGCATGTACCCAGCACGAAAGAATAGCCACACCTCCTTTTCAGCCATCATCATCATGCATTTCAACATTAGTCAGTAACAACTTGTTGCGCCTTCAATCCACCAATTTCTCTCTTCAATCGGAAATTTTCTTTCTTTACTCTAGCAAGCTCGTCAAGGCTCTCTTTTAATTGTTCCCTGAGCGCCATCTCCCCAGCTCCATGTCGAACATCTTTGGCAATTCTGCTCAGCTCATCGTTAAAGCGCTGGTATAAAGCTTCATTCTCAGCACTAGCTTCGCGATAGAGTTCATCGAGTTTCTTTGCACGTCTCTCGCTAACGATAAGGGAATTTTCAATGTCCTTCTCAAGAGACGCAGTCCTGGAATTAAGGTCCGAAGTGACAGCAGCGACTTTATCGGAAAGACCCCGAACACGGGCAATAAGTGCCGTCGACGGACTCGATGACGTAGGAGAGGATATTGATTTGAAAGTTCCACTGGACGATGTTGGGCGCCCTTTGATAGGAGAAGCTCGTGAATTAGAGATCTCTTGCCCAATGGATGCCAGCTCTGCCTGCAACGTCGATTCAGCTGATGCAACTGTTCTCTTTTCATTTTGGACTCGTTCTCGAAGCTACAGAAAAGGTTAGACAGATCTCCAAAAACGAACCCCAATGTGCGACATACCTTCTGCGGGTTCTGCATCTTCAACTTCTGGACCTTTGGTGTAGACGTGGTGGACAGTGGTATCCGAGATGCTTCAGTTCCATTCGGTGGCCACGATCTTTCCTTAAGACCAGTAACATTTGAATGGTAGTTTTGCGGCCGAATATCTGTGCGTTTCTTGGGACTTGTCGATATATTGGTCTTTCTGTTCACGGGTTTATCGCCAAGAGCAGTCCGAGGAGAGGGAGGGGTATTCTCTTTGCGACTTCTTGGGAGGGTTCGCACTGGAGACGTAACGCGAGGAGGAGAGGGAAGCCGGATAGGAGATCGAAGACTTGTCCCATTTCTGTGGCCGGATGATCCCGTTGGGGTAGTCGATGGATCGGATTCTGAATTGTGACTGGCTGGCGTAACGGGTGACTCTACCCGTCTTGTCGCTTTAGGAGACTGAAACAATGGTGTTATATCGCCTGCAGACAGCGGTCTCAGATCCGACAGGGAACTTCTACGTTTCTTTCGAGGAGAAACAGGCTTCTCAACACGATCCTCGCCTATTGAGCTTAGTGTTGCTGCGTTACTATGAGCGCTGCCGGGGCGATATAAGTCGTGATCACTGGAGAAAAAGGTCGGCATAAATGGACGGTCTCGTGAACCGGGGCGCAAGAGTGTATGTAGCCTGGTATCCACGTCCGTTGATTTGGCTCGAATGAGGCCGACCTTTGGTAATGTCGAAGCTGGCGCTTCGGCATCTGCAGCGGACCCAGATCCAGAACCCTTCGACTTACTGAGAGTACGGATAATGGAGCTAACTTTGCTCTCGCTCTCCGTTTTGCTGCGTTCACGGTGAAGCCCGAAACCGAATCTCTTGCGAAACGATGAACTATTGGAATTGATGGAGCCATTATTGACTGACTGTGATCGATCACGCCGATTTGTGGGGTCATTGAGCAAAGTACCCTCCATCGGGGCTATGAAAGGTGCGTTCTCATCAAATAGTCTTTCAAAGTCTTCAACAAGGCGATCTAGAAGAGAAATATACTCCCTAGGGTCCCCTTCCTCAGTCAATATTTCCGAGAAAACTTCAGTCAATGCACCCCGGTCACCATCGTTGCCTGAAGCATCAAGCAGTTCTGCTAATAACTTAACAAGGCCTGTGAGAGCTCTCCGTGTCTGAGGACTCATTTCTGCTAGGAATCTATGAAAGAAATCCTCAAAATCACCCGGAAACATAGAGTCAAATTGGTTCTGAATGAGCACGAGAGATTGAGCAGGAATAACAGGGCCAATCTTCTCCTTCCAAGCTTTAGCCATAAAGGTCTCAAACGCCACAATGAGCACATCCACGGGAGCTTCGGCAGCGGCCTGAATTTTACCGGCATCATCCAAAAGAACATTATAAAGCTCGTTCACAGCTGCCTGATCAGCTCGATCTCTGGCTCGAAGGACACGACCCACAATATTTCCGCTCCTTGAGCGTATCGCGATAGTATATGCGGTAAACGTTTTCTCCAATTGTTCCAACTGAGTGGCAGTTTCATCTGCAATATTTATTCCTCCATTGGCTATTCCACCATCAATAGCCTTCGCGCCTTTCTGAGGGGATGGGGTTGAAGGGAGTTCCTTTTGTGGACTATCGAAATCTGCAACAGAAAAGGTGGGAGGACTAGGTGTTATTTGGGCCGGTGGAAGTAAGCCTTTTTGGGGTAAATGCAACTCCTTTGCTTGGCCACCTCCCCAAAAGCTTGATAGAAGCTTGGATGGAGATCGTGGCCGGAGGCCCTTTGTCACTTTAGCTGAGGCGAGGATATGGTCGGCGATAATGCGGAGTATGCTAAAGTTCGCACTGAGAACTGCATCAGTAAGGAAAGGATTCTGGGGCTGACATAATGGCCGAAGGAGTGTATGAACTATGATAATTAGCCCTATTTCTTAAACATAGATACACCATACACTTACGTCGCTTTGACAGAATTGAAATAAAGTCCTGCGGTGCAAATAGATCCGTGAAAGAAATCCCAACAACAGAATCAAATTCCATCTTGTATTTTCCGCCAGCAGCCATTGACATCACAACGCTCACTTCCAAATCTGTATTTGCTGCATCCTTCACCAGATTAGTCTTTGGACCATCGAAATTCAGCCTTACTGTCGATGATGTGCTCGAAGGAAGCGTTTCGTCTGAATTTTCCTCAAATACGGATATCAAAGTTCCCAGGTTCTCATAAGCCCCGTCAGGGTAGTGTAGGGACCATTTTCCGCATTCGCGATATTGTTCCGGAAATCTTCCCTCAATTCTTGCCTTTGTGATTTCCTCAATCAACCGATGCGCCTTACCCTCGTAGCTCGACATCAATTCAAGGGCATGAAGCATTAGTTTCGATGGCGATCGCTCATTTCGCAAGATATTTTCAGCCGGAGCAAGATACATGATGTTTCCGCACTTGGACTGGGTGCAACGAACACTACCGATACGACTTGCTTGCAAAAATTTCAGCTCGGGAGTAGAAGCTGCTGGATCCGTTCCATATCCTGGCTGCGGTTTGTCCAGCTCGGCATATAATCCACGGGCGGTGAGTTTGCTTTCCGGAGTTTTGGACATAAGAATCAGAAAATCAGTGTAGACTAGCATAATGCCAGTCTCACCTCGGGATCCTTGAAGTCCGGGACGATATGGCGGGACAAGAGTGAAAAAGTCAACCGCAGTAATTAATCTCCCGGATGGAGAAACCGAGGTGGGCCATCCCGTCACCAAGGCCTGCAGCCGTTTAGAGGTTTGCCCATTGCCTCTCGACGAATCCAAGGAGCAAATTTCGGTTATGATATCGCGTGCGTTCAAGAGCGGTTTGACAGCAGGATGCACAACTGGCAGCGCACCTGTCATTGCATCAATGAGGAGGCTGTATCGCGGTAGACGTTGGACCGGTTCCATAAGTAATGAGCGCATTCTTTGTTCGCCAGATTCATAGACTCTCTTCGAGAATGACGAATTGTGATCATGCAAGAACGTGTTTAAAACCTTTGTGAATCCGGTGTGGGCATTCATGTATTCCCCGTACGGCTGGGAAAATCGCGGGAACCACTCTTGGAGACAACGTGCAAAGGCGATAATCCCCATTGGATCCTTTCTATTTCCGTTAGAGTCTCTAGCCAGTGCCGCCGAATCAAGTACAGTGTCTTTCGTTATGTCTCCAAGAGTATCTTTCTCTGTATCTTCGAGTATTTGGCGTATATCATTCAGGAATCTGAGGTTGACTTCAAGTATGTCATTAAGACAAGTTGGGAATAGTTTCATTAAGTCCTTCTCATCAGGACTGGTGCTAGAAACGGATCTATCCCTAGCCTTCTGGCGAAATTCATGCGCGATGTTGTGAACCAAGTCATACATCTTCCCAACATATCTCTCTTCGGTATCCACCACCTCACACATAGAAAGACGCAAGGTCTCCTTCTGCGATGCAGAAAAAAGCCTTGACTTGCTCATATTCGTCGGTTGCGACGGTGCACGTTTTAACTTCGAAGTTGGCAGGAAGATCGGATCCCCCAACGCTTCAATAAGAGGAGCATATGCCCCGAAGCGATCAGAGAACTTCTGACACTGCTCAGCATCAGACCCTGCATCGCGTGAAGTGTGCGTGGCCATGTCGACAGTCCCCGGCGGTAAAACAAAGTCGATGTCGATGCACGGAACGATCCTATCCGCAAACGCATCCTTCAGATCTGGTATTACTTGTGCCGCATTTTCCACCTTTGCCATTTTATTCGCCAGATCCGCTGCATGAACCTCGTTGAAGAGATTTGGTAATAGCGTACATTGCTTTCCCGACAGTGTCAGGGCCGTCAGAGCATCCTTCACCACCTCTGGTAACTCGCAAAAGTATTTGAACAGACACACGGCCAGACCACGATATACTTCATCCCCTTGTTTATCGCGGGGTAGGTGATTGACTGCAGCGTAGAGCGGGGCGGCGGGAGATATTGTAATTCGGGGATAGCTATGCACCCCACCGGGAGCGATTATGTGTGCTTGAATGCGCGAGCTGCTCAGCGTCGAATTGGCGGTGGTGGCGGGGCCGTGGAAGATGAAGACGGAAGACAGGTAGGGGTCGACGGCGTGGAAGAGGGCGAGCTGCTCCAGCGGAAGCCCCGCGAGGGAGCTGGATAAGGAAGCCATAGCGGAGACGGATCAGGAAAGGCGGAGGGGCCGATGGGCCGGTCGTAACTAACAAGCCTGGCAGGTGTTAAAAAAAAAAAAAAAAAACCAAGCCCAAGCAACTACCGGTCCCCGCGCCTGTCGTTTCTGGATGCCGGGTGGAAACGATGCCTTAACTGCAATCGGCAAAAAACAGCCAGACAGGGCAGGATTGGTAAATGTAGCAAGGGACCGAGGAAGCAAAAAGGCGCGCCTCCTCCGTTTTCGAAAGAGTCCACAGGCACAAATAATTCGACTGCCTGATTTGGGTATGATAGGTAACTAGTTATAGGTATTGTTCGGGCTTTTCTCTTCGTCGCCAAATCATCCCGCAGGTGGCGTGGCGGCGGTCACTCCTGCCCAACCAATGCGGCAACTGGCTCGAGAAACGCCCAAAGCGAAACCCAACTCGTCACCCCCTCCTCGTTTATCTTGGTTAACTCAGGTAACTTGGAAGAAGCTGACCGTTGGGATCGCAGTCGTTGATCTAGACCGGGTGGTTGTTAACGATCCATCGTGACCCCCATCCAATCAAAGGCAACCTGCCAATATCTCTCGACCAAAAAGACTGGAGCACGCTGGGCAAGAGGAAATGGAAATGAATGGGAGAAGCAAGCGCGAATCCGTTCCCGAGGCGCCTATTATTTAACGACAGCGTGGAGAGCCGCTAATTAACCTGATCGACTTGTTGGTGCCGATTTGCCAGCAAGCTCGCCGTGTGATTGGCCGCGCGGGGCGGAGCTACACGTGTACCTGGGAAAACAAACCCCCCATCGAGGAAATCGATAAACAAACCAAATTCGGAGAAACCCCTGCTGTGGATGGAGTCGATCGCACCGGGAACGGGGGGTTGTGGGCGCGCCATCAGCCCGGCCAGCCAGCCACAGAGCTGAGCCAATGTTGTGCAGCAAAGAGGTCGATCTACCGGCAAGTGCCTCGCAGAGCGGAAGGATGCGAGCTTAACCTTGCGGATGGCTCCGGCCTAACGAGCGAACCAGCCAGCCAGCCCAATGCTTCGTCAGATTGTTTCTTTTTAACTAACCCCCGCAGCTTATCGAGTACGGAGCAGTTATGTTACTCTTTTAGAATTTAATTAAACTAGCACTGGGTATCAGATCGAACACTTCTTCTTGCTTTAAAAAAAAAAAAAAAAAAAAAAAAGGAAGCCCGGTACCATCAGGGCTCCTTGCGCATATTGACCCCAGCAAATTCTGCTGGGGCTTGCACAGCGTCCTTTTGTCCATCCATGCTCAGGTACATCCTCTGGCCCTTATCTCGGGGCTCGGGCCAAGAACGACGAATTCTTATGCGGTTGACACCGAAGATGTCCATTTGAAATCACCCCTTGCCAAACACTCAAAAACACAAAGAATACAGGAAATATGAGAAAAGTTCTCTCTAATGTCCTTTCATTGTTGTCATACACAAAATATCAATCTGTAAATTGCAACTTGGAAAAGTAGACAAATCGCATCCACACTCAGAAAAGCCAATGGATCCATTGCCGAGTTCAGCAATCACAAAATCCCACTGGCGTAAATCAGCAAGGGCATCTTCTTTGATCAAACCGAATAGAAAACGTTTGAATCGAATGAGCCCCAAGATATCGTAGCGGCAATTGGAATAAAAGGCATAAATAACATCCGTGGGGAGCATCAATTGGTAGCAACCGTGCAACTGCAGAATAGCAATCGCTTGGCAAATCAGAGGCATTTATCGGGTCTTGGCGAGACTAGCTTGTTTATTTTTTAAAGCGGCGAGAGAAATGACTATTGGCGGTGGTCCTTATGACGTCATAAATCAACGGCGACACTCAAACCCAACCCTATGGTAACAGAGCAGCTGTTAGCAAAATGCAGTTTTGAGGCTGCCGAATCTATCCATTTATGAGGATGGAATCGATGGGTGATTGTTACATGCCTTCTCCTTCAATTTGGCGTGGTAAGAAGCATCACGATCCCGTCTTGTGATGTGGCTGTCTCGCGAGCTGGACGTCGAGAAGATGCTGCCTTCTGGCTTCTGAAATCGCGATGGAGGCACTTTAGCGGCGTCTAAGAATCCTAAATTAGCCTCAAATCTAATAGGTGGTGCTTCGATAAAAAAAAAATGTGGCTCGCATACCCCACTCCTTGCTCATGCGCCTATCCCGCAGCGGCGACTTTGATTCAGACGTAGACAAAGGGTCAGAACGCCGAGCATCACCTTGAGTAGGAGATTCGGCCTCGATAACGCCAGAATCCGTGGAAGGAGAGCGTCCAGTGAAAGGATCTCTTAGCTGGGGCGACTCGTGAGTTTGCATGTTTGAGCCTCGCTGATCGTGCATATGCTCTGCTCCAGCTGGCATAATATTTCTGCATTAGCATTTGCTGGGAGGCCGATAAGAAAAAGACAGAGAAGTGAAGGATATAAATTGAGAACGGAAGGATTTGAAGCTTAAGAAGGGATGTAGCGTCCGCACTTACCCCTTTCCCTTCCGTCTGGGCTGGCGGCGTGCCTCGTATTTCCAGACATCAAGCGAGTAGCAGATGGTATGAATGTGGATGAGATACTGGATATCGGAGGTATGTATCCTTTCAGAGCGGGGGTGGAAAATCGAACGAAAAAGAAAGAAGGAAAAGGTTAAGGTGATGTCTTAAATGCTTGTTTTTTCACTGAGGATCTGATAATGATGACACGGCAACGATGGCGGGTCGTTTCTTACCTGTCTTTTGAGTCAGAGAGGAGATGATAGGACGAGAAGTGGTCTTATAGTAAACGTGTGGAGGGCAAGCTGGCTGAACAACGGATACAGACCGGCCCCCAGCCACAGTCCGGGGGGCCAGACTCGACGGGTCGCCAGCAATAAAAGATTCGTCAGTACGTACTCCGTAAAAATTGTCGCAACTTAGTCTTCATGGATACCCCCTGCCTAAGACTGAAGGGGTGATTGGCTTTCGAGCTCGCCGATTCATTGGGTCGTGGGCATATATAATCATGGTTGGGCTATGAGACGAGCGTGGTTTATCCAATCCGGATGACGCTTTAGGTATGGTTATCTTGTTGCGCGTGCGATCAATAAGCAATCCAAACCTTCGCCATGTGGGGTGATGCAAAGAAAGGTAGCTTATTTCCAGAGGAAAGGTCTGGCATGGACCCTTGCCGCTCCAGATGACGTATACTGTACTTCTGCAGTACAAAATGTCGCAGCTGACCGTCAGCCGAGCCTTTCTTATTTAACGAATAAGAATGCATCACTGCTCAGGAGCAAAAGCTTTTAGGTTATACTTTTTTGGGTGAGGAGGAAAGGAAGAGTGTTCAGACATCAAGAAGTACTTGGGGTGGTGAAGATGCGGTGAGACATTAGCTAGTCGGGATTGCTGGCTGTTGCTCATTCGCAAATTTGGAGCAAACCGAAACCGAGATGGGGTGGTTCACGGGGATAACAAATTCTCGAAGGTTAGGCGCACAAGATGCTGGCAGATCCTCAGAGTGCAGCTGGGGTCGGACAGAGGTGGTGCCATAGGGCTTGATGCCGAGATAGAGTAGTGGTCCGTGTGGAAGCCGCTTGGCCACCTCCCAACGAGCCAAGACCGTGTAGAGAATCCTTGGCATCCGAGCGAGCCACAGGTTCTGTTGCCTGCACGGCCATCTTTCACCCTCTCGAACGGCCTACCTACCTCGGATACACGCACGGCGGCTTGGTCATTTTAGAGGGTGTTACGTAGGTGCGCATCCTCCGTATGGGCTGGCGGGGTGGCGCTCGTGCGGGTTGTGGCGGGGTCCTGGTTACCGGGGCTGGTTGGAAAGCGCAAAACCCCTCGCTTTATTAATGTTCCGGCTCCGCTCTCCAGGAATTCGCCACCCAGCCACAGCGTCCATCCCAAACAACCGTCAGCCAAGGTTTAGCCAAGATTCGAGTATCAAATCTGGACTCCGCTCCCCTTTCTCCAGCGGGGTGCTCAGCAGCACCGCAGACGTAGCCTTCCCTGCCAGCACTCCAGCAGCCATGTCTCGGAGTGAGAGAAAATTACTAACATCATTTTTCTGTGTTAAAAAGACGAGGATACCGGTTCATTGGTGCCCGCAAAATCTTGTTCTTTCATCTTAATGCTGGTTGGTTGGCTGGGTAGTACGGTAGGCGACTGAAAGGGAAAAACAACACATACAGAAAGGAAGTTGGAATTTCTTCAGCGAGCGGTTTTAGCTCAGTTGGGAGAGCGCATGACTGAAGTTGAAACTTCGGTGTTTGAATAAATATCATGAGGTCACCCGTTCGATCCGGGTAAACCGCACACAAGGGCCGTTGTTGTTTTTTATTTTCAGGACACTGTAACAAACTGCCTTGTATTTTTAATTTTAATTTTTCTTTTTTTTTTCTTTTTTTTTTTTTTTTTGGTGGTGGGGTTGCAAGAAACTCCTAGCTTCGACACCAGTTCAGGCCGGGATCCATGGAATCCACCACAGCCACAGTACGACACACTGTTTGTCACATGAGCTACTGTAACGACCTTGGATCCAGTTCCCATGAACGTACCTGCAAGTACCTGTGACCGGCCCTCAACCTCCTCTCAAGCACCTACTGTATTCCACCGGCAATGGCTCGGTGTCGAGCCAATTATCACCCGCTCGCTTTTCTACGTTCTAGGCCTTTACTCATGCATCGTCGCCTTCTTGTCCTGATGAGCTTGTTTTCGGGGCCAAGCAGTTGACGTGGGAGGAATCGATCTTGTAAATAATCCCGCACATACATACATACATGAACGCCTGACGCACGAGCACTTCGGGCCCAGCCGAAGATAGACACAACCTTGGGCAGAGGAGACACAACCCATAGCCGTTCAACTTCTCCATTGGCTCTTGCGACCCCGGAATATGATGCCTGCTGTGCAACCAGAGAGTTAACTTGGGTTTTCTGCGCGGAAGAAACTCCTCATCAACCATTCAATAACACCTCGGGTGGAATTCCCCTCATGGAATAAACAGCGCCTCCTTACTGAGCGGCGAGCACAGTCATATTCGAACTGGGCATGTTAGAAAGGCATGCGTTTCTGGTTACTCCTCTATCTTATGAGATAAGTCTCGCTAGAACCCCTATTGGAGCATGTAATGAGACGGGGGCCGGTTGCTCTCAAGGATCCCAATTAGTTTTAGTACCCTGCACCTTAGCAAAAGCTTCAGCCCGTGGCTTCTCATCACTTTGAGGCGACCAAAACTGCATCCAAGGGCACCCCTCACCTGTAGCCTCGGAATAACATCGAGGCCTCTTCCTGTCTTTATTAGCAGTGTGGGCGCACTCATAGCAGTAACGTGGGCCCGTTGATCTGGGATAATGCATAGCTAACATTCATTAAAGTTGTCAATGGGGTGTGAGAAGAACTATCGCAGATCTCCTCCCAAATCTTCAAATGAGGAAATCAGGATATGTCGGCATGTAGACTGTATACTTTTTAAAGCATAACTTTTGTCCTAGGAACCAGAAGAGACACACCTCAAAAGCCACAAGCTCAGGGTGAAAATACACAGGGTACTGCAGCGCTGAGAGGTATATAGTTAATTAATCATCAGATGGGATTTCAGTCAGTTAACTAGAGAGTTAGTTAACCTGCTCCGTACGGAGTAGTTAGGACGGAAATAGTCCATAACTCAGCAGGCAGAATTTCAATACGGAAAAATGAAAGTATGTACCGAGCGACAGCATAATACGCCATTCTGATAAAGGGACTCGCTCAGCAGCACAACTCTCTATTCACTCTAGTATATCACAAACACCTTCATTGCAGCTTGTCTATCAAAAGTCATTGCCGCTTGTGGGGCCCAAAGCGCACAAAAGGGATGAATCATATTGATAATAGTATTAGTCCACGTTGTCCTCCTCTTCTAGGGCTTGGTCACCCTTGTCGCTGGATTTCTCATCGCTTGCCCTCTCGGCTGTAGGATGTGGATGTTGGTCATGCGCTGATGCTGTCGGGGCGGCCTTTTCTTCAAAAGCCGACGGGAATATTTCCTTGAACAAGTCGGGAAGAAACCGATCTAGTCTTCTTTGGGTCTCAATCCATATCTTCTCCTTGGTTGGATCTTCGCTTGGAGGTGATAGGTATCCTCCATCTGCCATCACGAGAAGTATATTCTTCAAGCTCTCAGGGACCGCCTCCTGTAGTTTGACATTCGAATTAGATCCGGGCACCTTCTCTTAATTTCTCAACTAACAACGCGAAATACTTACAAGACTGTCGCCTTGCCCACTATTCATCATGCGGTCCAGGATATCAAGGATGTTCAACCACAAGTCAAGCATACCCTCCCATTCGGACAGCAAGACAAGATAATGCAAGAATACCTTGCACACAAGCGTCGCTGCCTGAACTCGGGTCTCGCTCATGCCGACTGGATCCGATTGGTAGACCTCCGGCTTAAGCAGGCGCAATATTAACGGGAATAGGACTTCGCTGAAAATCGCCACCCATTCCTTATGATCTGTAGACGCAAGTTCCGGAGATAACAACGTTCGTTGCAGGGCAGAAATTGCCTGATGCCTGATATCTCGACAAGGGTTGAGACATTGGGTGGTAAGAGCGTTGAATATTGGGGACCAATATGCAGCCCATGCTAGGGTTATGTCAGCTCAGAGATCTATCAGAGTAGCCCGCGGGTGATTGTTACCTTCGTTTCGTTCTAGATGCGACTGGCTAATGAGCGTCGGTACACGAGCAGTCATGTGGAAGATGATCCCTATCGCTTTTGTGCCCCGGATTACGAAAGGATTATCCCTACTCGAGGAGTACATCAGCATGCCGGTGTAATAGCGATGGACATAACCAGCTGTGGGAGAACGAACTGTATTTTGTTGGACTTTTTGACCGACCGAGACCTTCTCACTGAAGACTCATACCGCAATTCTTGAGAAGCCACAATGCTTCCGGAGTTTGCAAAGTCATTCGCGAGGCCAACTGCTGCCTCATAATTGTCCGCAGTAACCACCGCGGGGTCAGACTCGATAATATTTTGCAAAAGTTCAAATATCATGGCAGCTCCGTCTTGGTGTTGATGTAATCTTTGAAGGATGGACCAAAAGTCTGGGTATTTCGTAATTTCTTTCCAGAGTGGAGCCTCGCTGACAATGCTTGCGAGACCAGTGATTACTGGGACAGCAACGCTTTCAAGGGTATCTTGTTCAAAACTGGATATGGAATGGAGAACAACTGGAGGCCTCATAAAGGAATATTCCTGTGAAACGTTAGTCATGAAGTAAAGATCAAAGGACACGAATACATACGTAGCTGCGACGCAGAAGAACCAAAAGATAATATATTACGCGAGAAAGCATCAACGGGTGTACATTTTTAGCGTCTCGAATAATGTCTTGCAATGTTCGCATCAGATTCTCCCCCAGTTGCTGTATTGTATCAGCGTCTCGTAACACAAGCAATGTCGCTAACTCGAGTATGTAAACCGTTCCTGGTTTATAGGCGGGCTTCGTAATGTTCGTTTTGCCGGTTGCGGCCCTCGATGAATGAACCTGTGGGCGTTCGGATTTTACAGTAATGACAGCAGGACTCGTATCGGGAAGTTTGGCAAGAAGAGCGCTGACAAGATGAGATTTGGAGGATATGGGAATGGACCTGCTATTACATTAGAAGAGAAGAGCATATTGCCGTCGGAGGTCCGTCTTACCTTATGCTCTCAAGTAGGTCAGAAACCCCGCATGCATTAATGCAGTCAATAGTGCACATTGTGTTCTCAATTTCCTCATCGGACGGCTCAGGGGGGTCATCAGCCGCGTAGCTGGAGAGATAGGACGTAAACGCAGAGAACAAGCCCGCCTCGTTACTACGCCCATCTCTGTCAACAACTTGGGAGGGTGGTTGAAGGGGGATCGGGGGAATATCAAGACCGGAGTCTCGTATATCGAGTTGAGGGATGAGAGAGTTTATGAATAAATGATGAAGGATCCTGACGACATATCCCCATCCGTTCTGGATGGCCGCTTCGCTGCCTGAGATCACGCGGAACAAAACAACTGTAGCAAGTTGTGCTCTGAAGTCTCTTCCTAGCTTCACCGCGAGCTCGCTAACCATAACCGTTTTCTTCCCTATTTGCACCTCTGTATTGAGAGAAGTGTTAGGGGGGGCCTCCAAGGCGAGAGTGCTAATGGAGCTAAGACAGAATATTATGCGGTCAAGCGCCTCTGTTAGCCCATATTTCGCGGCAATCTTCGCGCATTGGTCAAATCCAATGACGACTCTGGAGAACACCGCATCATCCGATGCAGACATGAAGACGTAAGAGAGAGTAGCTACCACAGGACGCCAAGTCGCCTCGAACATCTCGGCATCAAATATGTTAGAATCGCATCGTATTAAGTCACCAGCGGTGGTTGCCTTTATCAGCAATTCCTTCCACGCATACTCGAACGCATGCTTGTTTTCGTGCTCATCAGGCAAGATAATTTCATTTTGTTGAATTGAGCGATAAATTCCTTCCAGATACTCAGCTGGAAAGTCGCGGCCAGCGTTCACTCCTCCAAGATTTTTAGTGAAACCTTCTAACGTCATGCGATTTTGGGGCTTTACGTTGGGGTTATGTAGGTCGGTGTTTAACATTATAATGGCGTAAGTCAAAACAAAAAGAGAATCCGAGTCAGCGGCTTCTTTGGGCTTGCCTCCAGCAAGATATTTTTCAGCGAATACGGTGACAATCCGTTGGATTAAAGGAGACTCTCCCGGAAGCCGAAAAGAACCCAGAACGTGTCGAAGGGCATCCACAATGCCGACGCCTTCGAAATCGAACAGCTCCATGAATGCCTCCAGAATCTTCTCATTGTTGCGGTTGGAAATGTATTCCCCCAGCGTTTTTTTGGAAATACGACTCGTACCCTTGAGGAATCTTGCGATTAGCTTTGGATTTTCGATATCCTCAATGATCCCTTTCGAAGCAAAAAAAGCAATTCCAGCTTTAGGGTCTTCGTTAAATTTCGTGGCTCCTTGAATTATAATTGCCTTTCGCTGTCTCTGCTCTTTTAATCGCGAGAGGTCAGGGAGTCCTTCGTATTTTGGTTCGTCATCAAGCCTATCGGCAATAAATTGGACATAACCTAGTAGAGCATCGAGGCAAAGTGGTGGAACATTAGTTGTGCTCCACGTCGCGGAGTCGGGAAATGCATTTCGAGATAATAGCCCAACCATGTCCTCGCAAAGATCACCTCGGTCGACTTCACAATCGTAATTGACGAAAAGCTCTGTCATGAAGTTGGGAATTCGTGCCAAAGCCCCTATGCTCTCTACCATAGCCTCCCTGGACTCAGGTCTTCGAGATCCACCTTCCATCCCAAGCTTTTGACGATCTTTGACGGGAACAGGAGTCGACCGTCCGCTACCTGCTTGCGAAGGAGACGGTTTCGCTAGTTTCGGGGCCTGTGGAACGCCAACATAGAGCGCAGGATCGATTCCAGGTTCCCGGGGTATTTCTACCCGTGGGTGCAGACATGCAACCAAGTAGGATAGGAATAGCTCCTGCTGTAATTTTAAGACGTGTCGACAAGTAGACAAGAGCGTCCCTGCGACTCTGAGAGAGCCGTTCAAAATAGCTACATTCTCCGATTTCACCAGTTGGAACAGATATCGGCACAGATAGTCCCGAGCGAGCTGAGCAAGGCTGGGATGTCTTGCGATGGATGGGCCCGCGACTTCTAGAGCCACGTCAATGATTCTCAGGGACATGACTCTCATGGCATCTGTATGCTGCAGATTATGAGGATCAAGCAAATCAATAAGCACGCGGAACAGTTCCCGGATGGAAGGTAAACCGTATGGCTTCGCTTCAGGATACATGAACTCCTCGGGCTGGATGGTTCCGTCACCATTTACAGTCGTGCTCGGTCGTCCATCACCGCTAGGGCGTGGCGGCTCAGCAGAAGAAGTATCTGAGTCTAAGCTGGATTGATGTTGAGACGCCACAGTATCTCCGTCGACTGAAGGATCCATCTTTAAGGTATTTGTATCATCAAGCAACTCATCGTCCCTAGCTAGTTGATCGCCAGACGTTGCTTCTGCGTCTAGTTGAGTTAGACGTTGGAAAATAACCTGGCACATATTCACCATCGCTATCTCAGCGGATCTCCGAAGGACTTCCGATAGCCGAACCTGACAGCACATGCTCAATCCAGTTTCCATCATCTCGCAGACACTCTCGTCTCCGAGCAGCTCTCCTTCCGGCCTAGAAATCATTCCCTCCATAAGCTTTAGAATCCGCAACAGAACGATCTCATCTGCAGCGGAATCGCTAGCTTCAAACCGGCAGTGCGTTATAGCTGCAGACAATCGCTGGAGTGCCATTGATAGCCTCGGGGAATCATTGTTAATGATACCATAGGCAAAGAACTTCGTGATCGCGACTAGGGCCAGCGAAGTGATGGGTGCGGAGGTGGACGAAGAGCGGATAACCTGAAGGAAGGGATGAAGGAGGGAGGGTGTATCGAAGGTGCGTATATCACGACATTCTTTCAAGTCGACACGCAGTCGTGTGAAGGCCGACATAAGAGGGTTATCCTGCATACTCTTCCCTTTCTTTCCCCGTAGACCCCATCTTCCAGCAAGCACAAGATCTAGATCACTGCTCGCAGTACTCGCTCTCGGAGGCGCTAACCCGGTGTTGGCTTTTTGGCCGGATGAGCCATGCTGCGGGCTGGGGGGCGTCGAAGCATCCAATTCGTATGGCCTTGACGACCCGCTTCCTCCCAGAATAGCTGCCACAGAGGAATGTGCCCATCTTGCATGCTTTCGCATCGACGAAGTAACCGTGATGCATTCTGAAGTCACCAAGGCGATCGGGTCCACCGCTATGGGGACCGGTCGTTGCGAGTTTGCAGTCTCGGCGTGGGGTCCATTTGGAATCGACGTAGAGGATCTCGCCGACGATGATTGACCGGGCGCTTGTTGCGAATCATTCCTGACGCTTGATCCGGACTCGACGCTCATGTTTACCCTGTAGACTTCTTCCTTGGTTAAGGTCAACGGCGGTAGACTGTGAGAGGCGACAAGCAGGAGCTCGGAGCGAACCACGTGTCCAAAGAATTAGGATAGCATTGCCTTTCAAAATTATGAGTAATTCAACAAAAGGACCTGCAATAGAAATTCTCCGATGGGCCAAAGGAAGTTTCAACGCAGGGATATGTTCTAAAATATTGATTTGTGAGAAATTTGCTGAAAATGGCACGCGCAGCTCCGAGCTCTGAAGTTATAACAAAGTTGTCCCACGCAACGCCATCCTTTGGCGGCTTCTCCGCACCCGATCTAAGGGGAGCCCCAACCATGCGGCCAGATCGCAGTAACTACAGACGACAATTAAAAGCAATACAAAGTTGAAGTGGCAGAAAAAAAAACTTCAATTAAATAAAACTATTAGCAAGGAAATTGTTTCAGCCTCTTAAACTGTGGAAAGGTATATCTGTCACAACACCGCCCACACTTAAATGATACAAGAGCTACAGAATAACAGTGATAGCACTCTAGAGAGGCTAGTAGATGTCATAGAACAATATGCAGTAGATTCTCCTGATTATAAAAAGATAATGAAGAATCATGCATATCTCCAAGGGGAAGGTTGTTTGATATGTGAGTAGGTGTACACAAGGACAGCACGCCCGTCTACCTTCTCGCGCCGTTGAACACCGTATCGCTGATAAGCCACGCCTAAATCCATTTCCCCAGCTATCCGCAGAATCGAAAACATAAGAAAAGTAGACCTAAGGAGTGAGGAAATAAATATACTCATAAGAAAGGTAGAGAACGATAGAGAATTCCTTCACTGAATATGAAGAAGAAAAGTTGTTTGAGCTGATAACATCGAATCAATTCAAGATACCAAGAAATGAAAATGGAAATGTAAATGCCGAGCAATTTGTGCGACATATGGTATCGTGGAAATTCAATAGAGCGGTTAAGCGTTATCAAAGATAATGCATTGAGTGGCGTGGGGCTGTTCATGAACTGGCTTCTTGAGGTTCCTCCGCAGCCATATCTTCGTCGAGATCAATAGCATCGGGATTGGTTGCTGGTGCTTGATCTCTTTCTGTAACTGGGCGGTTACCTCCTTCAGGGCCAGTGCTTGCGGGAACAAAGCCGGCTGGAGCTTTGGCGTGGCGCTCTAAAGCTGCCATGGCGTGCGCACGCTCCTCGGGTTCTTCAGCGGCTGCGACGTCAGCTGCTTCTTTTGCAAGTTGCTTGCTCCGGGCGATCGCCTGGGATGCAATGAAGTTGACATCCGTACTGTAGTTCCACATTAGTTTATGCATGTTGCTTATGTGAGATAGATAGGGATGATCTAAAACTTACTTGTACTGAACTTGGACACTTCGTTTAATACGTAGCATTTCTTTGAATGTGTCTTCGTTGCCATGCTGAACTTCAAATGCCTCCCATTTTTGCCAGAAACCGGCGTTGGTCCGAGGATCACAAAATTGAGAGGCATGCCCATATATTGCGCGAGCTCGATCGATCTCACCCAGCCTGCGCTCCATTTCTGCAAATTTCAGACACATTTCCTTCGCTTCATTATCGGGTAACGCGGCAATGGCGCGTTCATAAATAGGCCTAGTCGACGTTAAGCCAAAATTGGATGCTGATTTGGTGATGTAGAAGTTGAACATTTCAAATCTGTCCTTATCCGATACTGCGCGAGTCGCGCGCTCGTAGATCCGCATTGCATGACGTGCGAGGCCTCGCTCTTCCTCCAGATTGCCGTACATTAAGTAAAGAGTCTTAGCGTACTTAGGTGGGCATCCATCCACGGCTTGTTCAAACAGATCCCGTAATCGTTCAATGCTGATTTTCCGGTCAACGGCTTTGGTCAAATAGAGGTTCCACAGCTCGAAAGCAACTGGATAGCTGAAGAGATCAAGACCTCGCTCATAGATCTTGAAGGCTTCTTCAAAATACTTATTCTCCTCCAGGAGATTGGCATAATTGACGACTGTCTGGGGAGTTGCAATCCGAAGCTCGAAGATCCTTTCATATACATTCTTCGTTTCATCAAGGTTCCCAACACTCTCCACCAAATCAACATAGAAACTCCACACCTTCCAGCTCTTATGTATGCGTTGTTGAGGAGTCAGCTTATCGTCAAAGTAGTCGACGGTAGAACGCTTAGATGAGAGAGTAGCTTTGGCCATAATGTTCACAGCTTGATCGAAATTCTCGTTCCGCAGCTCCATTTCTGCCCACTCGCACCAGATCTCAGCTAACTCTTCGACGGACTTGAAAGGCACCTTGACTGCTTTGTCGAAAATTATCCTTGCGGTAGCGAGATCTCCACCTTTCTCGTAAAACTTAGCGAAATTAACCCAGAGTTCGTGGAATTTTCCGTGAGCCTTTTTGGGGTTGATTGCAGCAATAGCAGCCCCATAAGTGCGGACAACTTCTTCTTTGTTATCGCCCCACAAAGCCACTCGTTTGTTCCACTCTACGACGTTGTTGGGGTTTTGTCTCAAAAGGACGTCGTTAACCAAGAAGGGTCGGCGATCCATCAGTTGCTCGAATCTCATCATACGAAGGTCAAGGTCGAAGTCAGCATTCTCATCGGCCTTCCCTTCATCCAAACGAACGGCGGCTGTTTCCATCAAGGCGCTAATGATAGATTCTTCAAACTCAACGTAGGAATCAAATATCATTGTAAAGTCACGGACCGTCATAACGGTTGTGACACCCTCTTCGAAAACATCCCGGGCTTTTTCGAAATTGCCGCGAGTGATCCAATATGTCGCTAGACCAACCCAGAGTTTACCTCTCTGGTCGGGAAATCTGTCAATGCCGCTGTGAATGATTGCCGCCACGTCAATTCCCGACTGCGGGCCTGTTTCGATTTCCTTGGCGTGATTGACAAGGAGCTCTACCATTTCTGTCCAGAGTTCGAAATGGCTTTTGCCCTTTTTGGACTGAAATCTTGGATCGTCTAAGACCTCAATATATCGTCTCACGGCATCAGTATATTGTTTCATCTCCACCAAGATATCGATGTATTCCTCAGCATTCTCGGGGTGTATTTGCATGTAACGATCCCATATTTTGACGGCCGTGTCACCGGAAGCAGAGACCGCGAAGGACTTGTACAGTTTCCATATTCGATTATGCTGGGTGATTGGTAAAGCGCGAAGGGCACGGTCAAACGTTCGCCGAGTTTGCGTAACCAACGGCTGCTCTAGCAAGAATGCGAGGTACATTTCCCAAATCCGTGGCATTTTATTGAGAAGAATGACGGCCCGTTCAAAGAGAGCATTGACCTTGAGATACTCTATTCGATGAACCGCCGGGTTTCGCCCCCGGAGATGTTTGATTCGGAACTCGAGATACTATGCGACGGTCAATTACCACCCAAAGAAAACAGAAGGAAGGAAACTGCCATATACCATCTTCCACAGTTTGTATGACCTCGGGAGATGCTTGCAAGCCCGCTCCATGACCTTTTTAAATCGATATTAGGTAAGGCTCCATTGCTTATGGCGAACGGTCACTTACAAACGCCTGTTCGTACGCTGTTCCATTCTGCTGCTTGAACTCGATATATGAGAGCCAGGGTTTAATGCTGGCCGGATCGCGCAGGATATCCTGCTCATACACCGCATCCTCGCTGGACTGCGTAAAAATATATCAGCACAACGACCGGAGTAATCCAAAAGTCCATCAGCGCTCACAATCAAATAGAGATCAGACCGAGCTGAATCCATCTTGTCGACTTCTGCGCGCTGCTGCGAAGCTCTGGCGTTCAAAACGGTCCCCGGCATTTCACCACTCGCGAGAGTGGGACCTATGTGAGGTCGCCACTGTGCTCCTGAAATGTAAGACCTGTAGTCAACGGTGATTGTTGGCGCTTGCAATTCTTTGACACTTGGGTCAACTCTGGATGTTGAAAGGAATGGCCGCGCTCACGTGACATCAGTGCGGGCTGACCACTAAATTAGTCAGTCAACGGTGCGCGTCCGTAGTCTGGGTGGTCCAAGCTTCTGCGGACAGCGTCATTCGTATGACCGCGCGACGTCTAATCGCTGTGGTCATATGACGGGCGCCGAAACGTAAGGCGCCTGCTCCCCAGTTTCATTTCATCAAAGGGTGCTCGCATATTGTTGAAGATGTCCGGATCAGCTGTAAGCTCTCCGGCGTGATGAAATTCTGCCAAGTTGTCGTCTCTGATTGCTGGCTGCTAGGATCGAGAAGCCGTGTTTCCCACCCGACAATCGCTGGGCCTGATGAAAGGCAAGCTGAAGGGTGCGGAACAAGGCCACAGTCTTCTGAAACGCAAAAGTGAAGCATTGACAAAGTATGCTTGTTATACGTGTCTTTATTCTATGCGGTTCTTTCCGGCTGATTAGATCTCGTTGAGTACAGGCGATTCCGAGGTCTGATGGATCCCCGGTGCACATTATCCTTTAGTACAAGTCTAATCCTCAGCAGACATTACGCGGCGAATCGATGAAGCCAAACGGAAAATGGGCCGTGTGATGCAAATCGCGGCTTTCTCCCTCGCTGAGGTGTCGTACGCGGTTGGCGGTGATATCGGCTTTCAGATTCAGGAGTCCGCCAAGCAGGCCCGCTTTCGGGTTCGAACAAAGCAAGAAAACGTCTCGGGCGTCCTTTTGCCACAATTTGAAAGTGTTACTGCGGAAGGAAGCAACGATTTCGGTTTGACTGGCCTTGGCAAGGGAGGCCAGCAGGTACAAAGATGTCGTGAGACGTACGCGAGGGCAGTGGAGACGCTCGTGGAGCTTGCGAGTCTACAGGTGAGCATACTCTCCAGGTATTGTGAGAATTAGGCTGAATTTCTGTGAAGACTGCATTCGTAATCTTAGACGAAGTGATTAAGGTGGTAAACAGAAGAGGTATGCTTGGCTCCATATGAATATAGCGTTCTTCTGCTAATCGTCCCTTGCCAGTGAATGCAATGTATGGACGACCTAAAAACCAGGCATCTTATGTCCCATTATCTATTCTAACTTTCGTACCTAGTGAGCATGTCATTATCCCTCGAACTGAGAACACAATCAAATGTAGGTCGTCTTCGTGCCCTTAAATTCTACTAATGCATACTAATATAATGCAAGACATCAACTCAGAGCTGGATGAGCTCGACCGAGAGGAATTCTACCGGTTAAAAAAGGTATGTAATCATAGGTCAATACGACGACAGGTACTGACAATTGGCATTAGGTTTCGAACAAGAAGCAAAGAGACACAGCTGCATTGGATGCAGAGATCAAAGCAAGGCGGGACAAAGCGGAAGGGGCTGCCGGAAAGGAGTCTCCCAGTAACAATGGCCCTGCAGACCTATTGGCGCAGGAAGAGGATGAAGATGTGATTTTTTAGGCCATTGAAATTATATTTCACATGATAATTCCAGATGTATAGCTAGTACACAACCGGGCGCTTTGTATTGACTACTGTGGAACTCAATGCTAACTTGGCTACTGAATCCATCATTAAAAAACCACCCAGACGCCCCAACGACCAAAGAGTATTGTCATATCATCCCACAAAGTTTTTTTTAAAAAAAAAGGAAAAGACGGGAAATCCCCGCATGACTACTGTCTCTGGTAGGTGACCCGCATTGGCTTTCCATTCTCGCCCAACGCCATGCCAGATGTTGCCTCCTTTGCACTGATGGCTCCGGTTTCATTTTCATATTCCACGAACGCGATTCCCTTTCGACCTGGGACCATACGTACTTCTTTAAATCCTTCGAAGCGGCTGAATATAGCCGTGAGGCCACTCGCATCATATGAATCCGGGACCTCTCGTAAGAACAGAATCTTGTTGGGTGGAAGATATTCATCTGGTATGACAGGCGCAGCAGCAGCACCAGTTGGTTTCAAGCCTGCTCCTCTCGTTGTCTTGGCTGGGCGAGTATCTGCGGTGGCGGCGGCCGGTCTCTTCAGTTTCTTCTGGGCCTCGAGTGCTTCTTGGGCTTGTTTTCTTTCTGCATGTCCAGGAAAGCAAATTAGCACAGGGATTACACTCTAAGTTATCCAAAGGCTTTATCAACAAACCTTTCTCAGCCAATCTTTTCCTCTTATGTGCCTCTAATTCCTGTTCACCCCCTTCCCTTAAGACCGTAGCATCGCTTCTTGTTTTCGCATAGTCCAACACCATGGGCTTTTCGAACAACTCAAACCCATTGATCTCCTCAATAGCGCGTGTTGCAGAGTCGACGTTGTCAAAGACAATGAAAGCTTGGCCTTTCGCCTTGACGTTTGTCTTTGCGACGATCTCAAGAATGGAGCCGTACTCGGAGAAGATTTCGGATAGGGCTTCCTTTAACTGCTCTACCTTTATTCTCTCTTCAAGGTTTCGGACCTGCACAATGCAATGATGTAGTCAGCAAGAGGGATATCTGAACAAGGTGTAAGGCTGGCGCGGACATAGACTCTATCGAAAACATCAGTTCTGTAACGGATTTGAAAAGGCGCGAGGAGGGAAGGGACGGAGCTTACGTTGAATTCGGCGGTATGCCGGAAGCGGCTGGAGCTAGGACTGCCATCTCCAGGGCGACAGTATATTCAATCACAAATTCTTAGTGGAAGCTCCTCCAGATAGCAGTGTCTTGCTGATCCAAGTTATCTCGTGCTATGGATGCACGAAAGCAGCCGGGGAAATATCGGGCCGACAAGCTTCCTCTCCAGCTCTTGTCCTGTTTTGGACGCTGTTTTAAGCCCATATAACCTACGTGACCAAGAACACATCGCCGCTTTACATTAAGAGCACCACATTCCATCCATCCGCATCAACCTCAGACCCTTCGCAAATTTCGTCCAGCTATGGCCGCCATGATGGGATGCCAATGCTCATCCATGTTCGAGGACGGAGCGCATCCTTAAACTCTCTTTCCATCTGCTCTCCACACTGGGGATCGAGTTTCGGACCGCAATCCAATTTTGACGGACATTATTTTCAAGGTTGCTCTGAGCATGTGTCAAGGTTACCTTCTTTCCTGCCACAAACTGTTCAAGAGCCATTTTCATATTTCTCTGCTTCTTGCAAGTTGTCTGTTGCTGGCGGTTGCAGGCGGGGCTGAGGTACTTGGTATGATTGGCTGGCGTGGCATCCGGCTAGGTTGAGCCTCGATCAGTGAGTCAGTCTCGTAGTACGATCTCCATCGCAATCAACGATGCGCTCTGAAGACCTGGGATCTCACAACCTGTGAATCTCTTCCGCTCCCCCTGTCCTGGCGCTGTCGCCAGAAAGTCCACTCTCTTTGTTTCTTCTGCTTTGGCACTCGGAAACAGTCTTTCAGCGAGACATTTGAGCATCAAACGGTCCAACATGACGGGTTGATAGGCATCAAACACTATAATTTACAGGACAGAGCGAACAATCGTTTCAACGCCAGATACAAAGCACAAAGAAGTCTCCGAACAATCCCTTTCTCCTACACCTCTGGCCGATTCCTCTACAACGAATGTATTCGACTCCGCGAGAGATAAGTCAAGTTTAATGTTGCCGCGCTCAATGAGGCAGTCAGTCAGCATACAGGGTATGAAAAGGTTGTGAGCCTCCAGAAGTTGAGTGAGAGGGGTTCAACCGTGTTTTTCTTGCCAAGCTTGGGGATAATTCTCAAGTTATTGTCAAGATTCCATTTGACCACTCTGTACCGAAAACCTATGCAATGGCTAGTGAGGTGGCAACACTTACATTTCTGCGGTCTAAGGGCGTCCCGGCTCCCAAGGTATATGGGTGGTCATCGACAGCAAACAATCCAGGTGGAGTGGAATATATAGTAATGGAGCTTGCATCAGGCATTGGGCTTGACAGTAAATGGTTTTGAACTGACCAAAAGGCAGCAGTTGACTGTGGCAACTGAGGTTGTTGACATAGAGAAGAAACTGTTTGCTATTCCATTCAGTTCTACTGGAAGTATTTATTTCAAGAAAGATCTCCCTCCCCAAATGTAGACTGATCTATATCTGCTAGGAACTGCAGATCCTAATGGAGGTTCTTTTTATATCGCCCCAAGTCGATTCCAGCGCTCTGGCAGCACTCCTAGCTCCTAGGAACATTAATGCATCTCTTGCTGCAGGCTACTGTGTGTCTAGTCCTCTCTGGCGAAGCTACCGACTTTCACAAATGGCTCATAATTGTCATTTAGATCCCGCCCACCAGAGCTTAGTTTCTATTGCGCTTCACCCTCATGATAAAAACGAAGTAACAGCGGGATATCTTTCTGACTCAATACTGTTCCATGACATTTGCCATAGAATTTACAATCTTCAGCAGCAGAAGTAATCCTAGGGCATTCTTAAAAGGGGTTGCCTCATCCACTATGCCAGGGAAGTTGGCCGACAGGCACGGGGTCAGTGCCGGAATAGTGGTCACCAGTGGCACCTCTTCGACGAGCAACAGGAGTAGGAAGCTAACCAAGACAATGACCTGCTGGAGTTACTGAAAAATTGACATAATGTTGAAAAGGGTCACCTTTTGGATGCTTTTCAATGATACTTCAGATTCCATGTCTATGTATATATATATATATATATATATTCTAAGTGAGACGATACTCTTGTCGTAGTTTATCCACGGTAGTTTTCAGCTGGTGTGGTGACAATAGCCAATCGGTCTTCTTAAATATTTCATTGTTTATCTCCATGAAAAGGCATTCAGCGGTGATCGAGCGAATCTAGTGCAAATTAGCCATCAGTTCTTTCAACTTCGAGCATATCCCCCATAATCAACATTTGCATACCTTGGGGTACGAATGTAGTAGCAGACTCATCATTTTCTTCATGACGTCTTTCTGAATGCATTCCTGGCGCAGTAGGGTAGCGTATGTTTTAACTGCAACCTCGATTCTGGGTATGTTCGAGGACTTAAAGTGTGACTTTTGGACAAGAAGAAATAATTTTCGGAAACTGTACAGTTTTTGTTTAGCGATCAACAAGCTAACTTTTGTTCTAATAACATACTTACTTAAGATCTAAACCTGCTAAGTCTTCGAAGCAATTGCCGAGGAGAAAACCGATGGTATCAACAGCCGGTATAGCGTAACGATCATCATCCATCGTGCTCTCTAATACCCACATCATGTCATTGAAAATGTTAAGCTTCAACCGGTTGCTGTCGTCTCCAGCCTGTTCTTGAATGAACTGCACCAGAGCAAGTCGCGAGGCTCGAACTAAACCTTCTGTACCGGCGCTGAAAGACGTCACTAATCCCTTTAATAGAGATGGTCGAAGCCAGTCAACCGAAAGGAGAATAAAGAGTTGTAAGAAGTACTCTACTGTGCAAACTTCACTTAAATGTTCATACATCCTGGGGATGATCAGCTTCTGAATGAATACTTCAAGGAGAGTATACTCACATCTGTAATGGGGGCAGGGCAGGTTCTGAACCCCAGAAGGCCTCAAAACATTTCCACGCCTCAAAGCGCACTTTATCTAGCTTTTCCGCGGCAAGCCTAATTACACATTTCATTAAATCATGTGTGTAAGGCGACCGCCTGAATTTAGATTGGAGATTGAGTTTTACGCCGCCGATGGCTTCGAGTCGAATTAATGAGCCAATATCACCCCTTCTATCCGTTGTGTAATCATTTAGGAACACTTGAAGGTGGCCGGAAAGAAGTTCAATCTCATCTGTTTTAAGTGTCTGTTAGTAGCATTTCATTTCCTGCTAGGGAGGAAAATACGGAACCTGAGAATGGCAAAATCTGTGTTGCAATGCATTGCGCGGCAGATTTCCGCTTAGCAATCAACTCTTCGACTGCAGTTGATTTAAGAAGTCCGCGTAAAATCAATTTTCTTCCCTGGCCTGCAGTTGGAACATGCTTGAATACCGCTCCCAAGGCTGCAATTTGGCCCTGGCCTGTCGCGGACTTCCAGCTCGCATCGATATTGTCTAGCCACCTTTTCAATACATCCAATTGCTTTTCCGAGGATAAAAGCACAAAAAGATCAGAGGCTGCCTCGGACGATGCCTTCATAGGGATATCATCGCTACGGCAAACGCAAAGACCCAAAATGTCAATAGCTTTATTAAGAAACTTTTCTGGGAGCCTTCGGCTTGGGCCACTTTGTCCAGCCGCCGGAGCATATGATCGAGCAAGTGCGGATAAGAAGCGTGCAGATGCTTCCGCAATCAAGTCAGGTCGAAGCTCAGAAAGAGTGAGGCTCTCTTTGGTTGGCCCTGTTTTGCTATCTAAAATCTCCCAGAGCTTAGATACTTCGGATGCGATCTGGCGAGCAGTGCCATCGGGATCAGGTTCTGTCAGCTTAAAGGATAGGAATGTTTCTATCACCGCTGCCAGTGATAGCAAACACCCATGCCGCGCTTCAATAGCGTATGGCGACATATCCGAGAGACGTTGACGGGTCTGGCACAGCACAGCAAGTATGGTATTATAACTTCCCTGTGAACTCAGTTCTCCAATTGCAGAGGCAGCGGCCCTCCTTGACCGAGAGTCCGGGGATCCTATTCCACGCCAATC